AAAGAATCAAGTCCTTACTCCATCATAAGTATAAGATGACAGACCTTGGAAGAGCCACTCGCTTTCTAAGCATCGAAATCACCAACTCAAACGGATCTATTGCCTTAAGTCAGTCTCGCTTTGTTCATACAGTACTACAGAGATTTCAAATGGAAAGTTGCAATCCTGTTCAAACTCCACTAGAACCAGGCACCCAATCCTACAGCGAAGAGGATTCTGAGCTCCCCACTCCCTTGGAGCAAAAGACCTATCAGTCCCTCATTGGAAGTCTAATGTACCTAGCACTTGCTACACGCCCTGATCTTGCTTTCACTATTGCACATCTCAGTAAATTTTGTGCTCGGGCAACAAACCGACATCTTATCATAGCAAAGCGCACTCTCCGCTACCTGAAAGGAACTGCTAATCTGGGACTTGTCTATCGGAAAGACCCAGACGGAAATAGTAGTCTCAGTGGATTTAGTGATGCTGACTTCGCCGGAGATACTGAGGATCGAAAGTCAACTGGCGGTTTTGTATTCCTCATGGCAAATGCAGCAGTCTCCTGGCGCTCAAAGAAGCAGTCAATGGTAGCATTGTCAACTACTGAGTCTGAGTACATTGCAAGCTCTGAAACTGCAAAGGAAGCTTTGTGGCTTCGTGGACTCTATTCAGAGCTTACTGCATCCCCATCACTATCCCCTACCACAATTAATATTGACAATATGAGTGCCATAGATCTTACAAACAGACCACGATTCCATGAGCGAACCAAACACATAGACATTAAGCGTCATTTTACACGGGATGCTGTACAGAAAAGCGCAATATCAATTACCCACTGTCCGACCGCAAAGATGACTGCCGACATCCTAACGAAAGCACTACCACGTCCTCTCCATTGGACACATACTAAGAGCATGGGACTGCAGTTCATTGTCAATGATCAGTAGTATGCTAAGTCCTAGATAGTAAACTAGTACTACTCTTCAAGTTATTTTTGTTATTTTCTCAACTTACTTCCTGTTCGTGCATGACACTCTTTTCCTACCTCTAAGCTGCCTAAATAAAGGCCCGGAGGAGGTTTTTAATGAGGTCACATAATGGCACCAGTGAAGGATATTTGTTCTTTCTTTTTTCCTTTCTTTTGATCTCTTAAATGTTTTCGTTTGATTGGATGGATCTTGTGAAGAGTGGGAGTGTTGGAAAAGGTGACTTCACAAGATCATGCTCGTCGGCTTTGTGGTATGGATTCAGGGGATGATGGAATAATGTGTTCACCGGCATACTTGGCCTGAACTCCAGTCCACCTAATCTTTTAGTGGACTGTGCCGAGTGACTGCTATATCTATGTAGTATATAAGCCACCAGCTCTGACTGAAATAAACTATGGTGTGCGATCTCTTTTTGACAAAATCTGCTCTTTTAAAATCCCTACTTTCACAACAGCAAATATCTGCAGATTTTCGAGTGATCGAACGTGATTGCCCTCTGCCGGTGGTTTTCAGGGCCAGTTCCAATAGCATGGATTAAACGGAACGCTAGTGTATGCGTCAACAGCGCCTCCGGTCACATTGCTATAATGGGTAATATGTTACCTTTACGGTAATCTTTTATGGAGTCGGGGCTTCCAATAATATAACATCCTAGTTTCCATCGAACGGTTCTCGAACTAGCCACCCAGGGTTGAAGGACCCACTAGTGGAGATCAGTATATAGATCCGGAGTCTAAGCTCATATTCCCGCTTAAATAGTAGAGTTCAACCGGCCATTGAATAATGAGGAAAGAAATAATTCGGGGTGGGGAATGACCGGGATGCAGCTTGCTTTGATAATTCGAGGTTCATGATGCTGAAGTGGTAGAAGCCAGCCCTGTAGTGAAATAATAATTTCTAATGCAAACGATCTATCTACAGTAAAATTTAGGAACATATCGAGTGAGATGAAATTGCTTAGGTTCCGTAGTACCCAATGCTTTGAACTTGTCCTAATATCTCAGTCTTTTTATTTCTCTTAGTGTCCTAGGCCCGACCCAACGGGAGGCAGCTCCAGACATTGCACCCCAATGGCAGATATTTACAAATACCTACTGTTAGGAAATGTGGAGAGAGAATGAAGCACAAAAGTGAGAGAGCGGGATTGGAAGATGGTAGATGGTGGGGGTTACGTATACATTCCAGTATATACCGGTGGTGCCTGTAGGGGGACTCATTGCTGCTGTTTGCTTTCTCGCTTATTCTGTCTAACTCTACTTCTTTCTTCTGTCTCACTCTTTCTAAAACAATGGAAAACTTCATCATTGATTCTCAAGAAACAGCTTAAATCGAACACCTACAGACATCAGTTGGTATCTTCAGATATCTGCTGCGCATTGGCAAAATGTTTACCAACTACACGGCACATAAAGAAAGCCTTCCCGGGGCCCCCAGGCACTCACAATGCCTGCAGGCTCTGTGAATGCCAGACCTACTAAGCGGGAGTGAGTCTCACTTTTACCTGGCCTGGTCGGAATGTGTATCTATAGGCTATCTATGAGCCGGCATAGCAGATGCGAACACTAGACTCGAGTGCATTTACCGTCGAGCTGAGCCAGCTCGAGCGAGTAGCCGGGCGCGACTTGAGTGGGCCCATGAGAAACACTAGCCGATGTAGGGGAGTCAGTAGGTTATTTTCTAAGGGGAAGTGGAGAAGGGGCGAGAGTTCACTTACCGGTATTCCAGTATGATCAAGCAGGTATCGCTTTTTGGTTCCGTGTTGAATTTTTTTTTTTGCAACGTTTTCCGGGCGATTTTGCAACGTAAAACTGCCCATTACCGACTACTGCTGGTAGATCTTAAAATTGAAGGCTTTAAATCTATATCTCAGATACTATTATTAACCCAAGGAGCAGGAATTTGAAATAATTTTTAGACTATACTCATAAACCTATGCGGTACTGGGTTTCTCCCAGAGGTAGGCTAATAGTGAAGGCCTCGATATCGGACATTGTTACGGACCTGATTAGAGGGGAACTAGTCAGATGGTGGAAGCAGGGAATAGGTTTACATAACTCATAATTATGAGTTACTAGCGGGTCACAAACGTTGGGTTTGCATTACAATTGAGAGTTTCTAGAGAAACTCTGTACCTTTCCCCTCATTTTGATTCAGGCTATTATTCCATATTAGATGATATCCACCCTTCCCCCCACTCTCCCTGCCACTCCTGTATTGAAGTGAATATGCTCCTATTTATATTATGACCCTTTATGTTTTACATAGTATGCTAACTTTATATATTCTAGGACTTCGGATACTGGTAATGCTAGTGACTAGGTGTTATCAAGACAGCCTCAGATATGCAGCAGGGTCATGGAGGAAACCAGCTACATGCATGGCGTGAAGTAGGCTACCTAATAAGGATCAATCCTGGATCCTTGGAGTACTATCTACTATCATTTACCCCTCGAGGCCATAGTGAAGGCAAAGCAATCCGGGTCAATAGCCAGGTTTCTATAACATTTTCTCATTGTTTTATTATTTCTCTTTCCCTTTACGTATCCTCAGCTTACTTGAAAATTCAACATATTTCGTAGTTGGGGGCTTCAAACCAGTGTTATCAAGAGAATCTGATCATTCTAGTCAGGTATCTTGAATTGAACTATAAACATACTGACTAAAGGGTCCACAATTTGCACCTCTCCTAAGGTAACTAAGGAAAGGAAACTCCTAACTGCCAGTGATATCAACCCTGAAAGGATCTTGTACCTCAAATGTCGGTAGAAGGAAGCTACTCCCAAAAGGTTTGCTCAAAATACCACATGTCCGAAAGGTTCTATGGAAAGGTCTGAGTGTGGAGGTAGCCTCCTACGTCGTTAGAGAAGGCATGCTGGATCTATGGAAAATAGCTTCTGTTTAGAAGGTACCGAGGTGCATTGTACTAGAGGGGCGTATTAGCTTTCCCTTCTCTAAAGTACTACTGACTTGAGCATGGTATTCGTGATAAGCACAGCTAAATTTCTTGAGCAGAACCGTCGAGAACATGAAACCAACCCTTTTAGACCACCCACCGTATATAGAGGGGAACAGATTTCCAAGTCCGTTCTTTATAGCCATATCTAGGAAGTGGCGGTTGCCGTTTGTATGTTAGTATGATACACTGTCTGGGGTACCGGTATTATATCTTAATCGAGAACAAGCCCCAAGTACACTCAGCCTTATTCCAGTTCAGGGATCATTTCCACAAAACTGGCAAATTACAACCAAGTTTTAGACCCAATCCCTTACAAGCCGGGTTTTCATCATCATTATCAATAGAAATAAACAGAAACTTATAATGAATAAACTTGAACAAAAGCTTGATGACAACTATTGTTGTCATCTTAGACACATGCTCTCATCCCCCCTAACAGCACTGATACCCCGTGCCAAATATGAAACCCCCACAATACCTGTAATTTTACCAAATAGTTAACATCATCCATTGAATGAGTTTAACTCACCAGACAACATTAGAGATAAATAACAAGCATCATATTAATACCCAACAACCGGGAAGATGGATGTCGCATTGCCATTCTCTCTATAGCAGGCTTACTCCGCTAAACTGATGGTAACTGATAGTTCAGTCAGAGCTTCACTTGTATTAGTATGTAAGCAAACTTAGTTCACAGTCCACCCACCTTAGCCCACGACGGGAAAGCTCAGGTAGCTTGAGCAAGAACGATATTGGGGATTGAAAGTGATTTTTCGTGATCATTGAAATGGCCAAAAAAAATCCACATCCCTACTATGATATCATACCAGTACCGTACGGGTACAAACCTACCCTCTAGAAACTAATCCCCCAGCTAGCTTATGTGGTTGCTTATGTAATCGACCCGTCTTCACCCTTTGTTGTGCTTTCGGGAGCTCCCGTGGAACCTTAGGTGGACCTCCTCTCTTGGCATCCCTCCACGACTTCCGAGCGAACTCAACAGCAGCATCACGTCACTTCACCAACTCCCGCAGAGCTCCCGTTACCACCACCGCCGCTGCCGTCAAATGTCCGCGAAACCTAAATCTCGCTGGGAGGAGGACACCGAGACCAGTGCTGCAGAACTCGCGCGTCTGAAAGCCGAAAAAGCCGCCCGCAAAGCCCTAAAATCCCAACAGAAACAAAAACAACTCCAATCGGCCGCCGCTGCCGCCTCCATCGCCAGCAGCAACAGCGCGGCACCCGCCTCCCCGCCAGCATCCAAACGACGAAAACTCGACCCCAGCGGCGAGTCCAATGCCGGGGATGGGAGAGAAACGGGGTTAAAACTCCTCCGCTTCAACGCCCCGGCAATAACGCCCTGCGAGCATGTAGACTGGTACGAGAGGCTGAACCATATCGAGGAGGGCTCTTATGGCGTTGTCTCTCGAGCGCGGGACTCGCGCACGGGCGAGATCGTCGCGTTGAAGAGGTTGAAGCTGGAGAGGGAGACGGACGGGTTTCCCATTACTAGTCTTCGCGAGATTCAGACGCTTATGGCGGCGCGGCATGAGAATGTGGTTAATCTGCGGGAGGTGGTTGTTGGGGGGACGCTAAAAGAGTACTTCTCTCTTTATTTTTTATCTATAATTTTTCTTGCTTTACATCGCGGTATTTGGCTAATGATAATAACGCTAGTGTGTTTATAGTAATGGACTTTATAGAACACGATTTGAAAACCCTCTCGGAGGAGATGCAGGAGCCATTCTTGCAATCTGAGGTCAAGACGTTGATGCTACAGCTTGTATCTGCTACAGCACTGATGCATAGTCGGTGGATTGTGCATCGCGATTTGAAGACCTCTAACCTGCTCATGAATAACCGCGGGCAGATTAAAGTCGCGGACTTTGGACTTGCGCGGTATACCGGCGATCCAATGCCGCCGTTGACACAATTGGTTGTTACGCTGTGGTACCGATCGCCGGAATTACTTCTTGGTGCGAAAGAATACGGGACTTCGGTTGATATGTGGAGTATTGGATGTATCTTTGGAGAGCTTCTGCTAAAGGAGCCATTATTAAGGGGGAAGAACGAGGTGGAGCAGTTAGCCAAGGTCCGCTCCCCCTTCTCCTCCCCCCTGGGTAGACTAGAACTAACAAAAGCCAGATCTTTGACCTCTGCGGCACCCCAACAGACACTAGTTGGCCAACCTTTCGCAAACTCCCCAACGCGAAATCCCTCAAAATCCCGAAATCGAACGTCCCGCCTCAGTCGAAAATCCGCACAAAATTCCCTCTCCTTACCTCCCTAGGGATCGATTTGATGTCCCGCCTGCTAACGCTCGACCCCGCGCAGCGGATCTCGGCGGAAGAGGTTCTAAAGCACCCCTACTTCAAAGAGGATCCTAGGCCGAAGAGCGCAGAAATGTTCCCGACGTTCCCTAGTAAGGCTGGTCAGGAGAAGCGGCGGCGGAGGGACAGTCCGAGCGCACCAGTTAGAGGCGGGGAGGCACCGAGTTTAGGAGATTTGGGAGATTTGGGGGGGTTGTTTGGCGGGAGGGAGGAGGAGGCTGTTGGCGCTGGGTTTAGTCTCAGGATGGGGAGGTAGTAGTAATGATGTGTGAAACGTTATTAATGTTGGGGGGTGTGGATAGTTTCCCTTAACTGACGGAGAAATGCATGGTGCTGTCTAGATAATAGAATACATTCAAACACCGGTGTGTGTTATCCCCTGCACCGCCAACCCCCAATAATAGTCTGCATCCGTGCATTACAGTGCACCGCAAGAAAGCTTCCGCCCTAGCAATTCCAACGCCACCTAAACTCCCGCAAAGAGAACCCACCACACATTCGATATCATTCGCCTCTACCCCTCACACCCAATAGTCAATAGTGCGGTCTCTTTCAAACGATCTATCCACTCTACAAGCGATTCATCAGATTCTCTACTCTGTGACCTTCCTATATCTTACTCGCACCCTAAGCGCACCGCGGGATACCATATATTTCGCCAGACGAACCTAATAGGGTCGAAAATACGACAATCTTTAGAGGCGTGCACGAGATTATCAGTATATCTGGGACATATACATAAGAATTTCTGCATCTTGGAATGCCTTTACTTAGGACGAGTGATTCTGATCCCCGACGCTGGAGGTATTCTGGGATTGCTGTCTCAACTTTAAAACGAGAGATGGAAAAGAAGGGAAGGAAGAGGCTGCGAAAGGGGTATAATTTGAAAGGAGGGCAGTAGACACCAGAGCAGGAATTCTTTGTCCGTGCGTTTTTCCGGGGTTTCCTGGAGAATACTCCTGGCGGGACGGGCTGGCTTAAACAATGTTGTTAAACCCCAGCCCGGAGCTTTCCCTTAATTTCGCTATTTTCAGACTGCTGTTCCCTCCTTTGTTCCCAACCCCGGACGTCGTTCTTAGGACTCGATTCCTAGCTGACACCGATATTGCGATCAAGTATGATCGGTAGCTACTAGCTATTTGTGGTACCCTGTTTGGGGATCGGTTCAAAGGAAGAGTGAGCTGGGCTTTGTAGCCCTGGCTTTCCCAATGGCTGCAGGTTCTGTGGGTTGACAGTGAGAGCGGGGGGCATTCGGTATATGTTATGCGTACGGGAGCGGCCCCGCTAATTAGTGCTATTAGATAGCTTAGGATATATCGTGGATATCTCTAGATACTCACAAATACTCATATGATGCGATAACCGAAGACGGATACCGAGGTCCAGTCTTAGGACACAGGAATAGTTATCAGAAAAATATTCAAATATGTTTCAAGTATTGGTAGTGGGATCGGGGTGCAGTTTCCTATCACCACTAAATGACTTAATGTTTTTCCCTAGCATTTGCATCCTTATAGATGCGCCACCCAACAAGTTGCTTTCTCATATCGTGTGAGTATTCCGAGCCTAAAATCCCTACAACTCCACCGCGCAGCCGTTCCCCTACTGAGCGGCCGCCCAAGTACGCCCCATCCTAACCACCCTACGTCGCGAGCTTCCCCTTTCTTTAATCCCAACGTTCAGCTCGGGTACAACCATCCAAGCGAGAACATAGGCACATCAGGAACCCAAATATCTCTTATTTACCACATCCACTAGCCCCCAGGACAGCCAGATGAAGCAAAAGAAAAGTTCGTGCGACAACAGAAATTAAACCCCCGGCGCATACGGGGGAGTGGGATGCGGAGATATCGGTCCCTGTTTGGGATGATCTCTCCCACATCGCCCCAAACAGCGCGCCAATGGCCTAGGGCCTGTGTATTCTGCGGTACTTTGTGCGATTAGCCTCCAAGAGCGTTCGACTGATATGCACACAGCCTAAAAAAGCTCAATAAAACCGGAGCAATCATGCTTGATCACTCGGAGCCCTACTGACGTCCGGTGCCCAGCCAGCCACAACACGTGTCTCAAGAAACCCCGGCTAGATCAAGGGGGGGATAGGGAGAAGCGGGAACGGAGCAGGTAGACATCCGTGAAGATCCGCCGCCCGCCTCCAGGAATGAAGGTGCCTGTGTTGGTGTTTCCTGGTCCGGCGATTCGAAAGCGCAATAACCCAGCCTAGGCAGGTTATCGGCAGATGTGCTTCAGAAACTCCCTGCGTAGCTCTGAGTGCCATAGTGTAGCGAAAGTCGGCAACATGCACAATAAAAATTTCCGAGGAGGCTGTGAAGTTAGCGGGTAGCATTAGATCTTTATCGACTTGTTAGTGCAGCATTGATCCGGCACTCTTATAAACCATTCAATTCGCTCATGCAATCTTCAAGCATACATAGACAGGAAACATGTTTGGGAGTATTAGGTGGTGCTGCCCATCGATATTCGTAACTGCCTCCCAAAGCGTTACCTTCCGCTGATAGTGTTATGCCTGGCGTGCTACCCTCTTGCTCCGACATATAGGACAGAAGCCCCACATTTTGTCTACTTTTCTCCTTCTCTCGTACATAATGCCCATAGTTCCTCTTACTTCCTAAAAACGCTCCGACCTATTCTTAACCTTTCCAATATTTTTATTGTTCTTTTCTCTGATAATGCCTCAACCGACTATCAAGAAATCCTCCTCTTTACACCCCCCCCCAAAGGCCAACTCCGTATCACGAGCAAAACTCTGAGAGAACTAGAGGAAGACCCAGCGACCATGGACGTACTTTCTGTGTCTATGGATTGGGCGTCACCGCTGGTGGTAGCTATTCTTCCTGCAGGAGGCTGTGGGCTCCCCTACACCTTCCCAGAAGCTAGGAGACTCTCCACGGCTCCTTCGTGTGAATAACATGCAACGTAGTGGCATTTTGCCAGCCAAATCTACAGAGCTGGGGTTGACACTGTCTCGGAGAAGCGGGGCCTTCACAACCCCCCGGCAGCCACCACGAGTAGCATAAGTGAACAATCCCCTGCCTACATACAGTGCTCGCATCCCAGAACACCCTTTTTCTATGCTTGCAATAACTTTGGATCTTAGGTCGTCGTGCCCCAAGGAAACGCTGCTCGAGGCGAGAAGCTCGTCCAAGGCATCGATCCAGGCGGCTACACTCTTAAAGGGCACAATAATCCCTGGAAATATCTTTACCACAGTTAGCAGTTGTGGAACACCTTATCCAAGTTACCCCCTCATTGCCTAGGTAGCCTCGCATTCCCTTCCAGAATTGTTGGCGATCCTCCCACAAAGTGCTTAAAATCTCCAACTCTGTCCGTGGGAGACTATTTCCTTTTAGCCACGGTAACCGCAGCATATATATGAGGTCCAAATTTTTGGTCCAAACTTCAAGTTACATAAGTCATCGATAACCGAAAAGCTGAAATCGTGGATACTAGTAGCATCCGTAATAACTTGACCCACTGGTGCTGTAACACAGACCAAAAAGAAGCCTTTCGCGCTTGGAAAAACCCACAGCAGAACAGAGCCCTATCAGCGAATCGGTCCTTAATCTCCACTATCCACCAACCTTGGAGCTCCGTAGTCTCCAGAGCTCAATCTCCCACGACCCCGACAAGTTCAACGGCTACACCTTAGTCCCTTTCAAGAGTCAAGAGCTGATAGTCAGCCGAGAACCAGGATTCGGTCGTAATCATAGTCAGGTCACCCGACAGTAAAATTGATTCTGCAACCGTTCATAAGCGTTGAAACAACCGGTAACTTATCCCCACCGATACCAGATCGAAGCACCCCCTTCGTTTGCGGCGGGATTATCAGTGCAGTTGATTGGATAACACGAGGGAAACGTAAAGGCAGGAGAGAGGTATTCGCTGCCTTTCACCACCATATGCGCTCGTACTAGTGACAAGCCGTGCGGCTGTACGGTAGTCACCCTTGATGCATCGGGGCGGCATAGTTTTCTAAAAAACGGGTTTGGTATTGCTATATACACCTACCGTAAAGTTCATCGATAAGCTTGATGTCACTCACTGTAATACCTGTAAACTCTAATTTAACCCACAGCTCGGTAATAAGTCCTGTCCGCAGGAGCTCAGAAAAACCTGGACTACGGGCCGTTCTGGTAGAAAAAGGGATTTCTCTAAATTGTGATCACCGCACTGGAATGAAATTCCACATAATTTGCGAGGCTTAATAGGTGCAAGAAGATAGTGATTTTTTCCTAGGATTGAATCGTTGGTTCTCCACCTTGTGTATTAGGAAGTGATGCCAAACCCGAGGAGAATTGTGGCTTTCCGGTTGGTTGACCGATTATATACGAGTCTCTAGACTTTTGAACCTCTCAAAACTGAGGCAGGGGGGGGGGGGGGGAAGTTTCAGAAAATCCAGAATTCAAAATTTAATTATCTACCGTAGACCTAGATTTAAGTGCGAAGATATGCCAAGTATAATTCTAAATCCCTACTAGATTCCTACGTGAAGTCCTCTAGTGCTGGTACTTGGAGATATCAGAGATCAAAGAAATCGAGGTTCAGGAGAACCTATTAGAATTAGAAAGAATACTCCTTCTCTACTGACGCATAGCACCAGTTTCTTTTCCTATTCCTTTTCAATAATCAAGCACCATCCTACGGTGGAGCACCGCATGACTCAAACAAATCTATCATGACAGAGTATCAGAAACCGACACCAAAAACAACCACTTCTGTACCCATACAGCTCCAAATCTCTGCTACTCATACTACCCAAGACCGCGGAACTCTAGACATACAAGGCCTAGGAACTATCGCTACCATCAAACATCTCGGCGTCAAACAGTAACGGCACTTTCCTCTTCCTCCTCTTCCTCCTCTCCAACGCCGTGCGCCAAGATCGGCATTCTTGGTCTCCAGCCACCTTCGGCGTCCGCCTCGGCGGCACTCTGCGCGATGGGATGGTGGTGGTGATGACTCTCCGTCACAGGCCCAGTAAACACACCCTTCCCTTCAAAATGATAGGCCAAAGTAGATATCCCAACAATTGTCAAAAATACCAAAAAGGAATAATTCATGTTTTCCCTGGTCACCGGGAGCCGTGGTGGAAGGACGAATAGCACTGTGCAACCGCCTACAAAGCCTAACCCCACAAGATTGCAGACCCAGCCCACAATACCGGGTAACTTGAAGTCTCGGTCATCGGGGAGCCGCTTGCGGCCCGTTAGGACGTTGATTAAGACAGGAAATCCATATGATAGCGCCAGCGAAATGACCGCTGTGGAGAATATTGCGTTTAGGGCTGTAGTGGAAATGAGGTATAAGCTACCGAGAAGCAGGACTGGAATTGTGGTCAGGAGGAGAGAATTTAGCGGCACTTGTAATGTTGGATGAATAGTCGCAAAGACGGCCGAAAATGGAAGACCGTTGTCCCGGGCAAAGGCGTAGAGGATTCGAGAGGAGGTTGTCATAAGTGTTGTTGACGCAAAGAGGAGACAACCAAGCGGGAAGCTGCCTATATTTAGCATAGTGAAATGGTAAAAGACATCTCATTTCTCACATCGTAAGGAGCGCTGAAAGGGCTTTGTTTCTTGTAGCGTGATAAAAGATTGATAATAAAGGCCTATAATTCTGTCAGGATGTGTTCTAAGAAGGAATAATGACCCTACCCCTCTGCAGCGCTAATTACGTCTTGGATATCTCCCATGCAAAATAACAGTACTGTCAGAAAAGCAAACCCAGTACTCATACCAATCATCACAGCATACACCATTAGTACCGGCCCTTCTTTGGTCGGATTCGGAATCTCTGCAGGGAAATCAGTCCGTGCGCGTGTCTACGCCCTAAAGGGATGTCATTACCTTCGATCATGTGAGCGACAGCATCGTATCCAGTGAGTGCGAGCGCTCCCTGTAGAAAGCCTACGCCCTATTAATTATGTGAATTCACGATAGCCATCGCTAGAAACCCACCCATCAGCCAGGCAACTCCATCAGGCCCTGGCAAACATCGTCGGTTAGCATCATAAACCATTATCCCAGGAAACACAATTCAATAGACCTACAGCCAGTCTGGTTGACAAACTTTTTGAAAACAAATTCGGCGGGTTGGTACTCCGGTGCCGTGGCCAATAGCGTTGCCGAGATAACAGCAAGTCCAGAAATGGACCAAAGAACTACTCTCGATCAACCCCGCCCAGAGCTTACTCGAAGGTAGAACGAATACTCACAAGCGCTTTTGGTGAATAACGGCAAAACTCTATTCCCAAACGCATTGATTAGGAACGAAGCAATAGTGAAAGCAGAATATATCCAAAAGGTCCCTAAGTTCGACAATTCATAATCCTATCCCACCGGTTAGCTGGAACCCTAGCCCCCCGTTCGGAGAAAATCTCGGGCACATACCGGGCGCATCAACCCCAAAAGCCCAGCAATAACTTGTCCTCCCAAGCTCCCACCGGTAGCAACTAGCAACACCCAACCAGAGCAATTTATCCACCCGCAAACCCAACTTAACAGTGGCACCCACTCCTTTGGCGAGATCTCTGCTACCCAATGGTATTGCCCCTGTCCCCCGTCATATCCCATCAACACCCGAAAATCAATTCGGTACGCAGTGGACTAATGAAAAAGGAACTTACACCGGCCCTATCCCTGACAGTTAGTGTACCAACATCGAGGAAGGCAGAAAAAGGGTAGGGTAAACCCACGTCGGCCAAGCACTCAAAAATTCGGCCAGACTCGCCGATAAGCAAATATTGCACAAACCCGAAATGACCAACCCCCACAGCACCGCTGATGGGCCCCCGGACGGGAGAGCGATCGATAAGCTAGCAGATAATGCCGTCCACGAGTTTAAGATGGCGAATGCAAGACCTAGCATAGACCTATAGCGTGCGTGTTAGATGCGCGGAGGTTGGGTAAGGAGAGAAACAGTACAGCTTCGTGTGGTTTCGCTTTAGCTCCGGCGTGTGTCCTGGCGCGAGGAGCTGAGCTGTGTCGCCATCGCTCCCGGCTTCGGAGTTAGCTGTTTTCAATAAGGGAGAACTTGAGTCTGGAGGGCTTCTAGAGGTGGACATTGGAGTGAGGGTTGCGCCAACAGGAAGGGAAGGAGATGTCGGGCACGATAGATAGCTGGAACCTGGGTCCCGAGTAAGTAAGCTGCAGCCCTGCGGCAGGGATTGTCCACGTGCGCAATGTCGCAGCTGGAAGATAGTGTTTCCGCTTACAAGCGAGACTGCTTGTACCGGTGCCGTACTTGACCATATATAAAGTATTCGGACGCTTGGCGCCCAGACAGGTGCTAATAACGCGCGGGTGTTCGAATACTTTATGAAAGTTCAAGTACTCGAGTACAGGAGGCGCCAACCCGATTGCCGAAGCAGTTGGCTCAATCCAAGCTCAATGACTCGAGTAAATGAACGACCTCTGGTGTCGTCAATCATACTTGTGCCGTAGGAATTTCAGAATCCAACTCTTTCAGTCATGGTGAGTTAATGAAGTCCTTATTCGGTTTGATGGGCTTGATGGGGGGTTTCAACCAACCAGAAACACCACCAATCTTTGGATCATACTTGTACTTGTATCTGTCGAACGATAATACTCGGACCAGCACTAGTACGATATCCAATATGGGCACTGGCCGCGCGAAGACCTTGGCACAAGGGTTGGGCTTGCGATTCTTCCTCACATCATGTGGGAACAACAGCAGCCCAACAACGCCAGTGCACCACTTCCTCCCGATCCCTGCGGGACAAAAAACCCCACCCCCACCCCGGGAAAAAAGAAATTACAACCGCTCCCACGATGGCAAACATCTCCACCCGCGTCTCCATCCGCTGGCCCCCCGCTCCAGCCTCAGAACCAACAAGCACACTTGTAACCACCTCCACAAACCTTCAGTTCGTTGACCTCCGTCTCCCCGCCTCACTCGAAAACTCAGCGCCCCCGCAATGGGCCATCGCCGGAAGAACCGTTGTCGGAACCCCGATGCGGTGGGTACACGAGATTGATTCCCGAACGGATACCCCCGGCGAAGACTCCGGGGTGAATACCCCACTTCCCAACGGGGGCATATTAGAAAAGGGAAGAATGGTGGACGACGAGGATGGCCAAGTCAAGGACTATGAGGAGGTCTGGCGAGAAGTGGGCATTGATGAGGGGGTCACATTGGTGCTTGAATGTAACGACGAGGAGGGTGCTAGAGGGCGGGTCGTTAGGGTTGGTGGGTATTGTCAAGGGATGGTTAAGGTTGGTGAGAGGACGAGTTGCGAGAGGTATGTCAAAGATAGGGATAATGGGAAGTGGGAAAGGGTCTACCGATACGGGGATGTGAATATGCCTTGTGATCTTGCCTGCTTGGATCGTGGCTTGCTGGGAGGGGGTGGAGAGGTTCAGGTTTTTGACGAAGATGGCTCTAGGGTTACGCTTAAGAAGGGGGTAAATGTTGGTGATAGCCTTAAGGTTAACGGCTATACCTGGAAGGTGACAGAGAAGAACCTTTGGTAGTGTGGGTCGGAGTCCTAATATGAATTTGCACAATGGGTCAAGCATTAGAGGTTGGGCAGTACGTACTAGCTATACCTCCGCAGTCCTAATCCCCAATACTATACACCCCGAACAAAGGGTAATAAGGTAACCAGTTCCACCTCGTAGCCACGTAATAACCCTGTAACAGGGTTACCATCCCCCCAACTCTGAACCGGCACAAAACAGCTGCACTCAATCTCAAGAATCAAAGCACTTCCAAAGCGGCTACGTTTCCCACATTCAATATCATTAAAAACATTTCCATTGGACTTATTATACTGAACTCTCGAGTGCAGATCTAGAATAGAAACAAAATTCCCCATCCGGCGACGCTCCAATTCCCCCTATCGCAAGAAACCATCAACTTGGACCTCCTCACCCCTCGCTCACCTAGTCAACCTCTTCAATCTCACATTGGATTGAGCCCTCCTCTGAACTCTCCTCCACATTCACCAAACCTTCTCGGTACAACATCCACTCTGGCACATGCTGAGCTTGGGGGCTACCACCTGTACGTCTCCTTGGGGGACCCTCCTCCCTGGGGGGGTAACCAGATCCGGAAATTTCCTGCCTCAATACTGGTCGAGCCGATTGATGGTGTCCGGGGTGGTGGGTATGTTGGGGTTGATACCCTACGCCATAGCTTACACCATTGTAATCTGGATGCACGTATAACGGATTATACCCGTCCGCAGACCTCCTGCCTTCCGCAGCATGACCATGGCCAGTATGGCAACGGTCCGATCCCTGCCCATGCCCATGGTGCACTGCGTGGTGAGTGGGCTGGTTATGTTGTGTGTGTGTAGGATCGTCAGAGCGATGCCTGCGATGCCTATACTCCTCCGGGTACCGCTGGCCGCATTGCGCTCCAGCATCGCCTTCCTGTCTTCTGTGTGCTTGGTGGGCGCGATCACTGCGTCCCTGCCTCTCGTGGGCCGCCAGGTTTTCCGCGGTAAGCCTTGGGTAATCTGGCCCCTCGGCGTATTCCTCGGATGCGGGGTAGTAGGAGTGAGTGTGGTGGTCTGGTTGCCTGTGGTGCGTCCTGGTGTCCTCACCCCGATGGTGTCTATGCCCGTGTCCCGATCTGTGCTCCGGATCGCTGGTTCTTATAGTGATTTTGTAGCCGTCGGCTTTGTACACGATATCTTCCATTTTTGAGTGGGGATTGGGTTTCGAAGTCTGTTAGTTCCTAGGGTATCTGATGTATGCTGCAGTGGTGAAGCTAGATCGTGGATCGTTTCTTTCGCTGGATGGGTAGGATGGGAGCGGTTTATATAGGCCACAAAAATTCAAGCTCGCGATGTTCCTCTCTTCAAAACTAGTATGGGGGCTTAGCAGCGCGAGTGAATTGTATGTCTCAGGGCTTTTGCCGCCACTAAGAGAAGCATCGTGTTCGGGATATACTATGTTCAAACCAGATAGAGCCACCGAGCGTCTAGTGAAAGTAACACAGCGAATAGATGGGATAGTCACAAGATGTCACCCGGGGCTGTTATGACTAATCGGGGAACAGCGAGGGTACGAAATGAACCGCAACAGGCAGTCCGGGCCAGATAGTCTAATTGTAAGTCAAATTCAAATAAAGAACTTTAGCCACTTCTATAACTAGTTTGGAAACAACACCAGTGTTAGTTACTAGGGAGATTCGGAATGCGCTAAAAAGAACCGTACTAGTTAGGAGCGTGCAGCCATAGTTTTAGGGAGTCCTTTCACAACACAAAGAGAGACACCCTTGACATATACTTCCACCTTATCTAGACTGCCTCCGGTTAGAAGAATCCCTCCAAAAATAGATGACGTGCATATGATCTAAAGTCAGTTCATGCATCCCCTTGAGTTCCCGCCCCATTTCAAACCCACCATTTTTACTCTCTCTCTCCCGCCTAGAGCCAAAACGGTATCGGCCAAAGTACTCCTAGGGAGATTTCCGGTACTTCCATATTCTAGAAAAAAAAAATTGCGACCACCGAGAGATCTAATCAGTTCCGTCAACTGAAATTACCGGAAAGCACTCCTGGCGAGGAATCCGGTGCTTCGTCGATTGGGTTCCGCGGGAGATGCTCGCAGGCCCCATATCCAGTGGCTATAATAGGCAAGTCTCTGCAAGGGATCTAGAACCATCTAGGCATGCAAAGCTAGCCTAGCCTGAAAACCCTTCTCAAACTCTCTTTTCTTTCTAATGATGATTGAGTTGTGCAAACTTTTGTGTCTTAGTGCCATTAGCTTGAATCGACACCTAGACACCGTGCTGAGGCTTCTCGCTAACAGTGATCCCTGGCCATATTGCAACATTACAAGATGGCGAAACCAGGGTGCCGTTATGCTGAACTAGTAGGTTAAAGGGAGTTTTTGAGAGGAGGTATCATCTGCTCATTGCCAAACTCTCCATAGCCCATCCCAGCATTATTTTAACTTGATCACATCACCACAAATCACTCGTCCAATCTGGGCGAAAGCAGCAAGATTACACTGTCTACGATCCGATACGGTACAATACGCTACAGCACGGCAACTTATCACAAACTCGCCAGAGGCAGCTAGCCGAGCCAGCGCGGAGGGGCTGGGGGCGTTAGTGAAGGCAAAAGCATGGAGGGTCCCCACATGGCGCAATGAGGAGGGAAAGAAACCCCAGTTCAAGCTTTCAAGTAGACGGCCGGCTTCCTGCATTGCACGAGCTTTAGGCGGCAAGGTTTCCACATGGAAATCCCATACAAATTTAGGGTACGAGATCAGTGATATGCAACAAGGCAAGTCACCCTACTATTCGAAAACTATAGCTAACCCAATCCGGCCAATACAATCCACTTTGATACTGCGTATTCTAAAGTATGATGATACGGGGACAAATCTTTCGTCCTATCCTCTTTTTACACCAAAAATAGACATTTTCCAGTGGACAATTCTCAACGCTGCATATATGATAACACATCAAATTGTTTCATAAGCTAGGGAATGACTATCTGTTCCCACATCTACACGTACAAGTACAAGGGACTAAAGCTATCTTCATCGTTCATCATTGCACCGACCAATGTAACAGTGAACCTCAATTTTTTTCTATGGGGCTCCATAGAAAAAAGTACATGGCAACCGATACAGGATACTTAAACAATCTTTCCTCCATCACTTTACAATATTTAAGGGTTCTGTAATGTTTTTCATGTCATCTATGGGCTTGTTAATGCATGGACAAATTTCCACTGATTCTCATAAACATTGTGCAAGGAGAGAGGGTGGTGAAGATGGGGACTTTTGGTGTAAAAAGGGCATCGGGCGAAAAGTTTTGCCCTAGTACTGTACATCATGTTAAATAATATGTAAACACTAACCCTGCTCGCCCCTTCCCCGGGCGATGGCTCTCGCGCATCAGCCCCCCCACACACACAAACATACGAGCAACTAATGCATGGAATCAGTAATCATTCACCCCTACCGCTTCATCCGTATCTGCGGAAGGTCCGAGTGAAGTGTACAGCTTATTTATTTGTTTTTTTGTCCTCCGTAGCCGCGAGACTAGACCTAGACATGCCACCTTCCTTAGGAAGTATATAAAGCAGGCGTCCGAATACCCGTATCCTCACTTCTATGCAAGAGCGCCAGGGAAAGTGACAAAGGGAGTAGCGGAGACTGATACCTTTTGGCCAGTAGGTGGGTGAATACTTGGATGTGGGGATTGTATGAAGGGGTGAGAAGTTCCAGGGAACGGATGAGGGGAAGAAAAGGAGACCGTGACGCGAAAAGCGCAATGAAACGTGGTGGGAGAAGGGAGGAGTGTCTGCATAGGGCGCCCGTTTCCCGTACTGTGAGCTTGATTCAAATTGAGCAGAGATTATGACTAGCGTTGTTGGCACTACAAGTGCCTTGTGCCGTGCCAATGTGCCCGGCACGGCACTATGAAATGCCGGGGTGCAGTGAGATTAGCCGATGGCACAACATGCCAGTGGCACAATATGATTGTCAAAAAAATGGCCAATATTCTGGCACTTCAGCGGGGCAAGGACCCACAGGGATGGGAAATGGGTGATATTCGGTGTGAATTGGACTTGTAGATAGTTTCTCATGTCTTCCCCCTTAGAAGAATCATTTTACTTGCATGTGGATTGCCTGGGCACTACATAGTGCCGTGCCGGGCACAACTTTCCGTGACTTAGTGCCAACAACGCTAATTATGACCTAAAAGCTGCCCGTGCCTATTAGTCATACAAGCCAAGCGGGCCCGAGCCCAAGACACAGCTTTCCCCCGGATCGGCCCGTGCCGAACACTATCCCTATTTCAATTGTCCTACAGCCGGATTGACCAGAATCCATCCACACATTCGCTTCCCGTAAACGCCCAATTCATACTCTTAGCCCTATGCCCGGACGCCATAAACCCAATCCGAACACGATATGGTGCCAATCACTTAAAACGTGCACCGTGCTCCATGCAACATGTAACGCTCAACCCTCTGAGAAACTAGCACTATCCCCTAAACCTAATATCTCCAGAAAAATCTTAAATTTTATTTGTACCTATAACACTTTGTGTATTTAATAACATATTAATTCCAAGACTCCTCAATCACATATCAATGTTTCAAATCAGATTTATTCCGATTGCTTGGCTAAAACTCAGCTACCTAGCACAGATCCACTGATAGGACTTGGACATTTGGTGTACAAATTTTTTGCTATACAGGTACCGAGTATATGTATATACTTAATGGGTCTTGAAATTAACAGGTTATGAATAAAAGTTAACATTTTTCCGAAGATACCGGGCCTAGGGTAAGGTCCTAATTTCTTAGAGTTGAGTGTTACATGTTGCATGGAGCACGGTGCACCTTTTAAGTGACTACACCATACCCACAGAGGCAGCTAAGCATCCTGAAAAAAAAAAGCTGAAAATGTAGCCTCACCCCGTTTTATCCGCGTTCTTTCTCTTTGGTGGGGACATCGTTGAGGGATATTCAACCCCTTGGCATATTTGTTGCGCCATCTAGGGTGGGACTAGGGCACGTTTGTCACTATAGTTATCAAGGCATTGCTCTAGATGCACTCGACCATGGCGGAAACATCAAGTCGTGATTTATCTCTTCTAACGAAGTAGCATGGGGGCAAACAGGATGCCACATCAAACAGGCACGGGGTCCAGGGGGGGGAGTGACCTACTATGGGCGCTAGAGGAAGAATAATAGGTGCTGAGAAAGTCCCATGTAAGTGGGGACTTCTGGAGCCAATATCTATCCGACTAGAAAAGTTCTTCCCCTGGGACATACTCAATTTACTGCGCATACCGTGCTAGCAAATATGGTATAGTGCTCTGGGATAAAATCCGAAGTTCCAACATGTCCTAGGCCCAAAGAACCGGTCCATCAGGCTTCGGGCGCTGCTGGATACTAACCCACTCTTCCCCCAAATCTACCAGGTCGGCCACGTACAACAGCCCCTCCGACCCCAAGCCCACCCTGCGCTAGGACAGCTCAGGTACATGTTTGGCAATAAACTCTATTCCATAATAATTCTAACCCAACCGAAGAAGTCGCCGCTATTCTTCGGTTTTGTAAGCAGCTCCATTCTCCCTACACACCCGTGAATACGGCGCTGGAGTCGGGAGAGCAGAGCTCAAGATCAGCTTGGCACACGGTAGGTTGACGCTCTGAACCCCGCCAAGAACCAACTATCTGGAATCCCCCACACCGTCCCAGAAGGGTATCATATTCAGCCCGTTCTGTGATGCATCACTCAATGGTAGCACAAGATTCCCACCGTACGTGTAACAGGTTCAATGCGGGCAATTTCAAGAACAGTGCTCGATAGATCGCAACCACGGAACACCAAGCGGCGCTCCACGGCTCCACCAGATGACGTGCCGTGAGAGTTAGGTTCGAAATTTCCCAAATCTCGGCCATCAATACCACGGTAAGCGTAACGTTTTCGCCGGCCCCGAATTGGGTAGCGATGTCCCTATATGAGGAGGTAACGGTTGTTTCTGAAATTCCTGACAGCAGTCTTTTGGTGCCGGTGCGGTTTAGGCTGGCCGGCAGGGGTTCGGGAGATATGGATTTACGCAGTTGGGATCTACCGTGGTGTTAATATAGGTTATCATAATGACAAGGCCTGGTCGAGACTGAAAACCCTTGAAACCAGACCGGGAATTGAGGGCTCTAAATGGCTACTCCAAGTACCACCGCATTCCTTGCTTCCGTTGGAGTAGGATTTTTGCAGCTGTTATCCTTGAGCGCAGTCCTAACGAGATCAGTTTCAGTAAAGCCGAGTATTGGCTACTGTATAACCTCCTAAAGGGACAGAAGCCAACATTTGTCGGGTCCGATAGGATCTTGATAGGAGTGGCAACCCCGCCAGTAACACTATTAATAACTCGTACCCAGGTCTGACTACGCAAGCCCTTAATATGCTCCAAATGCTCACATAACTACCGGCATTCCTTGAATCGACCAATAACAAACTCAATGACAAACCCCAAAAGCCTCCAACCGTGGCTGCAGGAACACAGTACCCTCTCAAATCCGTGATCTCCGACCCCCAATGAGAGCGGGGTCCGTTAGAGCGGGCAAATTCCGCACCACCCCATGGAGCATGACTCGGTGATTCCCAAGTTATCCTGGCCAAGCCCGCATCTTACACGGCACCTGGCGGGAGGAAGGAACTGCCGATCCAAGCGCGCGGCATCTTTGGGGCGGGTCAAACGTCGAAAGCCTCGATACGTGCCGTGTCACAAGCACCGCACTCTACAGACTCCGACACCGCTGCACCCCTTCCCCCGAGTGATGATGCGCATGTGCACATCGCACATATGTTCTGGAATTGTTTGGGCATATAATATCAAACCTCGAGCTGAGAGCAGGGCAGGGCCGGTGCGCGTTTCCCAGAAAAAAAATTCGTGACCAAGATTATTGCTTGTTCACAAGACGAGTAGTCTATAGGCGCAAGAAAACGAGGAGCAAATTCACTATTTTTTGGAACTATGCTATCCCAATCTGGTTCGCCAAGCCACAGATACCGGTATCTAACCCCCCCCCCAGAGGATAATGCTTCGATCCCTGAAAAAAGAAAAAAGAAAGGAGAAAGCCGTCCAGTTCGCCCCCGAAACAACCGAATGGTTTGCCCGACACAACCTGCCCACACTCCACTTGTATGATAGTATCGCCCGCAACAAGTTACTTGTACCACACCACGCGACTCTCGGCCCCTTCCAACTTCACACACCCGACTCCTCCTTTTGCCGCTTCACCAACATCATCGCAACACGATCATTCATCATCTGCACCGCAACATCCAATGCGGTCCTGTTCAGAAAATCGCTAATCCCCGTCTTCGCCCCTCTCCGCAACAGGCAACCCACGAGCCTCGCGTTCCCAGACTTGGCCGTCAAATGCAATGGCGTCTGCCCCGCACGATCCTGCCCCGTGATGTCCCCACCAGCATCCAACAACCACTCCACGGCGGACAGATGCGAGTATTGGGCAGCGAGATGGAGCGCGGTCTGGTGATTCGAGTCCACGTCGTGAACGTTCGCACCAGCCCTTATGCACCGCACAATGGTTGCACCGGAGGATATGGCGGCGAGGTGTAGTGGCGTGCGCTGGTCGTTGTCGCGCACGTGTATGTCCGCCCCGTGGCCGAGCAGTAGACGAACGGACTCGTCTTTTCCGTACTTCACCGCGAGGTGCAGTGCCGTTCGCCCGTTGCAATCGCGGAGGTGCACCACGGATGGATTCTTTTCCAGGAGGATTTTCATCGCCGGGAGGCTGCTCATTTGCGTTGCCTCGTGCAACGGTGTCCTCCCGTTGAAGTCTTGGGTACTTGCATCCGCACCGCCTTCCAGCAGCAGTGACACGATTCGTGCCGCTTCGCCCTGGCGCTCGTTATGCGTTGCCAGGTGCAACGCTGTCCTCCCCAGTTGCTCACGATCCGATATCCGTGCGCCGTGGTCCAGCAGGGTTTTCACCATTGCTGCGTTTCCCAGAAACGCGGAGCGGTGGAGGACCGTCCAACCGAGCGTTTCTCGGACGGAATAGTTCGCGCCCCTCTCCATTAGGAATTTCACCATCGAGGCATGCCCGTGAGCCGCAGCCCAGGATAACGCAAGAACGCCGTACTTCCCCTTGGTGGCGAGGGAGAGGAGCATCGGGTTCAGTAAATTTGCAGCGCGTACATTTGTTTGGAGGAACGAGTTTAGGTCTTTCGCGTCGAGATTCTCCGCTATCAGGAGGTGGAGCTCGTTGGGTAAATCACCGAGCGGCATTTTCGTGATATCTATCCTGCGAGTGACCGACCGAGCTCAGGTGTGCGGATGTTCTGTTGATCCGGGTTGGCTGCCTGGTTGGCTGAGTGGACAGATTGCTGAATGAGCGGCCAAGTTGTAAGCAGGGCAAGATCTCTAACCACGATTCCCCAATTCCTTCAAGTCGTTGATCAGTACCGCTTCCATAGTGGTTGGGGGGCAGCGGCCTTATACAGGATCCGCTGGCGGGTGCGGCCAAGCTATTGAACCCGAGTCATGTACCTCGCCCCTGAACGACGCTTTGAAAGGGACGAACGGAAAAGAAAAGAAAAAAAGGCTATCTCCGATGCCTAAAGAGTACTCCCTACGCCCGCATGTCGTTCGTTTTACCCGATATGGTGGGGGACCGAGGCCGGAGTGCGGATATAATCCAAAAATATAATTTTTTTAATCAATTATTAATTGGGTGCTTCGTTTTCGTTGGTGAAAACAGCTTAGTCTAGGAAAATTGGTTGAACGATGCTTGTTGAATTTTTATTTTTATTATTTTCGCTACAAGCACACCTTGCAAGGCTTTGCGCTAAGCGAGAGGAGCGTCTAGTTTGTATCGGCACGTTCTGCCGGTATGCTACGCCCCTCCCGGATACGGGGGGAAACAGGGGTCACTGGACGTCACTCGTGCAATATAAATCCTTGCTTTCTTACTGTGCTAGTACTGTACTCGTACCGTACATGATGTTTATGCCGTTTCGATCTCACGCATGCGGGAGTTTGTGAACTGTTTAGTAAAAAAAAAAAAAAAAAAAACTATAGAAAGAAAAAAGAAAAAAAAAAAAGAAAGCAGGAGAGATACTGTACTCGTACTAGTATCTTCCCCGCACCGGTACGGTAACGGGTCCCGAGCACCTGCTGACATCTGTTCAGTTCCCCATCTGCCGGTACAGTACGGGTACTATCCCCCCTGTCATACAGGGTCAGTTAGAATCTAAATGAGTAATCATCTTCACATTTTATCACTCGCTGAATATTAACACCGCATCCGCACAGTTGGTATCCACCAATGGTGATAGCCACTTTCCCTCCCATCCCGCCCCCATAGCCGGCAAAAGCGAGTGTGACACGGTGGCCGCCGCGCATAAAGTTAGAGTTGTAAAGGGGGGAAGAAACCTATCAGAGATATTGAAGCCCCATGAGGGTTTATTGCAATTGGATTATTGGCGCCTGGTAGGGAGGGAAGCTCTTGGGGCTGCTCCAACCTCCACTGAAACCGGTCGAGAGCTCTACTCATGCCCTGGACTCCACTCGCTGCGAACACCGGTGCGGTTGATCCACAGTTACTTCGGGGAGATGATAGGCATGAGGTGGATAGTGCACCGAAGTGGTACGGGAGGGATATGCTATGCCAGAGGGAGGCTATGGTGGTAGAGGCCGCAATTGTGAGGTCCTTGTTGACGCATCGGGCTCTGATTCTTCGTATATATCCTGAGATTCTATCCCCTGGGATTGCTGGTTTTGTAGGGCTTGATTGGAATGATGTGCCTATCCATCATTTTTGCACTATTATAGCGATACTTGTCGTTTCTCTCTTCTCGTGTCACACCTAGTTTTACCGACTATGGGCGGAATGGCAGGAGGATCGGCTGTTAGAAGGTAGATGCGAGGGCCAAGCGTCCACTAGAACCCTGTAGCGGGTTGGTCCAAGTAATGGAGCGAGACGGGTGAGTAGAATTGATAAGCGCGCGGACTTGGACTCGGTGAATGAGCAGTCATTCTTGGTCACTCAGTTATGATAATCCCATCTTCAATGGATCTGCAATGGATTGCGGATTATTGTTTTTATCCAGTAACTTATATGAATAAGTCCCATTCAGATACCGGTGGGCAGGCTTTTGCAACTCCTCCTGTTATGCTACCTTCCCCGGATCTATCACTGTTGGTACTCCCCCCCCGCCTCTCTTGTAAGGATACGTGTTTTTCTCGATCTTGGCTCCAATATCCGAGTATTTGTAATGAGAATCACATCCCTACCTGACCATTCCCCTTCATTGAGCTGAGATAGGCTCTTTCGGAACCTCCATCCAGGGCCTGGAACAGATTTGCGATTTTATCCACGAACTATCCCGGTCCCCCGGTTGATCTTTCGGCGGATGTCTTGGCCCCGAGAATTCACGTGCAGGAGATCTCACTCCGGCCCCCGATCCCACACTAAGATGACCCGGCGTCGGTTAGGACGCCCATCAGATCCCCACAATATGATCCCCGCCTCAAGCCTTATAAGTGTCTCTCAACTCCAGCCATCTCACCATCTTCTATCCCTCCAACCAACGCGCCTACCGACCACATGACCGCACCTTCCAAAAAAACAAGATCCAAAATGATGGGGCCCGGCGATCAGAAGATCGAATACCGCCGCGTGGGGAACTCCGGCTTGAAAGTCTCCGTTCCGATCCTCGGGACCATGGGGTTCGGGAATAAACTCTGGCAGCCATGGTGCGTAGACGAAGAGGCGTCGTTGAAGGTCCTGAAGGCTGCTTACGACCTGGGCATCAATACCTGGGATACGGCAAATACCTATTCCAACGGCGAGTCCGAGAGGATTATCGGGAAGGCTATCAAGGAGTTCAAGATTCCGAGGGATAAACTGGTTATCATGACCAAGTGTTATTGCGCCGTTGGGGATGAGCCTGGAATGCAGAGCTATATGATGCCCGAGTTGAAGTTTCGGAAAGATTATGTGAATCGGCTTGGTCAGCTTCTTGCAGTTCGCTTTTGGGAGTGGAGTCTGACAAGGAGGGGGTGTAGGGCTCTCACGTAAGGCTATATTCTCGGAGGTGAATGCTTCGCTGGAGAGGTTGGGGTTGGAATACATCGACTTGCTCCAGATTCATCGGTGTGACCCCGAGACAACGCCGGAGGAGACTATGGAAGCATTGCATGATCTTGTAAAGAGCGGGAAGTGTGTTGTCTCCTTCCCATTACTTCCCGCAAGTCCAAAGTCGCTCATGCTAGGAAATAGAATACGATACATCGGTGCCTCATCAATGTGGACCTGGCAATTTTGGTACATGTCAAACATTTCCCATGCCCCAATCCGACCAGCTAACACCAAAACCGCACTAGCCTCTACCAACAAGCCGCTGAGCGCAACAACTGGACAAAATTCATCTCAATGCAGAACCAATACTCCCTCATCTACCGAGAAGAAGAACGCGATATGATACCCTACTGCCGTGCAACCGGCGTCGGCATAATCCCCTGGGCGCCTCTAGCACGCGGGCACCTAACCCGCCTCTCCGCTGCAGAAATAGACTCCGAACGGAGCAACATGGAGAAGAAATACCAAGGCGAGGCCTTCTTCGCTGTGGGCTCATCGGAAGTAGATAAAAGTACTATTTCCCGCATCAAGGAGGTTGCGGATAGAAAGGGGTGGACTATGGCTGAAGTTGCGCTTGCCTGGATTTTGGGCAAGGATACTGCCCCAATTGTGGGAATTTCGAAGGTGGAGAGGGTGGCGGATACGGCAGGGCTGAAGGGGAAGAGCTTAAGTGAGAATGAGGTGGAGTTTTTGGAGGAGTTGTATATTCCTAGGAAGATCTCGGGACATATTTAGTGTGGAGGGGGCCGGTGCACACCTCTTCACTGTGTGGCGGCGCAGGTTTACCTGCTAAGGACTATCCTCCTACGGTATATTTTGTGGATATCCCTGTGGTTTATGGGGATATAAACACAAGCACCCGGATGGCTAGAACTTGAATCTTAGACGCCCTTCACGTTTCTTAGACATTTTAAAGGAAGAGGAGAATAACTCATTTGCTATCCCTCGTTTCCTGTCCCGCTGCCAAACTAACGGTCTGATTTCAAATATATCCCAAGCACTCTCTACGGCATAGTACAAGTATAGACCTCGCCCGCATGCGGTAAGGATCCCATGGTAGATAAAAACCGAAAATAAAAGCATAAACCGAAGAGATAAGTCGAAAGAAGAAAAAAACTAAACTAAACTGGTGAGGCCTAAAACGGTCCACCATCAAAGTGAGCTCGTGTTTCAATCGAAACTTGCATGGATATCCCATCTCAGATAAAATCCGAACTTGTATCTCCCGCTGCGCTCCCGGTGCTCGAGCGCTCGGGAGCAGTGTTCGAGTGTGCATTTGGCTGGCCCTGTATTTTCCTACAACGGACTTCGGGGTAGAATGATGCCGTCCACCCTGTTCTTGCGATTGCAGTGCGTTTATGGTGTCGAACCCTATTCCGAGCTCCCTAAATAGGAAGGCGAGGAGCGGCCACAGCGCGGTTGGAGAATGGGGCTTGGTCCATGTATTCCTCCTTGTTCTATGGGTAAATACGATTGCATCGGTAGCAATATATGTGCGTATTTCATAGTCTATCATGCATATTTGGCCCCCGAGACACCCCCCAAGGGGTTTACCGTATTGCGTTCTCGGTTGTTGGGGGTGGTCTCGTGCTGCTCACTGGGTGTCATTCATCATCTGATATCTTTTATCGCCAGTAGAGTATCTCGGCTCTTAGCGTATGAGCCTTCGCAAGTATAGCATGAAGGAAAACTAGAACTATCCCCGCATCGCAGTGAATCCCGCTCCGCATCTCACGATAGCAAAAGAGATTGGTCACACCAGCCATACTTCTATACGCTTCGCGAGCAACTTCCGAGTCCCATCAGTGCCACCGCGTACCCCCGAAGTTGCCTCCGCTTCTTGTATTTCTTATCGGTAGCCCCATGGCCCTTCAACACTCGTGCTATCTTTATATGCCCACGTCTCAGCGCATAGTCCAGCGGTGTATAGCCTTCGACATCCCGAGCATTGATATCCACTCCCTCCCATTCTGCTAGAAACCGCACAACACTCAAATGCCCGCCAATTGTTGCAAAGTGCAAAGGTGTGTATGAGGGACGGATGCCCCCACCATTGGAGAGTTCGCTGGGGCCCGGGCATTGGGTCAAGCCACCGCTCAGGTTAACACCTGCGCCACCCTCTAATAAAAGCCTCACCATAGCCAGATTCCCCTTTCGGGCAGCCAAGCAAAGAGGCGTTCCTCCGCTCGGACACCGCACATCAACCTTTATATTATTCCCCCGCAACAAACACCGTACTACCTCCTGACCCCCGATTTGAACAGCGAGATGCAGCACAGATACCTCTCGAACGCGATCCACGACATTAACATTGACCCGCTCATCCTCACATAAAACCTTGACGACATCCACGAAACCCTTCTGCACGGCGGATACCAACGCCGGCGTATGATAGGGCCGACGGCGACTCGGAATCGGTGCCGTACCCAGAGATGCCAGAAGGGCGCTCACCGCGGGTACATTCCCGGCCATCGCCGCTCGGTTGAGAAGTGGCACAGGACGCCCCGTGAGTGGCGCCACAGGATCCATCCCGCAGAGCAAAAGCGTCTCTAGCGCGGACGCATCTTCTTCAGCGTTGAATAACCACCTCTCCATATCACCGCTGCCCCGACGGTCGAAGTGTTCCAGGATACCCCATTTGAGCATTTTCTCCACAGTGTATGCGTCGCGCCGGGTAGCGGCGGAAAATAGTGCTCGGGGACCGTAGCGACACGCAGTTTCGTGCTCCCGTAACGGGGAGGCGTAAAGAGTTTGAGTTAAGTGGTGATTTAAGTAGTGACATGAGAGGACAAGCGAGTTTATGGAGTTGGCATTGAGGAAAGACGCTATCCCGAGAAGTATTTCAGGAGGGAGAGTTAGGAGGGGCATCCTGACGAGGGGGAAGGTTGGTGTTATGAACTTATGATGGTCGGGCTGAGGTGTAGTTGGGAGATATCGCGGCTGACGGCTTGGCGACTCTCCTCAATCCACCACCCACCATGGCACCAATCTGGACTTCCTTTGGTGAGTCTGAATCAAAGCCTGTTTCCTAGTATCATTCCTTTGTAGGTTTCGGATTTGGTGATCCCCAAAGTCTCACCCAATATGCAACATGGGCCCACCAAAGAGAATAGGCTGTTTTAAACTAAAGGTAACTTACCAGAAGAGAGGGGGTGGGCGGGCGAACACCACCCACAACAGCGTAGCACAACTATAGCTTCCATTCCCATTCCAATAGTCTAATTACCCGCCATGTTGTCACCACCACTATTCAGCCCCTCTGCCCTCAATAATAATTAGATAAATAGCCTTTTCCTGTAATATCCAACTGTAACCATGCACCCCACTGCCATTCGCAAGACCATTACCTAACCCAACCACAAGTGTATTCATACGGACCATACCTACAGAATGATGAATAGTACTACTGACGAAGGTTCTTCTTACAGGTGTCAAGCAGACAACCCGGATCCGGTATTGTCATACTAGTACAAATGCTCTGAAGATAACATGGATGTCGGTACAGCAACAAAATCAACACAAAAGTAGACAATCCTAGTCTTGCACCTCACAATCAATATCCAATATTATCCAAACTCAAGCCTGCTCAAGGTGCAAAAAGTGTGCAGCTATTTAAAAGAGGAGGCAATGATAACCACGCGTTGCACCGGAGAAGTCTAGTGGGGAAACGGCCACAAGGTTTGCCATAGCGCACCTCTCGGCCAGCCCAGTGCACTGAATAGAAACAGTCCCATATCCGAGAGTTCTTCAGTTGTGAAAACAATGTTGGTAGAAGAAGGATGTATGGTATCGAATATATGGCCATGCGGAACTATTAGTTTCGCAGCAGTAGGCGTTACCAAACCAGATCCATCGATTCCTGCATATTGCCTAAAGGAAGGCTTAGTCGAGCTGCAACGAGGATTTTGATTGGGATGGCTGAAAATTTCCCAGCATCCAATTCTGATCCTACAAGGGTGGAAGAAAGTATGAATAATAATGACCATCCTAGTACGACCACCCGAATAATGAAGCCACCACTCAGCATCGATCCGTAATAAATCCAGGGTCTCCGAGTAGCCTACTTCAATCATAAGAAAAGGTCCAATCATTCTTGTGGTTTCTCGATACCGGTTTCATGCCTGCATCTCCTTCCTTACATCACTTTCCAGGAACTTTAAACGTTATTGCTCCTATATCCCGAAATGACTGCCACGAATGTCTCAGAATTTTTTCAATCTTGGACGAAATTCGACAGCAAAATAGCTACCTAGTGTTTTCGTGTGAAACCCCCAGCATTAGGTGGATAATTAGGAAGCTCAGATCCTACCCATAAGTCAGTCACACAACATTCCGAATACCTAGAGCTTCCAAAATCTCCTCAATTCCTTGTAGGGTATGGTGGGAGATACCACTGAACAGAAGATAGTCACTTTGCCATTGTCTTTGGCAAGCTGCAATCCATTTCTCTAATATTAGTGCTATTATAGTGGGTGGTGTCAGAGGACTCAATGCGCAGCGGGGAATGGAAGACGAAGTGGACAAAATGTGTGAAACTATGGCAGTAAACCGAGCAGCTATGAGAGGTAAGGTAAAAGAATGGCTATGTTTTTTCTTTCCAAACTAATGGTAACAACAGACGTATAAATGAAAACACAAACAGTAAACTCTGACTCTTCTATCGATCACCACACCAATCTCTATCTCTCCATGCATGCTTTCCTTTCTACCGCACACTCCCGTAATAACAAAGGAAAGACATGTTCAATGAATCTGTTCCGCCAATCTCACAACCTCATACAGCAAGACTTCCGAACCTTCCACAATCCATTCCAATCAATCCACATCCTTCCATGACCTTCAACAAGTGCAAGGTCCTGAGGATTCATAAAAGCCTGTTGGGTCATGGAGGGTACCAACCTTGGTTGTTTTCCAAAAACCGTAGATGAGTTGTCCGCATAAGGCACGATTGCAGATGTAACTTTAACCCCTTGTGCGAGCTTATCAGGAAGTAACGTTGTAGAAGTAATGGGTGTGGGAGGAAGATGGCCTGACGGCAGAAGGATTTTCTGAGACTCCTGATGACCTGATCCTGACTGTCGATGGCCAGTGCGAATGTAGGACCTATTGTGACAGGCTGTGTCACCAGATATCGGTGCCGTGTTGCGCAATCTGTAGAATGTGTTGAAAAGACAACCTGGATCAAATACAAAAAAGTTACTAGATGAGTAATCGGATGCGGATGTATTGTTCCACCAGAACAGCCAGGACAGCCAGAGAGCTGCCCATGCAATTTTCTAGAAAACAAAATTGGATCAATACCGGAAACAGTATTCCCGGCGGGGCCCACAGGATGACTCCCAAGGGCCCTGGACGGGACGGGAGGCCATGTGCAGTCTGTCCGGAGTGGTGCAAGTGGAGGACGGTCGTCTTTAGGTAGGACAGCGGGCCTCCAGGGTGAAACAGTGTTGGTAAGGGGGACGATGGGGGCCTCCGGGGGCGGAGGGGGGGGATTGTGGGGGACGGAGGGGGACAACATATTGTATGATACCGCAAACAACCTCAGATATGGTTGAAACATTGTTGCTGACAAACTCCTTTTGTTCATAGGATTTCAGGCCGCAGGACAGTAGTCCTCGGTAGTCCGTCTAGTCCGGCTAGTCCCGGGTGTAGTCCGTTCGCGCACTGCTGAAGTTACGGCAACGCACAGGATAGTCCGTCCCGTCCTGCCCCAAATACCGATGGACTGAACGGTTGGGAACACTGACCATGATGACGCCTGTGTTGCTTCATTCTTTCGTGCTCTCTATCCACCTTCATCACGTCCAAACCATCCTCTAGTCTCTGCGGGCCGGTATCCTGAATCCGCTTTGACAAAGGAACTTAAGTTATCGCCGCCATCCGCACGAACTCGTATCGCAAAAGCCGACATCTGCCAGTACCATATTTTATATACCGGTATTAAGAGACAGCTCCTAGGCACCGTTCTTTACCGCTTCAATTTAGGACTGCCCACAATACCGTAATACACGATATTGTTCCGACGGAGGTTTCATAAGGTCCAACAAGAAAAAGGAAATAACAAGTAGAGGATAGAAACTCCCCGATCACGTCACAGGGAAAGATGGTAGTCTGATTACAGATACCGGTACTCCAGTACGTAGAGCGAGCATTGAGACTTCCTCTCTATTAGTCGGTTAAAGATAATCCTCCGTCACCACGACGGGCCCCCATTAGCTTAGCATAATGCCGCTAAAGTGAAGTGTCATATGAGTCATTGACATGGGCCTACCCTACATCACCGACCCTATCCCTTAACCTGTACGATCATTCACTCATCTTTAGCGTGGCACTAAGAGGAGGATCGCCAATGGCTAGGACAGAATAAGGAAAGCTGAATCTACACATTTAAGCACAGGAAATGCACCAGCAACAGCCAACAACCAACTCAACTATTAACTCAACTATTCAAAAAAAAATTACTCAGAAGATTCAGAAAAAAAAGTCACAAAGAACAGTATCAAGTTCCTGCTGCAGTTGAGCAGTCCCAGTAAATCAGGGGCTGAGGTGGACTGAAAGATAGTCTTTTTCCTAGTCCGATGACTTGGAGTAGAAGAAATGAAAGCAGAAGTCTTTGCAGAGTGATACTTTAAATCCTGAGAGCTTACAGTAATTACAAACAAAAAGAGTTCACCATATTTTGCCTTTGGGACCATTCTAGGTAGTGAGAAAAGCTTCAAGTTTTGGAGTTCCTTGGGGTGCTTTTGAAGGAAAGCAGCAGAGAAAGTAGTATTGTGATGAGCTTTTTGCTTTATCCCATACAAGTAGGTGAATACTAACAGGATCCTTTCTCATAGGAGAAAGAAGTGTACATTTGGTACTATCCCTTGGAGTGGTAAAACAATGAAATTCAGTGCTTCCGCGGGTTGCGCAATCCGCAGAAGCACTGAATTTCGTTGTTTCACCACTCCAAGGGATAGCCTTATTGCCAGCTGAGGGAATTGTTTCCTGAAGGAGTGCTGCCAGGACAGTTGCGACCATTTAGCCAAGGGAGGTCCAAGAGAGGAATTGTCCATATTTTCTGAATATGTGTAGGATTAAGTTGCCAAAAGCCTTCTTCTACAAGATCCCAGGTCATATATTTCCTAAATTTTTGATGGCTATGCCAATAGGAGATAGTATGTAATTCCTCTATTCTTTATCAAGCAAGAAGAAAGATGTTAATGATAGTTGTTAGTGTAGTATCTAAAAGCCAAAAAAAAATTAGTATCTAATTTTGAACAACACAAAGCTGAGTGGAATAGTAGCTTTAATGTTGGTCAGCTATGTCTACTCCTCTCATACACATATTGTAATCTACTGTGGCTGTAGGTAGAGCAAGCTCCCAGATAGGTAATTCCCCCCATATCCTGTCAATCATATCTTGATAGGCATTGCAATTTTGGAGGTGATGGAGACAGTAATACCAATATATAGTATAGTTTTATAAATATGATTATATGTTATAAGTAGTTGTAAGTAATCTTACAAGAATTTTATTTTGTTAAATAATAGTGAGGACTTCACTATTATCTGGAATTACTCCTGATACAGTTCCACAAGGTAAGAGAGTTCTTTTTTTATTGACTTTTAGTACCTTGGGATACTCTGCTAAATTTAGTCTTACTGTATCACATGCTGCATTTTGGAAGTTCTGGAGAGTTTGGAACAAAGGTATATTGATAAAATAGTTATCATAAAAGAGGAGGAATTAACACTATTGATAGAGTAATTTAATTGTCAAATAAAATACTGCCCACAAAGTTGAGCTTAACAGAAGATTATCTTTGCCTAGATAAGGTAAGTCATACCCAGCAAATTGAGTAACTTGTGAAGTATATATAAAGGTATAAGTATATCTATATTCACAAAGTGCTAATACTTTACTATAGTCTTTAGAAATAGGCTTATTTGGTATTTGGACAGTATATACTAAGTGTCTTATAAATCTAACTATTATTTCATCTATTACAATTTCAGTAGTAGGAGTTCAATAGTACTGGTATCAAGATTGTAGATTGGAGAATAGTGATTCTAACTTCTCATACCATTGATAGTATGGGAGATTTCGTACTAGAGGGGATATATGAAAATACTGCTTTAGCTGTTTAAAGCAGACCTGAGTCATATATTGGGATATTCTATATATACTTCAAGTTTAGCTGACTATAAAGCTAATAAACAATTATAAACAGGTAAAAGGATGATATACTTGTGAAGAAGTGAAAGGTCATCTTTCTGCCAATAGTCTGTTACTGTACTGGAGTAATAAACCCCTATATAAATCACAAAATCAATAAACACTATCACCTTAATATCTCTTACAGCATACTACCTCCTTCTACTATTCCTTCCTGCTACCTTTGCTGTTGTATAAGCATTGGTGTTTTCAGAAAGTTCCTCAAACTATTCTTAGTTGAAAAAGAGCCTAAAAAAATCTAGTGGCTGAATAGGTTGACTTGGAGGATTGGCCTGGGGGTCATGGATTGGATCATATTGGCCAAAATGGTCTGCTGGTAAATGCAGTATACAATTATGTTAGTGTTGGACATACTTGTATAGTTCAAGGGTAGGCATAGGTAGAAGATTTAATAGAAGTTAAAATTCATGCTAATCTGCCTCGGTGGCCAATTCATGATCAGGCAAGTCTTCATAGTCCACCAGGTCCTTATTCTCAGCAATTTCAGTATACTGCTACTTGCCCAACTCTTGCCCTCTTCCCTCGAACTTCATTACTGTCATAGACATTAAGTTAGTTATCTATTAGCTTTGGTTGCTAATAGATCTATAACTACTAGGAGTCCTCAAGGTAGTATCGCAATAGTAGTCTTTCAATCCGGGCTAGGAGATAATTGGCTAAAAGATGCCAAGATGGTAAGGAAATGGTGAGAAAACTTAAGGGGACAGTGAGGGAACTTGAGGGGGGGGGGCTTACAAACAGAGCACGGAGGAAAGAGAAGTCTAATTTTTGTTTAAAAAAAATAAAAATGCAATGAACCCCCATCATAGCAGATAAGAATACCGCAGGTCTAAATTGGACCCTACTCCGCAGTGCCCTCCTATCCGCGATCCTCCCCATATGCCATTCAGGTCTCATATTCATACCTTTTGTTCAACCATCAATCTCTCCAGGAGGTCAGTCTGAGTCTTACTGTTGTAGGGAAGCTGAGCTTGTGGCTACTCTCTGCAATATAAGCTCCTATGGCGAAAGATAGAATCACACGGGGTCGGGTTTCATAGTGTGGGATATAGTTTTCTAATATTGTACAGCACCTGTACGCTACAACTATAATTAACAGTATGGCAACCCCCCTCCCACAATACCCCACGGGAAGCATTACCAGAATACTAGTTACCACCAGCCAACCGTGCGACAGGGATTGAGTTTTTTTGCAGGGCAGATTGTGTCGGGTGTCAAGTCGCGGGGGGAACCTAATTTCTATCTGAAAGTGAGCTACCAATGCCTCGTCACTAGTTCTATTGTACTAGTACAGACCTCGGACATGGTACTACAGGTCTACAACGGGGTTATCCCGCCAACTCATGCCTGAAAAACGCCGATCAGAATCATAAGAAATCACTCCCTACCCCTCTGGGAACCCCCCCTACAGTACTCCCGAAATCCCAATCCAGGTCCTTACTAGTGTACCCCCATTAAGATCTCGTACGCTTCCCTCAACTCCCTCCTAAGTTCTTCCCACTCCCTCGCCTCCTTTTCCTCCTTCGTCTCCTCCTCTTCCCCACCCGCTTCGCTATCCCCAAAACTGACGAGGCTACCCCCCTCCCTCTCCTCCTCCAATTCCTTAAAGCGCTTCTCACGAGAGCGCACTCCATGCACAAGCATCATGGCACCCCACACATCCAACTCCCCCCACACCTCCCCCTCAAAGCTCTCCTCGTGCCGAGCACGTATGCCCTTGGGACAAGCCTTCTCAAACGCGTCCCATGCTGCACGGAACTTTTCTAGTGCGTTAGGGCATGGGATCACGCTGCAGGGTGAAGAAGATACGTGCTCAGGGTTGAGGCAGAGCAGGCAGATGCGCTCCAGACAGGCGTAGCACTGCCCGACCAGGATATTTCTGGTCGATTGAGAGACGGTGGCGGGAAGGGTGGTGCGGGTCCTGGAGTTCTGCACGAGGAGGGGGATGTCCACGAAGAATTTTGTGTAGCAATGCTGGTTCGGGCATGGGAATTCGCCGAGGGAAAAGGTGAGGATTGGTTGTGCGTATGAGAATTGGAAAGGCATTGTGTATGCTCTATCGCACGTGTCTATTCCTGCGGGCGATTGCGCTGGTAAGGATTTGGATGTGAGTGCTGGATTATATCTGGGTAGAAAGGGTGCTTATGAGTTGGTCGTTTACTTTCAAACAATTCTATCACTATTATGCATACTATTCACACGTTTGTGCCGACTTGGCGCTGTACAACCTTGATATCTCCCCGCCTGGGCCATAGGATTGCCGCTCCGGGCAAGGTCTCTCGGTCCGGTATACATCTTGTAACGCTACACCGTTGAACTCTCAAGATGGAACAGGTCATTACATGAACTTGCCTACTTTCAACATTCAGAATATCCGAAACACAAAGCATTCTCCGGGCCAAGGCTCTCAAGTACTTGGGAAACCATTCCTGCTGGTCCTATCTATAATCCTTGTGGAAACAAGGCATATGTTTTCCTCATAATTATTATTATTTTTCATGGGCACGCTAGAGCGTGATATTATGTGTGCGGGCAGTTGACAATTAACCCAATGGCCTTGCTTCTTTCCACAAATTGACTTTACACACGGTATGATACTCGAAATCCAAACCACCCCTTCAACTCCATTTCTCCACCAAAAAGAAAAGAAGAAAAAGAAAAAAACAGGTCCCAGAACTACCGCCATACTGCCGGATTAGTAATCTAACCATTTCAACGTTAGTTGGTAGCCGTGCGGTGGACCACAATGGCTCAAAAACCACGACAGAGCCCTCATAAAGATCGAGATGAAAAAACCACAACCAACTTGGACGCCTTTCAACAACCTGCTCCGAGACACAACGATGGCCCATTCTACCGGCGGCACACTGCCTGTACCGTACTTCGCTCATGCAGCCCAGCGTAAACCCAACTAGCCTTGGAATTTTCAAAAGAGTGTCATTATGTCCGCTTCATTCCATTCTGCGATAATGCCCGACGTCCAAGCAAGACAATGCAGGACTTCCCATAGGAATTTAGAAACATCCAAGATATTGAACAAAGGCCCGGACCACAGGACCACCCATGCAGGAAAAAAGGAAGAGAAAAAATCTCTAGATCCCCACGGTGTATTATCATTGCAGCAAAACGAAACTAAAACATGAAATTGAAGAATCATTAGTGGGAAGTTGACCTTATGAGATCTCATACCAGCGTAGCGTGCCAGTTCTCCATTCCGCGTATCGGGAAACAAAGGCTGATTTGTCGAGATTTCTGGCCTTAAGATTGGTTGCCACTTGTATAGGTTCCCTGATTCCCGAATCTTTCAAATTTTAGTCTAAAAATGTGCCAAGACCACTTCCGAATCCCCCAATACTGTACTGTACTGGCACTTGTACGATGCTAGTAGAGATTGTTTCTTTGTTTCCTGCGGGTTCTTTCCCCTCCTAATTCAACAAAGTTCCTTGAACTTTGGAGGCGTTGGAAACACTTTTGCTTCTTTTATACCTAAGGTTAGTCTGAGATCTCCCGCACAATAACCTAGCTCCCGGCAATGCGGAGAGCTTAAATTACAGGGAGCTTTGTTTATACTTTCGGCCAAGTCAGATTTAGCTGATTCTATTTTTGCTCTCTTTTCTCCTGTTTGCCTCCCACCTGGTTTGATCAAGATGCCTCGTTGTTGCCAAGCATCAGTGCTAAGACTAGAAAAAAAAAATCTGACCAGATGGCCTATCACGCGATCAGATGCCTCACTCGATAAGATGCACAAGACCGATCGAGGAATACCAGACTATGGAAGCCACAATGCCGGTACCGGTAACATAAAGACACCCGCCACAAGTAAACGAAAGCACTTATGACATTTCTACTCCCATTTGCGTGTATGCATGTCCCTCCACGACCAAGTAAAACAACCAAACTTATCATGGCAATAAATGAGGAAAATAACATCTAAAAATTCCCAAGCTTACATGCATGCTGGATATCCGATAGTGACTCGAACCCACGGTAGTACCAGAGTACATAACCTGGGGGGGGGGGGGGGAATAAAATGAAACGAGTTAAAATCCATACCTACAATACCGTAAAAGGTAAATGCCATCCAAACAACCGGTTTGATTTCGAGAGCAGAACAAAAGGGAACAAACAGGAAAAAAAAACTAACTCCGGTGCTAAAAAAAACAAAAAAACAATGATCCAACTACTCACTTCTCATCAAATCAAAGTTCGGCATTCCAGTCGGCATCCCAACACCCCCAAAACACTCCCGGGCGTTTACATTCCGAGCTCTTCGTGCGCTGCGGGGGTGCTCCGGTTGACGATGCAAGGGCCGTGGTGGTAGAGCAGTGACCGAAAAAGATAAACTTCCGGCATTTTTCCGCTGGCGGTGAGGGGGAGCTACTCGGTGTAACTGGAGGGTTCGAATTTGTGGCTGAGGAAGGGTCTAGACAGCCGCCGAACCAGCCGTAGTGCGTGCAGGTTTTGGCCGGGGTAGTGGAGGTGCGGGTCCTTGTGGCGGTTTTAGTGATAATGGTGGTTATGGTAGGGGTTGTGGTTGTGGTTGTTGTAGTCAAGGCGGTAGTTGTGGTTGTTGGGCTTGGGTCGAGGCAGTTGCCGAACCACCCGTAATGAGTGCATGTTGTTGTGGGCTTTGTTCTCGTGGATGTGGAGGTCGTCGTGACCACGGTTGTTGTGGTTCTTTCGTCGAGACAGCCCCACCATCCGGGTGTTTTGCAAGTGCTTGTGGAAGTAGTCGTCGATACACTCGTGGTGGAAGTGGTTGTCGTCTTATTTCCGTCGATAAATTTCCAAAGGAAGCAGTCCACACAGCCATCATCATAGATACATTGGGGGACGTGATCGTACTTCTCAATAATATCTTTAATAACGGCTTGGATTTTATGATATCCGAGGCCCATCCTCCAGCCATGGTCAATGACAACATCGTACACACACTCATATCCACCATGGCATCGGGTCTCCAAAGCATATCCTGCAATCGAGCACCCGGCCGTCGGCCCATTACACGTCCCCATGTAGATCGGATCCGCGGTATTTCCAAAGTGAAATACAGCCATACCATTAGCATGCCGCGGGTTATCACTCGGAGGTTTCGGCAATCCGATCCGCTGAGCCGGTAAGGCCTCGCCAACAGCTTCAAATGTAACCACCGGAAGCCCATATGTCTGGCCGAGCAAGGAAGAAACGGATCCGCCAAGTGAGTGGCCGACAAGCCAGATATTGGCATCAGGGTACATGGCCGTCACATTTGTGTACAGGTTCAGGGCCGCACGGTAGTAACGATTCTCGGCTAATATGGAATCCTTGAGGCAAACGGAATCGCAGGTATACGCCGTTCCGGAAAAACAATCGCAAACAGTTTTCCACCAGTATGAAACCCTCGCACAGCAGCACGAAAAAAAAAGGTTGTCGTTGATCTTGTCATTCGTAGTCGTTTCGGCCCCATCAAAAACAGCCGGGGATGTACCCTTGAGGCCAACTATAACCGTCGTGTTGGCTTCGTCCGCAAATATGTGACCACGAAGCCCGTCCCCTTCCCATCCAAAATCGCTTGTCAAATTATAAGGCTTTCCAATATCCAGCCAATCCTCCGTGCCCTCGGCCTCAATGTACGCGTCCGCTGCGATCCGGGCAAGACCCAGCACTGTTGTTTTGTCGGTTATGTTGGGCATCGGAATGATTTCAGTGGTCCAGTCATCGTCCGAGAATGTTCTGGGGTTGTGAGCTCGGTGGGCGTAGAGCATATCCTCAACCGTCTCTCTAGACCGATCCACCAAACGCGTGATCGGCCGAGCACCAGAAGACAGGCGATGCCGGGGGCGGGGCCGGAGTTGCGGATCATCCTCGGTGGCAACCAGAGTATTGGGATGGATGTCCAGCCGACGGAGCTGGTAAGGATAGCTACGATAAAATTAGTAAAACCGAACTCACCCTTTCGAAGGGAATCTTTCTCACCGATCGGCTCCATGATGAAGGACGTGGCGCAGTGACTATGAGCGTGAGTTTGTGACCACGAGCTCCGGTAAGTTTCCAGGGGGGGGGCAAAGGGGAACCTACAAACACAAGATCAGACCTCCCTCCTACGGCACCAGGCCCCTCGGAAGCTTCACCACCCCCCAATACGGGCCCAGGCCCTAACACATCGCCGGGCCGTGTAGGCACCGGAGCTGCCGCCGCTGCCGCCGGAGGGAGAGGATCCGGGGTAGCTAGCGTGGATAAGGGTGAGAGTGCGAGAAGGAATAACAGTGATTTTGTTGATATACGGCCTGCATCGGAGCATGGCCCTGCGGACTTGGGGAAAGCGACCATGGTGCAAAAAGTGAGGAAAGTAGCAAACCAGATGGTTGACAGCGAGAGCTGCGGTAAAGTAGGGACCTCGTCATTAACTGTCTCTCAAAGCCTTGGCGCATGACATAATCTTGTTGGGGTAGAAGATGATTGGGTGAGATGCGATGTTCCGGGAAAGGAAAGGTAACTTGAACACGGCGTGATCAGTTACCGGTAACGAGTAACGACAATAGTATTCCCCTCAGAAACCCGCCATGACTCCGGAATGTCCACACAGTGACGCGGCCCAAGTGGCGAACAGATAGTTGGATGAGTCAGGCCACAAGAGCACCCTGCCCTATGGGGCCCGCTTACCGGTACGCCGTCGTTCGCTCGTTGGCATCTGCAGTGCCCTGGATCCAAAAGAATACCATGGGGTCTAGTGCCGGTTGAGATGTGCAACCAATACTTGTTACAAGATACCGGTATGTCCAAGCTACCGTATTGGAGCTCCAGTACTGTAGGTGCACCGCCCTTATGATCGAAGAGCCGGCATTACAAGGTTGAGCCGCTTTTTGATCGGAAATACCGTATGGGGTCCACAGAGTGAGAGTTCCTGGCCCGATGTGCCCTGGGTGCAACGGGTCCATCCTTGTCACCCCCCCCCCCCATTGCCTGCGGACAAACACGGCCCTATGGGCTATTCCCCATCGATGTGCAACAAATTTGGTACGATACTGTGCAGCCGCAAGTACATCGCCCGAACTGAGGCTACCTGTGGATGAATCTGCCAGCATATCGCCCATACTGGTATCTCAGGTGGATGCGCCCGTCGCCATTTGGTATCTTATGATGGCTGAGGGCGAGTCAAGTTCGCTACAGGTACCGCATCTAGACTCCAGCACATTGCAGACACCCTACTCTACCAGCAAGCACCATTACTCACCAGACACTCAAAAGTACTATACACACCTAGCCTCTTGTATCCCCGTTCTAACACTGCACTGGGTGTGAGAACAAAGCTACAATTCCTATCCCCACTCACTGGCGCAAATCCCCACCGATACCTCAAATGAAGCCCAATCCTTGGGGCAATCCCTTCTGATGTCTCTAAGTTGGCCTCATTGCATGGACTGACGCCCCTCGCACCACTTCGACACGGTGATATTTCTATAATGGGTATAATGGATCATATTTTCTCGGGGCTGTTGAGACCCCACTGGCAAGAATCAAGCCGGCTCAATATTATGGGCAAGCCAATAGCTAGGAGCCTGTACTGGACTCGCTTGAGTGAAGAAAGCGTTGAGCCGACTGCGGGTTTTAACCAGGCACTGCGGGTGAGCGTTGACATCCTAGTGTCCAGATATATCTGTCTGCGAGTAGTTCAAGGCCAGGTATTCGTGTCTCCGGGACGATAATAGGCACCTCTTTTGGAATACACCCCTTCGGGTCGAGAAAAAGTATAGTGGTTGCGCTGCTTGAACAACTGTGACTGTGGGGAAAGATTCTAGGGAGTGATATCACGCCTTAGATGATATATGGAGTGGGAGCCTATGCCTTCAGAACTGATTGATCGGCCCCGTTCGAGCTTTCATGTAATTTACTGCGAACTTGAGCCTGTGAAGGTGATAAGATAAGAAGCTTAACACTTAATAGAGTCATTTAGTCCTATGGCTGGAAATTTTTGTCCCAAGCTTTGTGATATTTACCACCCCATCTAGTGGTAATGTACAGTACTTGAGTACTTGTACTCGAGTACTGTGCTCATTGAGAAGGCAGCGTCAACGCTGTCCTTTTTATGGGTCTGCTGGGGCTCTTCCGAGAGGGGCGACCATTCTTGGCTCGGAGAGCGAGTTGCACAGCAACCTACGGAGACTAGTATAACACGGCACTCGAGTATCACCGCTCGAACACTTCTGCCCCAGTGGCACTACGTATCACGTGAACACCGGTATCGCACAGTTAATATTCTCACCTTGCCGTGGAAGGACTTATCCTCTGACTTCGTTGGTAAATTATTCCCTTATCGATTATCACTCAGGTCGGACTTTCTGTTGGCCAAGAGGCCACCAGTGCCCCACCAGATTCCCACAATGCAAGCTCCCCATGAGTCACCACTCAGTACCCACTCAAGGCTAATTTAATTTATGGCACCGGAGGAGGCAAAGGTTCGAGTACGCCAAATAAACCCCTCATCTCTTTCGCCCCAACACCCAACAAAAAAGTTACGAGAACACGGTAAGCAAAACGACGGGCTTAAACCCCCACTGACTCCGGACCCACTACAGCAACCATGTTGTCTACCGGTACAGTACAGTATATGGTTCGTGCACTCCAAAACGTGCACAAGGCTGAACTACCAGTAACAGTGTTGCCTGGTTAAGCACATTTACTTGCCGGGACTCTATGGTGAGAAACGGCAAGGGGGCCTTCACAGTACCGGCAGGCCTCAGAACAGGGTTAAAATAAGAAAGATGCGAAGAGATATGGTAATATTACGATAATAACACGGTATCAGATTGGTAATAAATATCATATATTAAAGGTTTCAAAATCAGGAACATAGATTTTAGGAACTTGATTCGAGCTAAGAGAATATACTCTTGGCATAGATATTTGATTATGAATACAAAAATCTATTGTACAGTACAAGTATCATAGGTCCTGGCTACTTCACTGTGGCTTTCTGTAACACATTTTTCACTTTCGCATCAGAAATACATTGCTCCAAATGACTATACTTGTCTCTACTGACTAGCAATAGATATGAAAGGACCACCACATTTTTCTCCTTAACGTTTCCTACATAGGGGAACTCTCATTCTTGTGATATCCGCTTGCCAGTATGATAATTCTTAGTCGAGCCGGGACCCAAGATGCTGTGACTTCGGTATTTCCGGGCACCAGGCGGCTGTAACCGGGGATCAGTACGGTAACGATGCTGCACTGTATGATACTGTACAGCACTGTACAGTACACGCTCGTCGATGCTACCGGTACTTGACCTACTCCTCCCGCCGAGCCCCGCCTCCGCTGCCTGTCCCGCGTTCTATTTCCATGGTTTCCCCACCGTGACTCCTTAACCATCATGACTTCTGTTCGAGGTGACCATGCCCTCCATCTCCTCCATTATCCTCCCATTTTTCCCTTTACTGCTGATTTCGCCCATCATGCACTCTCCGGTAGCTGACAGAAGTATGCACCAAATGATAGTTCCTGAGCCATCTAATTCTTCGTCCCCGTCTCTGCGGTCTTCCTCCCCGGATAGGCCTGGACTGAGAGGAGCCCGCTCCTTTTCTCGCTTGGAGCCATCGACCTTGAATCCTCTCTCGAAATTACAGACGGAACTCACAATCCCGGAGGTTTCGGATGCACCCTCGGCCGCTTCGTCGATTTCCAAACTTGAGGAAAGCGAGGATGACGAAGGCCCTCCGCTGCCTTTGCCGGATGGGTTCAATGATCTCCCTATTGAGCTTCTTAGTCTGACAGATCGGTAGGTGTTTTCCCCCGCTTTCACGCATGCTGTAAACTGTGGTACTGAGTCTAGGGGATGGCTATTGAGAAATATTAGTTTTATAGACTCCTTATCTATGAAAATCCATCCGACGCCTTTGGCGGTTGCGCAGCTTACGGAGCTCTTTCAGCAGTTTTACGTTACGGCGTTTCAGCATGTCGATACCCACGTCTCGCATTCTTACCTTTCTTTGGCATCCAAGAAGCCGCGGACATCCCCTGCAGCTTCCAAGAATCCAACCCAGATGCTCTCTATCAGCGAGATTTCTCAGAAGAAAAGGGACCGCAGGCTTTTAGAAGCCAAGCGATCGGCTCTTGAAGAAGCCGTGGAGAGAAGGATTACCGAGGGCATTTACGATCGTATCTGGAGACATCAGAGCACGGATGATGAAGCTCGGGACGAAAGTTTGAGGAGTAAGATGGCAGCTCTGAATGTGGTCGGTGTCAAACTGGGCCATTTGGGAGTTGAGTTGGAGGGTGCGGTGGGTGATATTGAAGATGAATTACGACCAGCGGTGGAAGCTTTGGCTGGAATGAACAACCTAAAGTTTCCCCTTGGAAAGCTTTTATCTTTGAAGAAATCTCATAAGGCTATTGTTGGTTCGATATCCTGCTTCTATTTCTATTGTTTGACTGAATTTTCGTCTAATGTGTCTATCCGTAGATTGGCTATCGACCCATAACTCCTCCTCTTCGGCAGATTTTATCCTGCCAACGCTCATTTATACCCTGATCATTTCACCACCGACTCAGGACTTCAATATTATATCCGACCTCTTTTTCATTCAAAGATTTCGTGCGAAGAAGGCGATTGACGGGGAGGCTGCCTATTGTTTGACTAATCTTGAAGCCGCTATCTCATTCCTTGAAACGGTTGATCTAGCTACCTTGAAGGTTGACGATGAGAACCCCCCGAAGCAACAATATAATCCCAGTCGGAGCAGAAGTCCGATGACCTCTCGCTCGCTGACACCTGATATGCCTTTCACACCGGTCGGCGATCCACTGGCTAACTTATCCGAAAAGCTTGCGATAGCTCACGTGGCCGCTGCATCAGCTGCCACTTCGGCACCCCAGAGTACTGCTACAAGAGCAATCGGGTCTAATCCCTCTGCTTCCTCCTCAACCGCATCCTTGCAGCCATTAGCACCGGGAAGCGCAGCGACGAGGAGGTTGTCCTATCTTACTCCGATTGATCTTGCCACAAGCGCCGCTACAAGTGCCGTGAGCACCGCAGATCAGGGCATCAGGGGCATCGGCAATACCCTGGAAAGCAGCTACAAGTTTTTGTTTGGCAAGATGGAAAAGCGGGGAGAGGAGTTGCCGAAAACCTTGGAGGATGCTAGGAGGCTTGTGGATTCGCCGGCTACAGGGAATTTGGAACAGCAGCAAGAGAGGGCACAAGCGACTATTGCTGCTTCGGAGTTGGGTACGGACGGGGGAACTTCGATGGGCAACATGAAGAGGGTTGGAAGTGCTACGAGTATTATGAGTAATCAGAGCGGTAAAAAGGCCGAAGAGAAGGAACAGAGTGCTGGTGGGCTTCGTGGAGCAGCCGCGATACCCGCGGCGGTGGCTGTGGATAAACTAGAAACTGTGATGAATTTGGGGACTTCGCTCGGGAGATTTGCTGTGAGGGGGTTTTCACGAAGCTCGACGCCTACAACACCCTCTACGAACACAGATTCTGCACTTGCTGGTATGAGAGCGCTGGGTGCTGCGAGCCAGGAGAATGCGCATAAAGGGCATAAGCGTGATGATAGCGCTCCGGTTGTAGATCTGTTGAGCGTATGTTAATTTCTTCTTACCTTGTACCATAGAGTGTTTGCTAATAGCTGAAACAGACGTTCCCGGATCTAGCGAACTCCTTAAAGTCACAGCAGTCAAAGGCGGCGGTAATGAGTCCGCCCCCTGTTGCAAGGTTTTTGGAGGTAGAGGACCCGGGTGACCTGAAAATCAGCGAGGTAGCGGAGCTATTGAAGGACTATCGGAGATTGGTGGAGGAGTTGAGGGTTAGGGGTGCCGTTGAATAGCGCTAGACTGGAGAGACCGAATTCGCGGGCAAGGGTTCGGGTGGGTCTTTTTATTATTATTTGTTAGATGGAGTTGCATGGGTTAGCTTTAGGATTCTTGTACAGAGTATTGTAGGGTGGAAAATGTCCTTTACGGGTATCATACCCCTTGGATTTTTTGTTGATTGGTAATTACTGTGCTGGAGAGATGTTTGTTTTTGTAGGGTTGACTCAAAAACCTCGCCACAAGCCACAAGAAGTCATGACGACCCTCGCCACACTACAGTCACGAAAAGTCACTCGCCAACACAAACCTGGTCAAACAAAAAATGCCCCCCCCACGACCACTGCCGGAACAGGGTCACAACTACCAGTATCATGCTGCCATGCCCACTAAATTGTTTCCTCATCCTCAACGCTCCCCCCCCCTCAACCAGTGGCAATGATCACCCCTCACCCCCCAATGCGGCCAACGTATCCTCCTCTCCATCGCCCCCAACGCCCTACCAACCTCAACCAACAGGAGCCCAGATGCCCCACGATCCGATAAACCGTTAACCCCGTCACATCTCTGGACAACTATACATACAGGCCTAACCCCCATTATCCCGCAATATCCTCAAAAACACATCCTGCAGTGGCCCCCCAGGCCCAGACCCGCTCCTTTTTGAACACCTTTATGATCCCCAGGAGCGCCCCCAGCAGCACTTGCATATCCTGGTCCTGCGCGTTGAGGTTTCCCCCCATGTGTGCGAGGTGCCTCAACTCTGCGTAGTCGAGGGACCTTGGCGTCTGGCCTTCCCATTGGGTTGGACATATGCTAGGGCCCGTTTGGTGCCGTGCTCGGTATTCTCGCACCTGACGGGGGCGTGGTGCCGAGGTGCCGAATTTCCCAGACGTTTCCTAGTTATTTGAGACTTTTGATAGCCGGGCCGTAGACCTGCTTGACTGCTTAGAGTGGTGTGGTGCCTTTGACGTTGATGTTCTTAGTGATGTCCGGAAAATCCCAACGAGAGGGGGGAGGTTTCTTCTATTTCACGGCTATTTTCCACGATGCAATTGCGTGCTTGCTGGGGGTGTGTCCCCGAAATTTCTTAGAGAAGACGGGGGATGTTTTCTGGTTGTGTCGTGGCCCACAAGGCGCAATAGTGCTGGGATTGTAGTTTTCACAAGCCTTGTACTTGTTCGTTTGCATATGATGGTAGTGCAGCCACCTATTCCCGCACTCCTTTTTCAACCTCCATGCCCCGGTGACCCAGAAAAGGTGATCCAATGCACAGGAACCTAGTATCCGTTACAAAGTATAGCATCGGTCAGACGTATCGATTATCCCGGTTTACACCAACTCTTGGGGAGCGGTGCTGAAGGCATACGCCGCTTGGCGACCGAAAGTCTCATAACATCTCGCCCCTTGTAATCTCTTATACTTGGCCGTTCCTGCCCTCTTCCGGAAGAAGCTGCGCGGAGGCCTACGAACGGGCTTCGATTAATTGCCGAAGAAGTATACCCTCGTCTTCCTTAAACGACCAAATATTGAGAGCATTATGTTAGTAAAGTGAAATTCTCGACCTTTCTTTGCGACCTCTGTACGCGGTAGGATATAAAGATGTATTACTAGCCCCGTAATCCGGACCTCGAACTTCGATATCCACCTCACGCCTGACAATAGAAGTTGAGCAATATCCACATTCCCCCAATGAGAGCGGCCTATCTCTCTCATCAGCCGGCTTAACTATGGTAAAAAAAAAAAAAGCCTATTTCTAGTCGCTCTCCGTACGCTGAATAACCCCCAAAACCATTACCTCTACAGCACTCAGGTGTGATTAGAAGTGCTAATAATTCTTTTAAATAAGCCACCCCATCGCGGCTTATCGGGTGTGGGCAAAGGGCGGGAACAAATTTTTCGTTTTCGCGAATACAGAGATCGGTAATGGTACTTCTTTTCCTGTAAGACTGCTCACTTCATAGTATCCCTGCATGAACTAGGAGTTTTCAGGAAGGACTCCATACCTTGTTGGTGGGGAATCATCATAGCCTTGGGATCCCGACGGTGTCGGACAGCGACCTAAAAATCGGGAGCTCTCGGGGAAAGATGAACCCGGGCCAATGAGTTAGGAATATCTTATCGGCATAGGCGGTGGGGAGGTGGACAGATGGGGGTGGCAATGTTATTCCCAGCTCCAGTACTGTACCCAAGGCCATCTGGGCTCTGAGCTCTCCCATTGGTGAGAGCGCTTTTTTGTGGAACCATGCGATACCTTGCCAACGCAACCTCGCCTAAACCCCACAAAATATCACTCGCAAAAAAAAAAAAAGTTCTATTCACATTAATTAAGGCGAGAGGAGAGGCAGGGATGAACAAGTATTTCTTAATTGGTAAAAAGAACTTTCCAAATAAAGGCTTTATTCCATAATAGAGCAAAATACTCTGCCGGGTTTATATCAGCCAAGTAAATAGGATAAGAAAAGAAGCAGAACGGGATGTAGGCAGCACTCGCTCACCTAGCCCCAAAGAATACAAAAACATAATAGCAGATAGGTAAAAGTATAAGAAAACACCACCAGAAACCAGCAACCCCAGCTTCCCAAGAGCAATTAAAAGGAGAGACCCCCTGGGCTCTTAAACCCTCAACCCCTCAAATCAACCCCTCCTGGCTAGCCTATCAGCCTCCACATTCCCCTTCACCCCATTATGCCCCTTGACCCACTCAACCCTAACCCGGACCTTTGCACCCACACCCCCAAACCTCCCCTCGTCAATCCACCCCTTCACGGCATCCAATGCTGGACGACAGTCCCCGCAAACAGTAACAATCCCCCTGCCTGTCCTCCCAGCGACCGGCAATCCAATTGCTATAGCCCGTAGCAGAGCTTCAGTCTCTGCCTGCACGCTCGTGAGTCCGGGCGGAAGTCTCAGAGATATGGAGATGAATTCGACGCCACGGCTGTAGATACCAGCGGAGGAAGCGCCCGTGAGGCGACAACAACATGCGTCAGCGTAGAGGAGGATTTCGTTGAGCCCCTCTTCGCGGAGGTGCTGGAGTTTTAAAGCGGTGATGAGGATGCTTGGCGGGGGTGGAGGTGAATTTTGTGGGCAGGATGGTTGCGCTCGTCCTGGCGATTTTGATGGTGATTGGGGTAGCGATAGTACTGGCATTGGTGGGACTTTTGGGAAAGGGCGTCGATTCGTTGCGTACCCTCGTGAGCAGCGAACCCCTGGAATAGAGAATTCTTTGAGGAACCTGGAGTTCAACATGTTTCTGTTTAGGTTTTTTCCCTCTTGCTAGTTGATCAAGTTGGTTTGTTAGTTGGTTAAAGTCTAGAAGGGAGGGAAGGTGGGAGCGGGGGGGGCACGATCGATTATACTCAATTTCGGTCGTCTCTCTAGTTGCCAGAATGTCTAGATCCTTCTGTTTACGTGCCACATCCCTTGCCGTGATGCGCTCTTCCACATGTTGCGGGGCTACATGCATTGTATGCATGGGGGGATCCGTGACATTGTGTGGCCATCGAAAAGTCACGACTCAAACTGCGAACGATCGCTGGAAGCATTCCAGCGCCAGGGGTTGTTTCCTGTAACGGGACAGACACCAAAACTCTGGGAAAACACACATATCCAAGCTACCGGACCCCCATAGATTTCTAGGAAGCTGTGATAAAGTATGTATAAAATTGTGGTAGAATCCCCTGAAGAGAGAGTAATGCGCCACCTAGGGTGATGGGCTCTACAGAGCGAGGGAGTGGCCTTTGGGAGTAGGGGCGCTACTACATGTCTCGGCAAGGGGCTGGTAGGTAGAGGGGAGGGATTGTGGGGGACAGTATATGTGAATATACCTGTCGGTACCTGAAGATGCAGACTTCCTCAGATATACAGAGATGCTCGCAGATATCTTCAAATACCTACATGCGTAGGCAGATGCTTGCAGATTCCCGACCATATGATCCAACACCCGAAGCTACCTTCTGCAGGTTCAGGTTCAGGCTCGGAACTGCGAAGGGAAATCAAAAACATTCCGACAGGTTCGATGTAGAGCCAATAGTACAATGTTGGAAAATTTCCTGTCACGATGTACCCCAAAGGTGTGGGAAAGTTATTCACACATTAACAAATGCTATTTGATCGTTGGGCCATTTTCTCCTAACTCTTCAGTATCGTTACGAACCTCAAATCCCAAACGCTTTTCCTCATAGCCTCTTCGCCACCATAGGGTTTTCCAACCACCCACAACCCTGATGATTCCACACCCCAGATTGTTTCACCCCCTTCGATCCCGATCACCAGGTTTAATACGACTATTCAGGCGGGAATATGATATAAGCGCACGCTCAGGATCTGCACTAGGATCCGCACCCGGCGGTCCTTTAACCCTAAAACCATTGGTAATTGTGGTGATAACAAACCACGCCAGTGTAGCCATGCAGGTGCATACACCGTTGGTGCGTGTTGTGGTGTTCCGTTTAATCCACGCTAATGTATACACACCCTAAAAACTCTCAAAAATCAGTCTAATCATATTCCATCACTCGGAAGATTACAGGCACGGCACCCTTAGTCCATCCAGGCCTAGTGAGATGGGCCCTAGAAACGGAATCAGAGGACCACAGTCTGGTTATGCAAGCTCCAGAAAAGTCCCGGGTTGAGCTGGGCGCTTGCAACACTACATCCTCCCTTTGCCTCTTCGTCTATCAGCACCCCCACACAGACACCCTACAGGGCAGACACCGAGATCCTCACCAGGGCCCAAGCTAAATACCAGCCACGGTGGCCCTAAGGTATCTTCTTAACTCCCTCCACTGGGCACGCATTGCTTCATTCGTGGGTCAACCGTAGATCCAAAGTAGATGGTTGAGCTAATCTGAACTAACTCCGTCCATACCGTGCAGAGTGCTAGGGAGGATGGATATTCTCGCCGTGTTGAGCCTCGGGAGGGATTAGCTGGCTGCCGCTCCAGATTTCAATAAAGTTAGTGAATTGAGCAATCGCATTGCGATCCCTATATATTTTCTGGCTATTAAAAACCAGGGAGAATAAATAATTATGTACCCACGCCAATGGAGTCTCTAATGTACACCCATGAAATGCTGTGCCACTTCCTCCCAAAGGGCTTCTTAGCCTTCGGGAAGGGGCCTGAATAGTACCAAGATTTGCCCGCCACCTTCCAAGGAAGGGATATTCCTAATTCTTGTTGGGTTGACTGACAGACAACCCAAGGGGGTGCTGAGCAATACTGGGAAGTAAGTTCTCTATTAGTTTGAAGTCTCGCTGTTTTGGGGCTATTTTTCCATTCAATCCATTGAGTCAGTGAATTCTATCTTCTAGCAATCATGGTTTCGAACCCAGGGGTCAGAGGGGGTTCACCCAGACTTACTTGCTATCATATTATCAAATGCGGTCAGATCAGAGGAAATAGCAGTTAACAGAGCAGTTTCGCGGGGACGACAGTTCGCGATATAGGAGAGCGGCACCACCCTACTATCCATAGCCCAGGGCACAATAGTGGCAAGGAGTTCTTGGCACAGCTACCCAGTTAATACTGAGTAGCCCCGTCCTCCAATGTAAGAAAGTTACGGGTATTACTGCACTCAAGTTGCCGGGTTGTGTCTGCCTCCTTCCGAGCTCGTCTGCCAAAAACGTGATTCCAATCCCGTGACTTGGTGAAAGCTATTTGATGTCAACTCTATACAAAGATTATGTAACTTTCAGGGGACTTGTGTGAGGGCATATGGAACGTCTGGTTAGGGGACAAAACCTGCAAACCGACATGGCAAACCCCGCACGGCGGGATTGTGTTTGCCATGCTTCCAAGAAGGGGCAATGGGTAACAGCTGATCGGGAACCTGTTTTTCACAAATGGGGAGGCTGCCCGGAAATATGCTTGACAGTCGTCGATGAGTCCCTGCTCCCGCTCCCGCTCCCGCCCCCTAGAAATTGAAGACCAATAGGCAAACTAACCGGTAAACAAATATAATAAGAACAAATAACGAAAACCAAGCGTTTTGGGAAATAAATTGGTAAAATTTAATACGAATGTGCTAACAATGAAGTTTGGGAAAAGAAAAGGGGGGGGCAATAAATGTTCTTCGAAATGTGGGGATTGTGGGGATTGTGGGGAGAGAGAAAGAGAAGGTCCCGACACCAACCCATCCAAACAAAACTAGCATCTAAAACTTGAATTACTAGCCCAGGGGTGTTGTGACTGGTCCCTCACCACCCAAACTTCGAACATGTATGAGCTATCATACAAAGAGCGGATCTGGAAAAATACAAAAATATGAACACAGACCAAAAAAACACCAATTTGTGCTAAAGATGGATATCACCTACCCCACACTAGACATACTAAAATTTGTACTATATGTTGGATATATCCGAGTCTGATACTGTGCAGCATGCTTCAGCCTGAAATGTTGGTGCAGGCACTAAGGTTATCATTCCGTCTCATGGGAGTGTGGGAGCAAGTCCTGAAATGAAGGAGGATTCATCTGTTTGGTACTATTGACAAGGTGAAGAGTTTTCCTTGTTAGTCTGTTTGGTAAAGAGTTTTTCCTGCTAGTTTGTTTGGAAGGATGAAGCACATATTGATTACAGAGGATCTAGAACTTATGGTATTGTCTTTATAAGTTATATTTTGTTCGCTATTATTTCCTTACAAAGAATAACTCTCCTTTTATCTCCTTCTCATTATCTATACTACTTTCTTTATGATATCATTCAATATAAATCCTGACTCTCTTTAAACCCTCATGCTATATATCAAAAAGGCCATCCTCCGAGTGTTCTTCAAGTCCTAAATTACTTCTGTGTAAAACTATATACCTCTTTCAAACTTATATTTTCCCAACTCTCTCTCCAAGTCTAGCATTACATCTCCAACCTCTCCTCTAACTTCTCAGCCTCTATCCTGTAGAATCCTTTTATGACCTTGGTTATTACTTGATTCACTATCCCTTTTTCCTCCTGTTTTCCTCTATTATTCTTTTTTCAAGGGCTAAGGTTTTCAGATTCTAAAGCACTCTAAATTTACTGTAAATTATTTTGATTTACATAAATTACAATCAGTGAGGAAAAAATAATAATCCTAAGTCCTATTCTCTAAGAGCACATTCAAGTTTATTATTACCGCAAATTGAGGTATAGAAAGAAAACAATTAGAAGATTTTAATTCATAAGGAAGGTTTCTATACTGCTAGTGTTATTAACTCTGAGCCTGCTGGGGGGATCTCAAAGAAATTGTGAATCTTATAGTTTTCATCATGACCCATTTTGTAGGACAGTATAGTGAGATTTTCACTGAATAATGGTATAGAACATAAAAAAGGTTATTCAAATTATTTCTAGCTGCTTGATTAAGCCACTTTGGCTTAGTATTTTTAGAAACAGTATGCCGCAAGTTGATGGTAGATGTTAAGAATATTTTCCTAAAGAATTTACCTAAAATTTGTAGGAACCAGGACAAGGGTTCAGACCTAGCCTTATAAATTATGTTTGTAAACTGTAAATTATATCCCGTAAATCACGGTAAATTTATCCTAATTTATGTAAATTTCCAAACCTTATCGAGGACGCTCTCCGCTAAAACTCGCATTCCGTAAATCTAACCTTGACAGGAAAGGACCGTGCCCCCATCCACCCCCATCTAGGCTTTCAACAAAATTTCGACTTTCAATTGACCGCCAAAAACAACCACGACAAACCCCCTCCTCTGAACCTTGGCAGTATGTGGGGCATCCATAGGGAGCTTGATATTATGAATTTCTCAGTTTTCATTGATAGTCTCGGATACTGATACGGGACATGAAGCTGGGCTGCCTGGCTTCCATGCAGCCCCCATACAATTTAATGGTTATGGTGTGGATCTCCGCTCCTCCTCCAGAACCGGGGCCCCCGGTTGCAGAACAATTCCTGTAGCCTGACATTTAACTATATGGATATTTGAGTTAAACTCCGTCAAAAACAAAAACTACTGAAGTTCTTACACTTTTTCTGGACACTATAGATAGGTGCCTCTTGGAACTGATTTTTTTGCGCGGGGAACCGGGGGGGGTGCGTTTCCTATGTGACCGAGTTCACCATGTGTCATCTAGCAAGTGCAGAACCCAGTCGCCAGCCAGGATTCAGGGGCACGTAGTAAACACAAAGTTACCAGGTCTTCCCTCTACCTCCTACAGCACGAATGTAGTTGGGTGGACAAGGAAGCAAAGGGATAGGGAACAATGCACCAGCAAGAGCCAAATTGGAGCACCGTTCGTTGTCTCTCCTACTACATTAAGCCGCATTGTACCTCCCAACACCTGCTCAGCCCACAGGCCCTTCCCACTACCCGTGTCACCCATGTGACAACTAAGAAACCACCTTCGGGTTCACGAGTGAGATATCATGATCAAGCAAAAACAGCTGTAAGTTACTTCAAGGGAGAAGAAAAAAAGGGGGGGAAAGAAATTGAATACAGTAACTAGAGTTCAAACGCCCGAGGAATCCCAAAGCATATACCCATACCCATTCCCAGACAAAGTAAATAAGGAAAACGAAGCCTATAATGGGGGAATAGAAAGAAAACATTTCCTCACGTCAATCAGACAAAATCCCCAAAAGCGTCATCGTCGAATCCCAGTTTTCCGAAATCCTCGGCACCATGTTGGCTCTGTCTACGCTTGACATCCTCCGCGCTGGGTGGTGGTGGGAGGAAAGGTAAAGGGAAGGCTCCAGTGGCGGCGTTGCGGGACGGAGAAGAAGGCGCCCTGCGGCGACCTTTGTTCTGTTTGGTCGATTAGTATGACAGACGCAAAAAAAGTGGGGGGATGATCCGGGGGACGTGCTCCGATTGTAATGCTGATGGTCTCCCCTTCTTTTAAGGAGTAGTCCTTTGCCTCAACATCAGATAATTCTGACAGCTTCCCAGCCTTCCTTGCTTTCTCGCCGGCTGTGACGCTATCATTGTGTCTACGGACCTCTTGCAAAGAAACGCCAAAGTCGAAGGCCTCGCTGCGTTCTTCGAATCCGATACCGAGCATAGCTTTACGTGATCCGTCAACAACTCTCAAAGCGAAAAATCTCGAGCTGTCAATAACTTGTTCAACACAATGGGCACCCTTTAGGATAGCACACGAACCGTTAGCCTAGTCTATTCGACATATAAATGAGGAATTCGGGAGGGCAGAAGAACAAACTTCATAGGGACAATTAGCAAACAGATCCCCAGTCTTGGGATCCTCAAGCCTAATATCCGTGCACACTTTCTCCTCTTTCCCATCCGCATCCTCAGTAGCCGTCTCCACAATCCTAATCCGAGCAGTGAATATCCTCGACTTTTCTTGGTCGACCTTCCAGTCCCCGGCCTTGTACCCGCTGTTACTGGATAAGGGTGGAACAGCGTAGATGTGAACTTTTGGGGCAATGAATAAGATTCGCTGAATGGACTCCATTGTCTTCGTTGGGTCAGATCAGATTATTATGGGGGCGGGGAATCGAGGGGCAGGGCGATGGGTGTGTGGTGGCGAGGAACGGTTTGATGTTTTGAAGAGATGCGCTGGCAAGCTATCTTATGCAAGGGTTGTCTTGGCACGGGTACTTCCGTATCCGGGTTAGCGCCAGACCCTAGGCCTCTGACCTCGTGTTTTGGTGATGGAGATGTTGTTTGGTGGGTTACACGGGGAGGATTTGGAATGTAGAGGCGGTCAGAAGGGTTGAAGGATGAGATCTTGGATGGAATAGATTGTCCTGTTGAGCATTTTCATTTGATCTCGAGTGCTTTGCCCCGTGGTCGTGGGACCGGGAAACTTGGATGATGTTAATATCTATCACGTGGGGTTTACTGAACCCGCATGCTTCAGTTTTCCATTCCTCTGCATATTCCAGCCGGTGAAGTCATTGAAATGGGAAACGACGATACGATAGGGCACCTAGATCTTATGATTCTTGCACTATCGGCCAATAAACCGCTGTTGGACCAGGTTTGCCAAGCCCCAATCACAGCAGCAGATTGGCCATGTTTTGTCCAATAATCTTGGAGCTGTGCTATTGGTTCGGCACTGAGATGAGAGATCCACGAGCTCCTAAAATTTCAATGGAACACAAGCTAGATGCAGAACTTTTTTTAAGATATAATTATAGTTATGATATCATAGAAGCTCGCTTATTCCCGCTCACGTCTCCGAAGGGGGGTTCCCTGGGCGGAATAACAGGAAAACTTGATCATTACAGAGCTGAGTCCATATCGCCACATGGAAACGCGGGCATCCATATCAAAAATGAACCACGGGAATCGGTGAAACTGTGAATGAAACCGTGCAGTACCTCATCCAGCGCTCAATTCAATAAACTACCTGGTCCTCTCTCCCCCACACCGACCCCAACGTTTATTCATTCGACAAAAAAACAGACCCTCAGTCTAATGCAACCAAAAACCCCTAAGCCTCCGTTGTAAGGTAAAATGTGCGGAAATAGTACTCGCAGGGGCTTGTTTTCACCACTTGGTGAGATGGAATAATGTGGCATGGTAGAAGAATTGCCCTTGCGCTTGTACCGGTAATATAGATGAAACGGTATCCTACCATCAGCCCTAATTGATTCCCCCGATGCCGGCACGTACCTCGTTATCCCGAGCGGCTGGGGTGTACTCATCCTTCCACAAACAAGCTATATACGGAAACCTGCCTAACTAGATGCCCATACGATATGATAGATTCGCTCTAGCGGAGGACCAAACCCGAATTATATTATACCCCTGCACATTACATCGAACCCCACAAAGCTTCTCTATACCAACACCCCAGTTTCAGCTGTGGAATGCCTGTAACTCCAACGTTGGTTGGAGTCAGCCCTGGTACTCTTCCCAAATTCTCCACGAGTGGGACGACTTGGAAGCTGAAGGTGGAGGATTTGTTAACATTTGATGAGCCCCATGCGAGAGCGAATCAACTCCCTATTAAGCAAAGCAAAGCATAAAATTGCCCCGGGGATTTCAGGGCACAAGCTTTGAAATAACAGAGTACCGGCGAAGTGACCAACTGTAACGAGATTCCTGCCGGGCTCATGCGATCGGGGCCCTTCAGGTAGCTCAATTTCGGGATTTGATTTTGATGATAACTGGGGGTATAACAACTTGACTTCGGTTCCAAAAGTGCCCTGGTTCTGGAGAATTCTACTTGAACTTCACGAAAATTGGTCCCAAATAATCTTTCCCCTTATTGAACCTCCTTACTCCTATGCCCTCTAGCTGTTGACGAGTTTGCTTGATCTCCTTTACGCCATGGTTCCAGGGTCAAATTACGTGCTGCCACTCGAGCGTTGCGAGCCGGAAATGCTTTCTGGATTGCCATGCTGGATCTGGGGGGTCGGGAGTGGGAGGTTGGGTCATCGCCGACTTTGTTGTGTTTACGGGGTTGGGATTTCAGGCTGGAGCACTGCACTTGGGTCACTTTGACTTGGGCACGGCGGTTTCGTGATGATGTAGGGGTTGCGGCGGCCTTCTTTCACAATTGCCGTGATTCCCGACATCCATTGCTGCAATAGCCAGCTAGATACCGGGGCTCCAGCAATGATCATTATTTCTCACTCGTTTCTGCTATGAGCTAGTCTGATTTTTAGCAGGGTAATACAGTAGCAAACTTTAGCAAGCCGAGTTTAAAGACTTCTACCACTGGAAAAGTATTGCCAATCGAGTATTTGGGCTTATTCGCTCCATCAAACTCATATAAACCTTGTCCGAACCCTATCCTACGCTTCCACCATTCTACAGCAACCGACCAGCGCTAGGTCCGAAAGAATCAAGGACAAAAGAAATCAAATTAACTCCCGTTCTCGGGTACAAGTAGAAATCTCCTGTCAGCTTAGAGAGGAAGAGTTAAACAAAATATGTTATTAGGTGATATAATCTGCCTGTTTCCGTTCCCCCACCCCACCATCTGTTTAAGGTATGTACGCTTTTCGAGGGTTTAAATGTTGCTACTGTGCCTCCTGCACCGTTTTCTGTCAAGTTATTAGCTAAGGAAATGTAAGATGGGTGATTTAGGGGGGTTGTTACCACTAGCCAATCCATACCATCGTTGACACCTAAATCACGTGCATTAGCAATCTGTCCTGACCTTAACAAAGCCCTTGCGACAGGCTCACCATCGCCAGTGACAGCACTGCACCCGAAGATACTCCAACTCCGCTCCTTCAAGCTAGGCAGCTTCAGCACTTCACTAATCTCCGCAGCGCCTAAAACACCTGGTTGGTCCTGTTTATTCGCAAACACTAACAGTGCTGCTTCCCGTAGCTCATCCTCGTTTAGCATAGCTTGTAGTTCTTCCGCTGCAGTTTCTAAACGAGTGTGGTCGGTCGCATCAACCACGAAAACAACGGCGGCGGTGTTAGCGTAGTAGCAGCGCCAGTATGGTCGGATCGAGGTTTGACCGCCTGTGTCAAACACGTTAGCAGGTAAACCGAGGAAACGCCAGTGAGGAGAAGCCGCATACCGAGATCCTATTGTCTAATGTCAGAAAACTGTATGCGTGTAAATAAGACTTCGATACATACCCAAACGTTAAAATTCAGATTCTTGTATGTGACACTCTCGACGTTGAAGCCGATTGTTGGGACCGTGGTCACAACCTCGCCGATCTACAACCCCCGTGTTAAACTCTGTCCCTTAGGTTTACTATAGAACCAAATAGCCCTACTTTCAGTCGGTACAATAATGTTGTTTTTCCCGCGTTGTCCTGCTTAGTATTAGTGGCGATAGCAGGCAGGCGATAGGGAGTGGAGCCTCTCACCAAACCCAGGATCAATATTCGCACCTCCTTTTTCGACCACAGCCTAGAGAACATACTCTGGAAAACTCCCATATTGTATTTGAATGGCCTTTGAGCGAGGTAAATAAGGAGCAAAAGGAGCGAGAGGAATAATCGAGCGGAAACACTGGTGGTGAATGGAGCTTGTGGATGGGGCAAAGGAAAAAAGGAAAAACAACGTGTAATTGTCATTCCATGGATGACTAATTAAGGGCTAGTTGGCGCCACAGTTGTCTCAAGCTTTCTTTGGGGGGGGGGAGCTGGTCATTCGGGTAAACAACTACAGCGCTCACCATCCAACACTCCTACAACAATTCTGCGTATTGCGAGACTTCTTTCAAACGCATTCCATAATGGCGCCCCCAAAGAAGTCTGGAAGGGCACTCCTCAGAGAGGAGGGTGAGTTGGAACTGAAGATGCTCACCGTCTATTTTGGTCAAGGCTAACGATTGTGTACCAAATAGGTCTTGAACGGACGGATAATAATCTGAGAACGCACTCATGGCCGGTAATTCCTATGATAAATCAAAAGAATTATTACACGTTTGTGCTTCGGCTTTCTACCTATTCCACGACTCGGCTAATAATTGCGAAGCGAGTACCTCAAGCGCGAAGAGCAGATCATGGTGTTTCGCCAGCAGCAAGAAGACTCCCTAAAGGCCCAAGCGGCGTTACTAGAGAAAGAGAAACAGGCATCTACGGTCGCGGATCCGATGGCGATGGACATTGATAGAGGTGCGGAGGAAGGGGAGGAAACGGCAGAACAAGAAGAGGCTCTGGGTAGTAAGGTTATTGTGATCCATACGGGATCTCAGAATATGAGGGTTGGCTTAGCTAGCGATGCTTTACCGAAAACTTTCCCAAATTGCATAGCGAGGAAAGCTGACAAGGCAGAATATGAGGAGGAAGAGAGATGCCCGAAGAGGATGAAAGTTGCCGAGGAGGATGAAGATTCCGATGATGAAGGTCCGCAGTTCGGCGAGGAGGTTTGTTGTCGCCTGTTTCTAGTCTTTGGGGAACTTTGGAATTGACTCCTGCCATAGTTTGAAACTCAGTTCAACACAATGTCAAACGAGCTGAAGGTCAGGATGCGTCATAACAAGCGCCGTATTCTTCCCAACTCTCGCGATCTTGTGCTCTCCTATAATCGCCGTACACCCCCGGAGACTATCAAAGAGCATAATGATCCCTACAGAGTTGAATGGACGGATCCTGGGAAGAATAAGGCCCCGGATCACTTTGTTGGGAATGAAGCGCTTAGGATTCCCGATAATTCTATCCCCCGGTATCGCCTTTTTTGGCCTATTCAATATGGAACTTTCAATGAGAGAGACTACCAGTCTAAGAGGAGGCTCTTGGAGGATATATCCGTAATTCTTGAAGAGGGCATCGAAAGAGAGCTGAATATTGAGAAGAAAGATTTCAGATTATATTCTGCGGTTTTAGTTGTTCCTGACCTCTACGACAAAAACTACGTCACGGAGATGCTCAATCTCCTGCTAAAAGAGTTCTGGTTCGCCCAGGTTTGCATTATTCAGGTACATACACTGGGCTTATGTGGGTTAGGGTTGTTGATCTGATTTGTCATCACGTAGGAATCATTGGCAGCGACTTTTGGAGCGGGTTTTTCGCAAGCATGTATTGTGGATATAGGTGCTCAGAAGACTTCTATTTGTTGTGTTGAAGAGGGGATGTGTGTTGCAGAGTCGCGGTAGGCACCGAGTGATTGCTTTTTTTTTTTTTGAGACGAAACTAATAATATCTAGTCTAAATCTTAAATACGGAGGTCGGGATGTCACAATAGCACTAATGAAGATGATGCTGTCGTACTCATTCCCGTATCGTGATATCAATTTACAACGCCGCTATGATTTCCTCTTGGCGGAGGAGCTCAAAGCAAAATATGCGACACTCAACGACTCCGATATCAGTGTCCAGGCACACGATTTCCATCTCAGGGCTCCTGAACAGGATACTAAGAAGTACCACTTCAAAACTTACGATGAAGTCATGTTGGCACCCTTGGTAAATAATCGGCTACCGCTATTTCTTTTTTTCAAAACTAACAATACAGTAGACACACTTTAAGCCCACCATCCTTTCACACGAAGAAAAGCTCACTGGCCGCCGGGGCCTTTGGGAGCGCTCCTACGACCTCTACGATGGCCAACCCAACGACCCCCTCTCTACAGCCCAACATTCCCTCTACCAATCCCTGATACCACGACCCTCCTCCGCCGGCAACGACTCTACGGCGAATATGGGCATCATAACCCCTGCCCGTCCCACACTCGCCGGTTTTGGCGGTTTTGGCGCACACTTAACAGCAGCCGATACAACCCCTCGATCCTCCATAGCTGGCTCACCAGCCCCTGAGGGCACTCCCGCACCCCCGGGGACAATAACCCCGCTCGTCCCTGGTCCTGGTGGTATTCCACACCCAGGCTCCGTCGGCGCCCCCCCGCCCACTGGTCCAACACCTGTGGAGCAAGCAGAGGACCGCGACCGGGTAGTCCCCATCATGTCTCTTGACACAGCAATAGTGGAGAGCATAACCCATGCGGCCAAAGGCGAGGAGAAGAAGATTAAGGATTTCCTAGCCAGCATCATGGTTGTTGGCGGTGGCTCACTGGTCTCGGGATTCAATCACCAGCTCGAAGAGCGCATCCGTACAATCAAACCGAGTAAGGAGTATCAGATCATTATTGGCGTCCCGCCTAGGGAATTGGACCCCATGGTCATCGTCTGGAAAGGTGCGAGTGTGTTTGGGAAGTTGAAGATGAGTAACGATTCGTGGATTCGGCAGAATGAGTATGATATGCTCGGGAGTAGGCTCTTGACCTACAAGTGTTTGTGGACTTTTTGACTGAATTCGTTTGGCGACGGGTGGATCAGGCTAGGGGAGAATTTGGCTCCGTTTGTTGGGGGCCTACGGGGAACTATCTAACGCCATTTGTCATAGTGTGGCTTGCGTGCGTGTGGGAGAACCGGGGTTGCGGATGGGTTTACACACTCTAAGTATCATGACCTAGATACTTTCCGATTTTTCTTTTTCTTTCTCTTTCCTTCCCTCTTGGTGAATACCTTGGCTGGGGTCGGATGAGTTGATTCCCGTGATCACACGAGCCCCCCCAAACCGGGATATGTATATAGTTGGTTGCGAGAGTTTTTTTGTGTGGATCGCACATTTTATTGTGTAGCGCTCACTGCGATATGGGCAGGCGACGTTAGTAGAAATAGGATAACTTACAAGATACCTCACCTTCACTATGGGCAACATTATCAAAAGCCGTGAGTGACAAGTCCAACGTTGTTGTTAGGGAAAACTTGTATATTATGGAGCATCGGCGCCACCGGGAAGAGCAGCCAAGGACCCAGTTATAGTATCACGGCCGGGCAATATAGCGCGCCACTCCTGCAAGTAGTATCACCGCGCTACCCGAGTACCGCATCTACGGTAGGCGCGAAGGTGCTGTATGATACCCGAGACTTTTTCACCGCTAATCCTACTGCATCACTCAATCACTCTCGAGTCCCTACAATTTAGCGCATTGGCAGCACAGTACAATACATGGTCCATCCGCGATAGAGCCGCAGCCACCACGGGAAATCCAAATTGTTCAGCTCTTGATGTGTTTTCCTTTTTTTTCTAGGCTCGCACATTGCGAAGTGATTTTTGCTTCTGGAATACAACGAGAGAGATATAGTTAAATAATTGGAGTCGCCAGTGATGAATTTCGGTTTAGTACTCTTGCTAGAGAATCTGAGACTACCGGGTAAGGTGCTTCCTTGACACTTATGAGCTCGAGCTCGAGTATGTACGTCTGGGGAACACAGATGGAGGTTCAAGATCGTGTAATTTGGTAATCCGTTTTAGGACCTGTTAGGGTATATACCAATGCTTCTATTAAATTAGGTATGATATGATAACCATTGGTGTATTGTAGCTGATCCTGCATTTTTCCAATTGGGGGGATGTGATACTGGGGTTTGGATGAAGGAGGTCCATTAATTAATTTTTTGTGGCCACTGACCCGTATGATGGAGCGAATGGCGCAGATAGACCTTGTCATGGGGAGAGTTAAAGAGAGAGTGATATTCGGTGAAGTGGTAAGGAATGAGGACAAATTGGGCACTCATGTCGGCAATAGTAGATATGTGTAGAAGTAGTGTGGTCGGTACCGTGTTATACAATATAATACCTAAAGACCGGAATGCGGTGTTCCTACAAGTAACTACGGAAACCCCCCCCCCCCCCCTGCTGCTGCCCTGACGCGAGCTTTTGGCTCTATGCTGCAAACCGTCTGGGTGCATGTGCGGTACGGTGATGCTTGTGTGGTTTGGTTTAGGTATTGTGCTAGAACTTGCACTTTTAATATATTGGCCGAGACCTTAGCGGCGGACCACTCCCCCTGCCGAGCCCATGAGGGCGGACACATTAAGACATCCCCCCGAACGAAGAGCACAGTATGACCGCCCGGCCCGCCACCGCTAAACTCATTTCTGTCTTGGAGTGTGAAGGCATATTGTGAACAGTGCTTCCAGTCGTCCAGTCCCACTACTACCCCTGGTAGGATGCTCAAGCGCCAGCTCTTTTTTATGTTGACTTTTTATTTTTATTTCTTAACTTGTTTAGGTACTAGTATTTGTCCCATTGCGCAACTTTGCGTGTCCGTAGTCGACGGCCGTCCACCCCGTCCAGGAAGGCGCCAAGGCAGTCCGTCCCGTCCAAGGACGAGACAGTCTCGTCCTTCGTCGTCCTCACCCCGTCTTAGACGGACGGGACGACTGGAATCACTGATTGTGAATTGATATGACTCCGGTATAAAAAATGCCAACACGTTATTGTTAGTATTTGGGGGGAAGATTGTTCGTTGTTGAATATACTGGGGGAGTTTGAGGGGAGTGAATTTACTGTACTGGTACTTGGGATGGGATACTATGAATAGGCCGCGAACTCAGTAAAGTGTAGATAAGAAAAATTTTCTTGTGAAGGGGATAGGGGAAATTCTCTGTTTAATTGTTAATATCCTAGTCAAAAGTGGTCCCCTAGTTCAAACAAGTAGCCGCTTAACCAAGTGGATTGATGTCTGGGATAGAATAGAACATCTTATTTCCTTTCCCCACATGGTATTAATCATTACCCAGCCTTCCAATGGGTTGGCCCTGGTAGAAATGGCCCGTGCCCAACAAAGCACAACCTGGGTTAGCACAATGGACCCGTTGGCCCATTTGCGAAATGAGCCAATGGAGCATAACCTGTTTCAAGCCCTTGATGGAAGCGAGCATAATGAGGATTAATGCGACTTGGTTGATAGCTCAGCGATAGGTAGAGGGATCTGATCACATTTTCATCCTAAATATGTTCTATCCTCCAACCTTCTCGCTTCAGCTACTTCCACTGCTATCAGAGACCCTTGAATTGGCTGTGGGGCTTGCTTCATGAGTTTTGATTTTGATGGCTGCTCCTTATCCATGGAAAGAACTTGTGTTACGTAAGTTGCTATATTTTTAATGCTGTGGAGCCAAAAGGACTATTGTGAACACCCTATACACTCCTAGTATATGTTGAGCATGGGACTGAATGTTTAGCGATTGTAGGTTAACAATTCATTGGATTAAATACTTACGGGACATTTAGTATAATTAATTTTCCATTAGGACTCTAGTGGTCTTCATACCCATGGTAGTAGGAATAGATATTTTCTCATTCTCCGATTTCTTGCTCACTACACCTTTCTTGGCAATGAAGGCAGATGGCTCAGTCTTTGTACCACTGTATAATCGGAGTTTGGGGCATCCTCGTGGTGGGTTCGTGGAGCTGGAAATCCGGAGACCAGCTAGAGGAAGGATTCGCAGGATGGAGGGTGGACCCGATCGAACACCGCCGGTATCCAAGGGTAAGCTCTGGCTGTGGTTGATGGATTGGATAGTTTAAGAGCTGTTTCTTAAATTATTTGGGTTTGTTTGTCCTTGGATTGCAGACCAAATATGTACTCGAGGAGCCAACGATGGTTGAGAAGAGAAACAGGATTGGATTTCTGGAGTTCCAGGTGGGACGAGGTTTGTTGGGGGGCATTGCCGAATATTCGACTTGAGACAATTTCAAACGAGTGATAGCTCAAGGCGACCAAAACTGCAGTGGATTAGTGTTTCATATAAAATATTTTGATGTAGACCGTTTTCCGGCACCTTCCTGTTCTTCGTGGATAGAGTTTTCCAGCTCCTTGGACTCGGATTATCATTCACATGTTGACTGAGGTTTTTCCGTAGAAGATCATCTTTCAAGCTGGAGGATCGGGGGGGAGTAATTTGCCGGGTTCGTTGGGCAAACTGGGTCAGGCATTCCTGAACCCAACCCGACCTCTTGGCCGGCCGGTCAGGCGGTTTTGGGGCTTTGGCGCGGAGAGGGTAGCTGGGCATGGAGTTGGCCTATCATACCTCGGACGTAATGCTGTGGGGCGTGTATGACGGTTCGGAAGTCGTCCTCTTAGACAATAAATCTTATTGAGCCCAAGGAAGTGGAATCCACCACCCAGCCCAACAAAGCCCGGACCCATTCGAAGGCCTATCTTATTACCGGAGCTATCTAAGTTACCATATACCAATATCACTTCCTTGACCGGAGGCAGCAATTTAATCCTCACAATGGATAGTAGTGTTGTGATCCTCTGTGTGCATTTTGCAGCCTGCAACTTGATCTTTTCTTCTTTCCTTCCTTTGTTTTTAGAGTGTTTCCTATGAAAGCATGTAAACTGGGGTCGGGGGACTAGGGTTTGGCCACCCACCAACACCCACGCTTGCAGGTCAACTTGCGCGCTTGGATACAAGGGCAAGTGAGACACTTGGTTCTTAGGAAATTGGGAGGAGTCAAATTCCAAAACACTGGCTGAGTTTTTTAGCTAGTAAAGGCCAAAATGAAAATCTAAAAGATTCGCGAGTCTAGAGAAACAGGATAGGGGATCATAATATGGTTTCCGGCCACAGAAGCGATATTTAGGTTGGCACAGTGGACCACAATATAACTTCCTTCTTGGCCTCGTGTTTTTTTTGGAGGGGGGGGCATGTGGTTTCTGCCCAGTTTTTCCTTTTTCTTTCTCTCGCTCCGGGGCCTTGCCCTTGCCTACCTCTCTATACATAATGAAACTTCTTGGCTCACTCTGATTTTGCTCCTTTGGAAAGATAGATAGGTGAGATACTAATGATCCAGGGAGGAAGGCGGGGTTATCAACCGGTGTTCCAAGGTGTGGGATACTGTTGGCTTGGAAGATTTTTAGACTGAGTACTTGTACCTCTCCTGTTCTGCCGAGCCCAGCACTGGACTGGTTGTCTTTGGACCGCCAAACCATCGTGAAAACTGTTCCTGGAGATAGTGCTGGTACCGCGGTTCGTTTTCTTCTGGCTCGCGAATTCTGAAGCCCCTGGTTGAACCGCGATGTCTCTGCATGGCGAGGCTCCCTACTTGATTCTGGGAGATTCTTCGAGGTTATCTATCAGGTCTTTGAAGGCGGATGAAAAAAAAAGGAGGGGGGGATAGTGAAAATGATCATACGCTTGTTGGCCCTTCCCGCACGTTCCATTACGGTCACTGTTGTACCCGATTCTTCCAGATTCCCACCCACCAGAACCATTTCCAAATTGTTACCAGACCGAAAAATGCTGGGCACCTTGCCTTATCATCAGAATAGGGGTGAAAGTTGTTAGTAAAATTGTGGTGATGCCGATACGATCCGCAAAGGGCTGGGTGGGTAAAAGAGGGAAAGAGAAAACAGTGCACTATCACTGGTAAAAGTGACCTTATGGCTTTCCCTAGGGAGGATCTGGAGGAGTGAATCTAAACCCCCACTCTTTAGTAATTGTACGCAACCCTACCTCGTCCCCTCTAGGGATAGTGTTGTAGATGGATGCTTTTCCCAAGAACTGAGAAAAGGAAACGCTGATTCATACCTTAATTTCTGTAAACACCCAAACAATCTTATGACGTCGCCGCCATATGGTAAATATTATAGTCTAAGAATTTCTCCTGTAGAGAGTGAGAGGGGGCGGGCAAAAGACACATCGAGAAGCCGTATGATATTTCCCCAACAGGTAAGGGGAGAGGAGCGAAGAGGGGGGATGGTAGTAATTGGAGAAAAATTATAAGGGATGGAAGCACGGGTTCTGCCCTATTCTTCCCCAGCTGGGGCTGTGCGGAGTTCGTCGCATGCGAGTATGATAGCAGTGAATCCTTCAATACTCTCATTTCTGCCAAACTTTCCGGCCCGTTGGGGCCCGTTTCTCACTCGCTCCTCAAGAGGTAGGCTCGTAGAGGTATGGTTTCAAACACGCAATGATGGCCTGGCCAATTAAGCTCATGTCCCTGACGATCTGATCGAAATTTTCCTCACGCGGTAATACCATGGTCTTGTTTGGCTCCAGCTCGAGGTCCTGAATTCAGGCCAAGGGACGGGTTGTTGTCCCAGCTGAGGGGACAGCAACATGAGTGTAGAAAATGGTTAGGATTTTTATTTCCCCAATTTTAACCTATTCATGTGGCTTCTGCGCTCGCCCTACAAGATCTGCTGCATCGTGATAGTGTGCAATTTTTATTTTTTTATTGCCGTTGCTTGGAAATGATCGCTGCCACGCGTTTACCAACCCTCCAGCGGGACATAAAAGAAAAACTCGATCGTGTGAAGGAAAAGTTGCCAAACCCAAACCCAAGCCCTACACCCCTCCCTGGGTAAGGAAAGAGGAAGAAAAAAGGGTCCAACCCACCCACCCACCCCCCCGGGTTTATTACTGCTTGCTCCTTGCACCCCCCACCATCACTACTTAATTTCCTCTATCATACGAAACAAACCTCACCACAAAGACATCACCGCTTTTGCAGGCAAAAAAAAGTAGATACAGAAATCACACCTGCACATTTCACAAAGTCCTCTTTAATCCTTAAGCAAACATGCCGGTTCCTTACTGTTTCACGAGGTGACAACTTCCGCTGGATCCCCCACATATCTCCTAATGTAACTGATTTGTTGCAGCCGTTTTACCGACTCAGACACCGACACAGACACGGAAGATATGTACTCCAGCGAGAGCGGCTTACAGTTCAGGGTCATGCACGGGCAGGCCGGAATCAGGAATGGAGTTACCGATGGTGAGAAAGTTGGCGAATTCAAGTGCGAGAAGTGCGATGTCAGGTTTTTCAACGCTGAGGCTTTGCATCGACACATGCTCCAAGGGGCTGCCGAGAACGGTGGCGGGAAGCATTATTACTGTGCCAAGTGTAGGATCAACTTCAAGGATGAGGGAGCTCTGAAGGAGCATAAGGTGGAGAGTTCCGAGCATGTGGTTTGTCATGAGTGCTCTCACGAGTTTACAATTGTTGAAGCGCTTGAGCTTCATTGTAAGCAGGTGTGTTTCACGCTCTCCCTTTCTTTCTTTCCACTCCTGGAAGATATTTGGCAAGTTAATACTACGATTAGGTCCACAAGCCCAAGCCGCCGCCCACTCATACCTGTCCTGGCTGCGATCTCCTGTTCAACAGCGTTTCCGGCATCACCCAGCACCTCGAATCCGGCCAGTGCAATGGCGGCATTACTCCCTCGGAGTTTCGTGAGCTCATAAACTATGAAAATACCCCGCTCGCTAAGCAGGACCTCCCCCTCAACATTCTCGCTGGCAGCACTACCACTCACACCTGGCGTGCTGGTATTATTCCTCGACGTGTTAAAGCCGCCCTCGCCGAGTCCGGTGCTGGCTCCAAGCCCGGGGAGCTCGTCCCGAAGAATTTCGTTAGCGTTCTCGACTACACTCTCCCCGCCAAACCGGCAAGTCCTCCCGCGGAGAGCCTTCGTGAGCATTGGAACGAAATGCTCAGTTCCTATGTCTGCCCCCGCCCCAAGTGCGGGAAGAAATTCATTTCTACCACCGCACTTAAAGCGCACCTTGATAGCAACACTCACGACAAGAAGTCTTTCCGGTACCGCTCTCCTTCTTTTATCTAAATCCACAAAAATACTAACGGCTAGGCATGTAGTTGTCCTTCCTGCTACAATAGTTTTGTCTCTTCGTCCGCTCTCATCCAACACGCCGAGTCCGAAGCGTGTGGCGTTAAGCGCTCCCCCGCTTATAAGCAGCTCATCAAGGGTGCCACTGGCGGATTGATGGATGGGGATAAGAAGCCGGAGTACAAAACTGGTTGGTAGAAGCCATAGGTGGAATAAATAGTAGGGTGGAACAAAGCGGTATCGAATCTTTAGTTGGCCTATATCATTGCAGTGAGGTTGGGGAAACTTTTCTCTTTTCTCATTTCTGATGCTCTGCGGATGCACTCTTTGTTTTCATTCTTACTTACATTTCGCGATCTCCCTTGGTGTCTCCAAAATAACGAATTAAAATTCCTGAAATTTATGTTCCCCTGTAGTGTGAGGTGTGTTTCGAGTGATCTTTAGCCATTGTGTTTGCTAGCCAATGCCGTGGGTGAAACAGCCAGATGTTGATCGAGCGACAAAAGGATAGAAGTATTATGAGGGAGGATACGGATGATTTTTATCACTATGTAGGGAACCCCCCTTTTTCAAGCTCTGCTAGTAATCTTTCACTAATAATCGCCAGTTCACCACCCGGTATTCCCAACATCGTGGCAAGTGGTGGGAATTTGTGAGAGCCATCTGTTGGCTTTTACTTGGGTAAGGGCTAAGTGGCCCCGTAACTTAGGTGGCAAGAAGCGAGTCTCTGGTCAGGTAGACTTAATTACTAGTCGTGTGTTGAACAACCAGGTTCGGATCCCATGTCAAGTCCCAAACTGAATCCCAGCATGTATCGGAGAATTGAACCTCTGTCTATTTGCACTAGGAGTTTTCGGGGATAGCAAGATGGTGATTGGGACACCCCGGGCCAACGTTTGACGAAATTCCAGGAAACCGCTGTGTACTTCTCCTAGAAAAAAGGAATAGTTGGAGCAGTTGCAGGTTGTATTTCCTACGCCCTTTCCCTTTAGATAATAGGAGGTACTGCGGTATATTGCTCATTTGAAGAGATCGCTATAGGACATCAACCGTGTTCGAGATCAACACTTCTGGGTGGAGAGGAAATGATCGGAGGCCCGGAGGCCCGGAACCAGATTTCAGCAGTGCGTTTTAGATGATACAGGGCGGTCACATAGGCGGCGTGAATGGAGGTAGACAGCCTCCCCCCAGTGAAGACTTTTGGAGTCCAGAAATTTGCTTCTTCACTGCGCCGCTGCCAAAAGCGTTGAGGTATCGTTTGTGAGTTCGGGGGGGGGGCGTAGTTTTTTGGCGATGGTGATACAGTGTGAAGAAAAAACAAAAACACTCCTCCCTTTCAAAAAAAAAAATCGCCGTAGGTAGCTTTCAGGTATACTAATCCATAAACTCCAATATTGATAGAAATTCCAAACCAAGACAAGCGAAAAGAAAATCGGGCGAACTCCACATGTTCCCCACGGGTCCAGAAACCGAAGCCTAGCTGCCTGAGTCCTCGCCATGGATGTCCCCCACTCGACCCCCAACCTTTCCGTATTGCCAATAGTGACAGATCGTTTGGCTCAACCCGTCTCCCCCATTCTCCCCCCACCCCCTCCCACAAAAACCCCTAACGAACTCCATCCATTTGCCCACGATCTTGCATGATAATACCAGACACCCAACCCGCATCGGAGTTTCTCTTTATTTTCACTTGGCGTTTCCTAAACGCGAAAAAATGCCGGGTTGGCGGGGCAGTATGCAAGAATCTGCTCTGGGCGAGGAAGGAGTACTATAAAATTGAGCGTGATGCCACTTAAAGGCGCTGGAACACCATATTTGGTGTGTGATGGGACCGCTTAAACTCTGACGGTCCTATCCCGACCACTGGAGGTGAGGTGCCAACGCAATTGGAGCTCCGAGCATCCCCTCCATGGGGTGTATGAAGCCGGGACTCTAGAACTGGGCTGTGTGTATGTAGCGGATGGAAGCCCAACGCCGGAGACTCTAAGTATTAGAATACAAACAGGTACTTGTGGCTAGTTACAGTAGTTCCGCATGAAAACGAATGCCATAATAGATAAATACTGAATGAAACTGTTTGGCAGGCTGCCCTGGAGCAAGGAGGTTTATTTCGTATTCATACACTATCGAACTATCGAAAGATGAAGAACTAGTGATATCGCAATACTCCTATAAGTCCAGGAGACTAATCGCAGGATCTTGCATAAACCATCCTAACCTACCTATTTCTTTCACCACATCTCTCTCACAAATGTGAGTGCTACACTCGAGCTAGAGGTAATATTCAAGAACCACGAATGACTACTTAGCTGAGTGGCCAATGGTTTCCAGGCCCACCTTCATCACTCTTCCGAAATCACTTCCCCCCCCCACCCCCCAACTACTCCCGATACTTCTTAGGCACGAGAGATTAATTACGGTAGGCCTCACGTCGGGAGAGTAATATCACTTTAGCAATATACTTCTCCCCCCATCAAACACCTTTAAAAACACCTCAGGAGCCCTCAATTTACCGCCACCTAGCGCTACCTATATGATAAGGGGGGGAATCTCTCTGGGTATCCCCGGGCCCCCGTACCCTTTGCCTAGAGCGAGCGTTTGAGCTTATCCTCAACACAAATTCATAATTAATATCATACCCACCGGGCTTACCGCTGTAAATTCTATTGGCTAAGGGGTTGTTTGGCACGTCGGCAAACTATGGTTGAAACTAAGGTTGGAAAACTGATCAATGATAAGGCTTGGATACGATAGTTTTAGGTCCTCCTATTGGTCAGTTTGCCAAACATAGTTTCAAACCATGGTTTGCCGTTATGCCAAACAGCCCCTAAATGTCGTACTCTTATATTTGGGGTGTTATGGATATCGTGGTCTTAACCTCGGAAGGTCCCGACACCCCCTTTGACACCGCTTTAGTGATTTTTCTCCAGGTTCGTCACCCGCTGAGAGAGCAGAGTTCTCAAGAAGGTTCAACCTACAAAGAAACGGCCTCTGTGATATTTAGAGACGACTAGCTCATGGTGGGGGGGCTGGGTAGTGACTTATGAAGAAACCGGTTTAAGCATTCCAGAGGCATGTGGTTGATACTATCTGTAGCCAGAGATGGTTTTGAAATTCTCCGGAGGCATTCAGGAGACATGAGGTTATCTGGATAAATGGGTGCCGGAGATTCCCCTATAAACACCTGCTGTTTCCCTAACCCTTGAAAGGCACAATTCCTCGTCCAGAAGTGTGTAGGGATTTTAGTATAAATCGTGTTTTATGTTATGTGGTTATTCTGGCAATCCGGGTTTATTACCGATTTGATCAGAAACCCGGGCAAGCCCACGCATAGAACCCAAGAGCAACGGTTTATCCGGTTCACCTACTTCACACAGTACTCAGCGAGCAGCAGATCAGCAATTTTCTCGTTCCAGAACAGTGGGTGGGCCCGCTCATTTACCTCCTACAACACGCAGTGAGTTAGAGATCTGTAATTTTCTCGCCTGAGAAACGTAGCTGATCCCGTTCACGTACCATCTACAACACTCCACAACCCAGTGGTTAGCAAACGCCTCGCCCCGACATTGTGGTCGATCCTATTTACTTATCATACCACTCACAACACACAGCAATCCCGGGGTCAGAAACCGCCTCATCCCAGAACCATGTTCGGCCATCTTTACCTACCCGCTAGAACACCCAGCAAGCCAGAAGTCAGTAATGGCCTCCCCCTAGAACCTGACGGATCCTGTTCACTTACACGCCAACACACTCAGCGGGTCAGAGGTCAGCAGTTGTCCCGCCCGGCTATCGTAGTTGGTCCTGCGCACTTACCAACCACAGCAATCTACAATCCAGGGGTCAGCAAGTGCGTCATCCCAGAACCGACGATCCTATCCACTTACAACCCGGATTCTAAGGCTTGGCCAGATTTTGGCATCATTATAACCAATAGCATCCCGTCCCGAAAACGGCATGACACCCTGAGTGAGAACCTAAACCCAACGTACAAACCAACCGACATGGCGATACTGCAAATCCCTCGGTAGGCCACCATTGCTAGGACTGAGGACTTCCGGAAAGAGCCTCGGATTCACTAATATTATGATAGGGGGCCTTGTATTTTTCTCCACAACCTTTTTAACCGGAATAAACTCTCATATCATGAAACCTAGAAGTCGCGAAAAATTGGCTTGCGGGGGAACCGAACGGGGTTCTCAAAACAATTTCTCCCCGAAGACCCTGTTGGCACCTAACTTAACTAGTTGTGTGACCCGTGACCCTCAGCGGATTTTCATTCTGAATACTGTTAGCGGTGAAAGGATTTTTAAGGATATCTCATGGCTTACAGTATTTCGGATCACAATTACTCGGAGTTTAATTATCTCACATTTCATTTTTAAACTTTTCTATCGCCCCGTAGTTCCTGATACTGGCAGTCAACGGGCTGTTTACACGCCACAGGACAGATATTAAGCGTCGGTAGAGAGAGTGGGAGATTATATGAACAAGAACCCTTTGATGCCATGTCGGTGATGGGCACCTTGCAACGCTTTGCTACTATAAATTTATGATCGAGGGTCGATCCTAGTAAAAACCCTCGGCACCGCGTCAAAGTCGATCGAAGATAAAAGGTCCCGGACCCAGCAGTTATCATAGCTCAAACACAGGGGAAAGGTGGGGACGGCTAAGAAGACCTTTTCACAGTAGTGCCAGGGCCTCGGTGGCATCAAGTTTCTCATACCAGCGCGGCCGCCTGCGCAGATAGCCACCCGCTGCTATCCTGTTAGTAGGATCGCAAAATCCTCCCTGATGACAAAGTTTGAGGTTCCTCACCGGACATCCCTTCAATTTTATAGCCTGCTGGAGCATATTCTTGAAGGGAACCCCTACTAAGATTAGGGACATGTGATGCCTCCACCGACGAGTCATTCAACTGGTATTGTTTTAGCCCGTAACCCATTCAATTAAGAAATAGTAGGAGTTATACCAGAAAACAACCCAAGGTAATCGGTCAAATTATATTCATTTATACCCCCACAGCCCATTCTCCATGTCACTAGACAACTTTCAATCATACATGCCAGCACTTAGCCCCCCAATCTATAAAATCCCGCCAGCGATTGCTCATAAGAGTGTATACGTATGTGGTTGGCGAGAATTTTTTACTCAACCCAACACAGTCACTACTTGCCACCAAGGCCGTCAAAGATCTTGGCCTCCATGTGTGGATAATTTATGGCATCCTACGCCTGACGCCTTCCAGATACCTCATCCTACCCTCCCCGTTCACACCCCATCACTCGGGGAAAGCAATCCTCGAATGTAGGAGGTCGCACAGAGAGAGCCGGTATTGGAGGATAAGAATATAGTTTCGAGAGATGAAAAAACCTATGGACAGAGGATTGACTAAGAGGCCCCTTTGTTACCGTTCTCCACACATGCACTTAAGCCCACCCTATTTATACCGATTGGTCGTACCAATATACGTCAACACGACTCTCATAGTCATCCATATCGTGATGCCCCAGATTGTATACTTGGTGGTATACGGACATACATGAGCTTTCCAGCACCTTGAAGCAACAATTTCGACCCCGTATGTCGGAAAGAGTGGCTTCTCGGGATCCTAATCTGGACAAGCTAGTACCTCTCACTCAGTGAGAACCGAGATGAGGTCTCCGGCGGCACTCTTGACTAGGAACATATCCCTCTTGTGGTCGGGGGGTCGCTGGAAGCAACCGCTAAATTCGACAAACGAGCCCATTTCAAACCACTGCCTTCCTGGATGCCGCCAAAGCGCTAAGAGTATGACCTCAGATGTGCCTTGCCGCCGACATGTGAAAGTGACCATCTGAGTCGAGCCGAGGAAGTTGCCCTCTCAGCTCCTCGCATTTTGGCTCGATAATTGCCTTGCATCGATCTTGAGCCCGTGGATTAGGTTCCTCCCACGTGCCCCACTACCCCGAGCTCGCCCCCCACACAAAATCGAGTTCCGGAGCAATAGCGTGCTTTGAGAACCAAATTCCCCCGCGCACGTGCCTACCCACCATCGGCGATGGTTCCGCAAGGCGTGTTGGCAGACATGATGTGGAAATATCCAGAAATACCATGTAGGAAGACCGTGTCCTCCACAAAACTTTGTCGTGACGGCGTGCACACCCCAGAACTCCCGGTTGTGTCCAGGGTTACACAATCGTGGAATCATGAGGGCACTCGCGATAGTGCCAGCACTATCATCCAGCTATCACTGGCCCGGCAGATCAGTATTTGCTAAAGACGATGAAGATTTGGCTTCCCCATGTCCCCGCGCCCCCACGATCATTTTTTGCTGGTATCACTGCCAAGCGTCCTCTTCCTAGCACTCCTTCTACCTGTAAACTACACTTGCCCTCTCACCGCTCCCCAATCTTTCCCTCAATTCCACAATAGTACAAATACCCAACTATGATAATATGAATATTTCCTAATCATTTGCCATACCCTCACTCATCACGTGTTTCACATCCTACCGACCCTAGCCTTTCCTTAGTTTTCTCCCCCTAGTAGCAAGGCTAGCCCCAGCGGTGCTCTGGCGACCCAGCACCTTGTATGCCTTTGAACTTTCAACAAACCATCATATCGTACGAAACTCAATTCACGCGCTTAGTAATTCCCTGCACCCCAGCACAATAGCCAAGCCGCTGGATAAGGTGATGGTGCTCTTCTAGCATCAATTTATATTAACGTTAATACCCACTTACTCGCCAACGCTTAGTCCATCGCAAGGAATTCGGCCCAGAATTGCTGCTGAGGGAGGGGGAGGGATAACGACCCTTCCGTTGGCAGCAGAAATCGCCCCCCCTAAAGCCGTTCTTCATATAAGTGCTACCACCCCTACTGTGAGGGATGGTAACTGCCCGTCCTAAATTCCCACTAAGAAACCTCGGCAGCCCAACCACAGTGAACATGCAAGGTCTCAATGAAATGCGGGAAGCAGAGGTTACAACTAAAACAGGAACATTTACACAGAATAAACGCTCCGCAAACAAAACAGCCCTACAAGTATTGTACAATGCATACCCGAGCGACACAACATTTGCCCACCCTCCCAGCACTCCGGATTACCTCAACGAATCTAACGCGTAATTACCCATCATGCCCAACGCCCCACTGCGGCGTGCTCTGGATTACTCGGGAAAAGCTCCACCCAAAATTTCGAAAACAGGGCAACTTCTCTCTCCGTCCCCCCCTTCCCGGTGGATGGGAAATCGCGGAAGCATAATACCGGCCGTATTCCCCGACCATGCTACCGCTCGCTTTTCCCTCCTCCTCCCTTTCGTGGGTGCTCCGACGCCAAGAGGTGAGGTCGGAATTCAGGTGCGGCAAGGCGCATTCCCGTTCAGCCTGCATGCGCCGTCTTGCCAGCGGATGTATGCAAGATGCCCTGCCGGTACGGGTGAATATTTTTGATAAGAGATGCACAGATTGTGGCGTAACACCGAAACGTGGCAGCAGGCTAATACCGGTACCGGCACGGCGCTCGCAATGGAGGTCCGGGAGGAGGAACGCCACGTTCCAGGGGTCCCTTCCTCTTTACTGGCATCGTATTCAGCGCTACACGCCCTAGCTGAATACGGGAGGGCGATAGGTCTAGTATGGCCACTTGAGTGATGAACCCCATTGGCTAGGTTACCCTTGACTAAAGCTATACCTTTATGGACACAGTTTCGGGAGGTCGAAGGACAATACGCACTAATAAATTCAGATCCGGGAACGAATGATGGCGGACTTTGCGAAGAAACCAAGCCGAGCCGAAAAGAAACGGAGTATCATTAAGCAAAGAAGGAATGAAAGAGAAATGGTATACCCCGATCCCACAAGCCCTGATCCAAAATAATCCCAATTTCCTTTAAAATCCGCTTCTCGCCCCCGAAACCCACACGATCCTGATATGTCCCGTGAGCCCACCATGCAATCGCTCCTCATACCGAGTGAGTGAAAATGAGGTTTGACAAGCGAACATCCCCAAATGTTAGCAATTGTGTTTGCACCAGTTTGGTAAGTGCCGGATAGCCAATTCTAAAAAAAAACTGCTGCTATCAGACCAATGGTATAATATGAATACATCGGCAGGAGCCAAGCAAGGGAGGTGGCAAGGGGTAACTTGCACAAAAGTGCCAGTAGAGCCGGCCGCAAGACGACCCATATCAAAGCACGATACAGCTGGAATTGAAGAGTCCATCCCGGCGGTAAGTAGGGCACTCGCCGGTCGCTTGTTCCGCCTCATCCAGAGAAACCGCCCTGACAATAGCAACCAGTGAACAGTGTTTTCAAAAGGCCACAACCGGACAAGGCCACCCCCTCGAGTGAGAAGACCTTCACAAATCATTTGAATACTGGTTACTATGATATCTGCAACAGATATCTCATGATAGGGTAGCATTGTACAGTCAGTTATGTGGCCCGAATGATACTAGAAAAGAAAAGAAGAGTAATAATCCCCCGGCAGATGTATGCGCCTTGAGACCCGGAGGAGGGGGGGAAGTAATTGACCTCACCAGACTTTTTACCCCTTTCTATCTTTTCACATTGACTTCTTGCCAGTCTTGGGCTTTCTGCCCCAGCCCCCGCGACTAATCAGGGATATATAGAGGCCCTACGATCTTACTCTGAGACTAGTTAGCTATAATTCTGCTGTCCCTCTTTTCCTCCCCCCTCCAATTCGACCCAACCTCCCTTCCCAGGAGTGCTTCTCTGTCAGCGAGTGGGCGGGAATGATTACACCAAGGAAAGTAAAAATAAATAAAAATAAAAAAATACGATACCGTTCAGATCGTCAAATTCACATTTCCAGAACTTATAGTAGCGACAATAAGAACAAGCGCAACACATACCAATACTTGCAGAATCTAATCAGGAGAAAAAAGAAAAAAGAAAAAAAAACCAACTCAGTATAGCGGTGGAGTAAGTTAGTCAGTCATATCAAATCACGTATCATAGGCATGGAGAAATCATTATATCGTACTCCACTCAAAGTCCACCGTCCTTGTGAGCCGGTCAAGGGGAAATGTCCAGAACCCAAACCTCACTCTCCGAGGCTCTTTCCATCCTGGTATGATATCATTATACAGGTAGACTAGGACTCTTAGCCACCGTTTCACACACCACAGCGTGCGGTACGGTGGAAAGGAACGGTGCGTGGACGAGAGGCCCAAAGTCGCATCCGGAAATCCACCCAAACAAACTCTTTCACAAAACGCATGTCCAAAATGGCGAGGGAAGGGGTGCTATAAACCTTGGTGGCTAGGCACAAGGCTGTGGCAATCAAAAATATCCAATCCCCTCCAAGTCAGATTTCACATTCGCAGCTATCATACCGGCACTGTAACATAAGCACCATTACACCAGAGAACATTTTCCAAAAAAAAACCCCCTTCCTCCTCGTACGGTACCCTCCAAAGGCTCACAAAACTCCCTTCAAGTAACACCCCGTGACTCACTCCATTTATCACATCACACTTTCAAGCGCGCTTGGGATTCGCCACCTCACTCACCCACTTTTCCTATCATACCCACCCAACCGCCGCCCTTCCCTATGATAAAAAATAAAAAATCCGGAAATCTATGCTGTGATAATAAGGTGCGTCCGTTCGCGTAATTCCCGCCACGATACGATACAGTACCAATGACCGGTATGGTATGATACTCCATTTGATCACTCGGCACATTCCCTCCCATCCTCCTTCTTTTTAATACATTTTTATTTCTAGAGATCACGATATGCACCGACTTGTACAGTACCAGTACGAGTACAGCCCTGCCAGTCACGAATCCAAGTTACCTACCTACCTACCCCCTTAGTCTACATTATTATCACCCCGAGTAACCGGTACAATACCTCACTTTGCACTTTCCCCCCCTCCCTTCTAGAACAACAACAACCCACACTCGCCGACACACTATTACCCTTAAGTTAACCAAACCCCACGCTACGGTATCCAGGACTTCACCCCGAGGGGAAAGAGAAGAAGAGAAGAAGAAAAGAAAAGAAAAAAACAATCGGCACGCGGTAGATCTCACGTCGGGTGATGCAACGACCTCAAACACTTGCCGTGAGCCTCCGTGGATCAAAAAGGTCGACCATCGTATGATAACTATACGGTATCCGCCGGATATAACGCCGTGTGATGTACCTCTACCGAAAAGGGAAGGAGATGAGAATAAAAAATGAAAAAAAAACAAGACCAGAGCTTTTTGCAAGTGTACAGTACTCGTACTCTACCGAGAGGTTTCTGAATTCATGTATTCACCCCCACCTGTTCGCTCATTCGTTCTCTACTTTCGGTAAAATCAAATCGAAAGGGTGGGAGAAAGAGGCCGGCCGGGTACATAGGTAGTGGTTATGGTGGGAATCAATGATGAGATGTGCGGGTTTTTCCATCGTACCACTGGGGAAGCACCGCTATCCGGGACAAAAGTGCCACGGAAGAAAGGGCAGAAACTGTAGGAAATCGTTTGGCGAATCAGACGTTGGACAAGGTATGAATAATACGGCAAGTGATTTCTGCATTCTGCGGCAGTAATATTATACATGCAAATCCCATCGCTCATCTACTACTTCAATCCAATCCAATCCAACTCAATTCAACCCAAAAAAAAAATGAAAAATGAAAAATGAAAAAGGAGGAAGGAAGGAAGGAAGCACCCGGCAAGGAAAGCCAGCTACAACTTCGGCTTCACCGCAAACGCCGGCAAAACCAACCTATCGTAAACATCAGACGACAGAAAATCCGCGGGCGTGGGCACGCCGTGCACACCGATTCCCCTAGCATCCACAAATTCTGGCCCCAGCTCATCCACACTCTTAGCACCGACAAGTCTCATTCCAACCTCGAACTCGTCCTTGAGCAACTGCATCGCCCGAGCCACACCCGGCTCACCATACGCGCTCATGGCGTACAGGAACGGCCTGCCGATGCCGACGCCCTTCGCGCCGAGACAGAGGGCTTTAATGATGTCGGTCGCGCGTCGCACGCCGCCGTCAATGTACACCTCTATCCTGTCCTGGAGCCCGCGGCGGCGGAGTTCGGGCATGACTTCCGCGAGGATCTCGATGGCACTGGGAGCCGTGTCGAGTTGACGGCCACCGTGGTTGGAGAGAACGACGGCAGGGATGTCGTGCTCTATGGCCGCTATCACGTCTTCGACGCGCTGAACGCCCTTGAGGACAATGGGCATTTTCGTGATGGATTTGAAGAACGGGATGTCCTTCCAGGAGAGACTTGGGTCTATGAAAGCGGAAATCGCGCGCGCGGCGCCTTGCGAGCGGTCGATGGCGGATGGGTTGTATCTTAAGACGTCGGAGGCCGCACCGTCGAACTTGGTGCGGATGTCTGTAGAGTTTAGCATCAGGCGGAACAATCGACATGTAAAGGGATAAGCGAGGTACCCTTTTCTCTACGGCCAAGCTGCGGGGCATCAACCGTAATGAACAGCCCTTTGCATCCCCTCTTCTCCGCATGCTGCACAATCCTCTTCGTAATCTCACGATCCTTGTTCACATAGAGTTGCAACCACAGAACCTGATCCCCCCTCCTCGCATCCACAATCTCATCAAAGCTGCAGGAAGCCAAGGTAGGTATCATCTGAATAACACCATGACCACCAGCAGCCCTAGTAAGCACCACCTCCCCCTCCGGATGCCCCAACTTCCCCAACGCGGTGGCTGTGACGTAGAAGGGCACCTCGCACTTGCTCCCGAGCATGGTAGTGCTCGAGTCCACCTTCTCCACGTCGACGAGAACGCGCGGGCGGAACCAGATCTTGTGGTAGGCAGAGTGATTCTCCCTCAGAGTGATCTCGTCATCGGCTCCGGAGGAGTAGTAGGCCCAGGTGCCCTTCTTCACCACCTGCCTGGCAACGGACTCGAAGTCGTGCAGGTTGAAACATTGGTCCAGCGGAGGCCTCGAAGCGATGCGCTGCTGTCGGGATTCCTCGTCCGGGTCGAAGGGCTTCTCCGCCGTTACTGTGGACATGTCCACTTCGCCGAGGTGCTTGGACCGATCGAGGTACTGGCATCCCCGAAAATTAGCGCGATGAATGGGAGAAAGAAAGTCGATAAAAGGAATTCGGATGGGGCGGGGGGAATACCTCATCCAGTATATCCGGAGGGTGAATTGGCTCGAATGCCTCGGTGGCATCTCTGCCAGCGTGCTTGAGAATAACCGCCTGGCCGCCGGGGTGTTGGGGCAGGAATTCCGTCACGTCATAGGCCTTCCCATGAATAACGACCCAACAAGAGTCCTTACTGTTATGCTCCGCAACGTCCTTTCCGGTCAGCATTTTCCGCTGCATCCTTGTCCGTCTATCCGTCTATAATTCCACTACCCGGTATACAAATTGTCGAGACGGCTCGGCCAGTTGGGTCGGGTGTGAGGAAGAAGAGGGGGGAAGAGGGAAAAAGAAAGGAAAGTGGAGGAAGAACCAGGGGAAGGATACTGTATGCCGTATTCACCAGGCACTCCACTCCCGATAACCGAGGCTGTTTTGGTGCTAGTTGCAGTGCCTCCGGCAGCTTGCCGCCGTTGCGAGGGGAACGCCTCCGTGCCGTATCCATTCCGGTCTTCTGCATCATACGGTAGCGGTACACGAGCGCCGGTACTATAGTGCCGGTGCTACGATACACGGGTAGATCTGCGAACCCTACCCAGACTGTGCGATTAGGGTAGGGTAATGTCGAGAGAAACTGTCAGCTGTGCCCCCCCGTGGCTCACAACCCTCCCAAGACACCTCTACTGTATCGCCAGAACGACTTGCCAAGGCAACCCATAACCCATCACATAAGCTACGGCACCATAACTTAAAAAGGTCAGACTTGCCCTATAGGGAGTAGCGGACCAAGGTCTCATACTCGAGTACGAGTACTCGAGTACATGCGTCATTCTGCTAGGCACCACGGAACAACCCATCCCGCTACCGCACCCGTGTACGAGTACTCGAGTACTGTACCCAGCAACGCCCAGTCAGATGACCTTCACCGTGATAGGCCGCAGTAGCGGTAGCGTAAATTTACTTGTATGATATGATGTGATGCGTACCGTGACCGCTACCCTATGATGCCGTACAATCCTTCCCCCTAAAATTGTCCTTGCCCAATCCCGTGACCATTCAAAGCTCAACGCCCATCCGAGCAATCCAATCGAACATCACTCCTCCATCTGCTGTACCTACCCTAATTTACCATCCATCCACCCGCCCCACCGCCCACCGCCCACTCACGCGCTCCACTCACTCACCTACCCTACCTTGCCGTCTTCTTCTCCCGCTTCTAGTACCGCTAGGACGATCACCGAGCAGTACTCGTACATACCGTACTGTATTACATTCCTCACTAAACAATCCCTTCTTAAGGAGCGAGGCGAAGAGAACACTCATCACATAATCCCATCCCACCTCATTTGCCCACATTTCGTCCCATCCTCCTTTTTTCCTTTCCATCTTTTTTTTTTCCCTTTTTTGCTCCCTCCCTTCTTCTCTTCTTCACTTTTTTCCTTTGTCTTTTTTTCTGTTTTCTTTTTGTTTCTCTGCGTCACGGTGAGTTGACTCGACCACGGTGCGGTGCCCCAGCTTCAGTTCCTCCATTAAATACAACAGTTCCGTCTCCCCCTCCCAACTCAAAGTTTTGCTAAACCGGTACTCTCGGTCGGGTTAAGAGAACGGCGGTCCTTGGAACGAAGGAGAGCTACACCGGTAGAAGAGAAGGGCCTCTCCCCACTAGCAAGTTAAAAACCTCCTGCATGAGCCTCGAGGCAAAGTTAGTTGTGCTTGGCACTCAAGGTATGATACCATATGCCCTATCGCGCCGTAGCGTGGAATAAGAGTGACGATGCTCAATACAATGTGACGCCGTGCGTCGTGATGGTGTGACGAGATACACGGGGGAGTGTCAAAAGTCAAAGCTAACCACTATCAAAAAAAAAATCAGGCGTTGGCAAGACATCACTCGTAGTCCGGTACGTCCATCCCAACCCATTCCCCCCTCTCCCCCATCTTCTACCCCTCGCCAACTCACCATCCGACAGCTATGTAAACAATACCTTCGACCCAGCCTCGGCCTCAACAATCGGCGCTTCATTCCTGGCCAAAAAAGTCATAATAGACGACTCTCTCGTCCGCCTACAAGTCTTTCCTCCCCCCGGCCTCCTCTCCCCTCCACAACTAACCACCATAGATATGGGACACCGCCGGCCAAGAACGCTATCGCTCAATTTCCAAGCTCTACTACCGCAGCGCAAACTGCGGCATACTCTGCTACGACATAACATCCCGTGCATCCTTCGAGGCAATGCACTCCTGGCTGCTGGAGTTGAAAAAGAACGTGAACGGGAACATCATCATACACATTGTCGGCACCAAGGCGGACCTAGTGAATGCTGAGCCAAGTCGGCGGGAGGTGCCGTTCGAGATGTGTGTGGCGTACGCTGCTGAGCATCTTAGTGAGGAGGAAGGGTTTGCCGTGGGGGGTGGCGGAAGGGGAAGGGGCTGGGGTGGGATGGACTGCTGTCACGAGATTAGCGCTAGGGACGATCAGGGTTTGACTCCTAACCTGACTTCTGCCAGAGGAGAGGGACTAATTTTATTGGGGAACAGGAGTAGACGAAGTCTTCCAAGTGATCGCCCGAAAACTCGTTGAGCGGCGGGCGGACATCGAGCGGGAGCGCGCCTTCGGAAGTCAAGACCCATACACACGTAGCGGGAATATGGGCATGGGCCCCAACCCAGCGAGGGCCGAGGAGAAGAGCGAAGGTGGAAAGTGCTGTTAGAGACCCTTTTCCCTTGTCATTGTCGAACCCTTATGATACCATGAAATGGTCTTTTTTTTTCTTCTCTCTTTCTCACCGCTTTTCATTTCTTTAATTTTTTTCCCCTCTCTTCTTTTCCCATCCATCTTTATCGGCGGGTTGGGTCGGTCTGTATTCAGCGGGTCACTCCTGCCCCCTTTTGTTCACCCCTCTCACCTTTCCTTTCATCTGGCTTGTTTTGTCCGCCATTTAGGCGGTAGCGGTTGCATTCGGCTGTTTCAGTACCACCACTCCCCTTGTTTCATCCCAAATTTAATATAGCGCTCATGATGCATCACTCGCAATATATAAAGTAATTAACCAGTCATTTGGCATCACTCGAGGAAAAGAACGAACGATACCGGCTTACTGGCTGGCTTTGACGTCATCTAGATCCTCACGCAGGGACACATAGATGCTAAAGGGGATGAGGAAAAAGAAAAGAAAAAACGTAAACTGGAATATAGCTTTAGTATAGGATACCGTCCATTGGATTCGAATCATAAAAGAACATTGCAGCAGAGTAAGAGATAACCAGTAGCCATTGGACAGTGGTTAGCATCAGCCACGTTGGCAAGACCCTGGCCGGTTTATCGTAGGCCGTGCCTATAAGTTGTGAAAGCAATACGAAAACACGGAGACGATGGGAGAAGAAAAGCACAGGAGAGAGAAGAAAAACAGAACCAGTAAAGATTTCTAATGATTTGTTCCATTTGTGCTGTTCTTCTGAGCGGCGGCCTCTCCAGCGGCCGCGAGTTGGTCATGCTCATCGATGTCTCTAGAAAAGTATTAGCATAAATATAATTATGCATGCATGCACAAAAGTGGGAGCGGAAAACGTACATAGCCTCCCAAGGATAACAACACCAAACATCGCCGACTGTCTCGGCCGCAAGATACCGCCCCTCCTTGATCATCTCCTCCGGCAACTTTCCTCTCTTGGACTTATCCTTATTCTACACCACACCACACCCATAATTAGCCAACCCACCACGTCGCAAATTGAAGGGAGGTGAACATACATGCAACACAAAGATAAAGAAATTTGTTTTGGGTGGATTCCCATCCAACTTCTCTGCCTGTAACTGCACGTCCTTGCTCAACTCCTGCACCGCGTACTGCAGAGTAGTCCTTGTGTCATCGACCTCGTCGACGATGAGAATATTTTTGCCAATGAGGTTGGTGTTGGAGAGAGACGTGAAGTCGAGCCATTGGGTGCGGGTAACTTTTGTGCCGATCTCCTCTTCCGGTCCTTCCTCTGAGAGTTGCTCGTAGAGGGAGAGACCAATTGCTTGGATGGGAATGTTGGGGCTTCCGGGGGTTTTGAGGAAGGAGCTGGTGGGCCAATGTTAGCAAATACGGTAAGTTGGACCAATGGTACCCTGGGAGAAGGCCGAGAAGAGGAGGAAGACAAACCGGAGAATTCTGGCTGGTACGTATCCACCGCCACCAATTCTGGGCCAGTCAGTTCGGGGTTTTTCTCTTTTTTATTTTTCCGTGGAAAAAAAAAAAAGCGGGAGGCAAACGCAATCATGAGATTTGGCTTAAACTCATCCAAAATCTTGGGTGCTGCGCTCTGGCAGAGCTTGTGGACCTAGGGTAGCCGTTCTCATCGTCAATAACGGTGCCAATCAAACCCACGGGCTCGCCTGGAAGCTCCCTCCGAGGGCGGACAAAGAAAGCGAACATACTTGATTATAAGTGAGATACTTTCTTTCAACCATTTCGAACTAGAGAATGCCTTCACACGTAACGGTAAAAGAAAAGGAGGTTTGAACTTGTCGGTATCAGTAGTTGTGGTTGTGGTGTCGTTGCGAATTGGGTGGGGGGGGGAGAGTGTAGCAAACACAGGGTAAGGCTTGACCGCAACAAAAAAAACAAAAAAAGAGCAACGCTTATGACTCTTGTAGTCAGGGTCTAGGGGAGAAAAAACAATGTGCTTTCGAGTGCCCCACCCCCTCGCACTAACCATAATAGTCGACCTGTAATAGGGTTTGAGGTCAATGGGGAATCGGCGATTTCCGCCGACAACCCGGAGGTGGCCTCCGATCATTTACCGGTATCTTTCGTTCCTTTCTTCCTACTGTACCGGTATTTAACCTACTGGTATTCGTTTCGTCCAGGAACAAAATCACCTCTCCGGGACCTCTCTCTCTCTTCTCTCCTTTAAAAACGAAATAGCCCCATGGTGAGAACTCTGCGTCTTTCCGGCTCATCAGCGTGGATGGCTTATCTGGCCATTGAGATACCACCTGCCAAAAGTAGACGAAGAGAAGACGCAGAAACACCACCCCTCATCTCCCTTCGCCTCCCCACGTGCGACAAATAGCAAGTATTCTGAGGATTAATAAACCCGCCTGCACCAATGGCTGCAATACATGTGCCTGCGTAAACATCATCTCAACAATTCCCGGAAGAACTGTAAAAGTCTCACCCTGAAAAAAATTTAAAGCGAATTGTGGATGAAAGTTAAGGTACCCGTAAGGGGTGCGGTTAAATTAAGCTTAGAATGCCAAGATTTGGGGCTCTGCGGTGCACGCTGGGAAAATGCCGTTGTGCCCTACGACCGGGCGGGCACGAAATTATCCTTTGAACGTAGAAGAAAAAAAAAACAGGTGTGGGGGGACTTTCTCTGACTGGGATGTTTGGTTTGAGACAATCTGGATAACGTGGATGCGGTGGATGGACTGGGTCAAGGGTTGATATGTATGAGATGACACCGGTGCTCCTACTGTGCAGCGGGCTCTTGTGGCGAATAGATTGATTGTGGTGCTCGGGTGCGGTAGGGAGGAAGTCATCCCCTCTCCCGCCTGGAGAACTCTGTTGCGATTTGATAGCTAACCACATGGGTGGGCTCTCGGGAGGCTAAAAAATTGGGTTGCGGGATTATTGTTATCTTACCGAATCTGAACCCGGGTCTTGTTGATGTACCGGTACCCGTGGCTGCCCGTCCATCCGTACCTTTGCAAGACCAAGGTGTTGTCTATCATATCGTACCTGGAGAGCTCCCTCTGGCCATTTTTTGTTTGAACGGTTGAATCTCGGGGCCCAAGCACAGTACCGTGCTCTTGTTTTGAGCCCCAGACTCTTTGGGTGGCTGGTCTGCCCGCTTTTCCCACTCACCACTGGTCTCTTATTACTCTACGAGTAGTCGCGGGCAACCACCGCGCTAGTGAGGTAGTCATGGCCCACGGTGCTCAATGTTTACCCACCGGTGATGTGCATATTCTTAACTGTGTTTTGCCGCAACCACCAACGGCAGTAGCTGTAAAAATCTATGAGCCATGACACGCTCAATCTCGCCCCTAACAGTACGATGCGGATGCTGAGACTCATTCAACACATACTCGGCACTGTAGCTTGGGTATCATAAAATGGGTACAAGGTGCGCCACAGCCCGCCAGCCTGGGCCGCATGCAAAAGGGTTATTCATGTAACACGACTCAATTTGGCAGCTTTACAGGGTGAGCCATACGGCACCGCAACTGGGTTGAAACGCAGGAACCATCTATTCATGCATTTTGCATATAGTTACCCAACACAAGGGCTCCGGTCAAGGGCCCAACTAATTTGCATTCACACAACCACGCACGCCTTATTTTCACACAAAGTGATGATGCAATCCACAGTGCTCAGCCGCATTGTCACTCTTCCACCCGTTTCTTCCTGTGACTCCTGTTTTCCCTTTCCACCGTTCCGGTCGGTCCTGCACCAGGAACACTGCTGGCCTCTCCTGCCATTTTCTTGGCACACCACATACTCCCATATTCCATGTACTCTGCTCTCGTCACCTGTCTCTTCTTCATCTCCGACCTATTTCCCGCGAGCGCGGCTCCACCCTGCCACGTGTAAGTAACTGGATTATCCGGTTTTGCAATCCTGACTACAGACTCAGCGGGGGCAAGTGGTCGTAGCTCCATCTCCAACCGTTCCAAAAACCCTGGGATGTTTGCGTTGCCGCCTACAACGACAATATTTGCCAGTAATAAGCTTCGGTACCTCTCGGGAACGCTCTCGAGACTCTGGATTATGGTTTCGGCAACCCCAGCTTGTGCTAATCCTATATCCTGAGGGGCAAAAAGGAGCTCTGGGACCGAGAATCTTTCGTCGCTCAACTCCATGACTTGTTCGTCATTGCTGCCGAATGCAGGTTGCTTCTTGGGGACGTGCGGTCGCCTGTAACCTCCTTTACCAGAGTTGTAATCTGGAAGAACAAAATCCACGGCAATATCGTTTGCTGCCTTCCTCATGCCGTGACACTTTTCCAAGTCTTCATTGAAGTTGGTTGAAATATAGCAAACGGACTCCTTGACTTGGTTAATAAGATAAGTTTCTTCCATCATGTTCCATGTACGCGTTGACACCATTTCTTTAAGGTAGTTGGTCAGAAATTTTCCGCCGATGTCTATTCTACGGACGGCCGCATTCCACAATTGACCGTTTATGATTGGCGTAATATGGGTGTGCGAAAAACCAGAGTCAATAGCCATGATTGCTTCAGCAGGAGGTGAGAGGGTTGGTGGGTTCTCGGGAGGATATAGTTTGGTGATATCGTTCCAAGGAATCAAAGTTGGACCTATAGGTTATGGTGTCAGGAAATGCTCGTAACAGGAGTCTCCCAGAATACAGACCTATACAGCGGTAGTAGGCTGAAAATTCATACTCCTCAAACACCATCTGGTCGCAGTTGGTCTGTAACGCTGAAGGGGCATTCGGGGCTTCGGTCAGTAGCAGGGTCGTATTTCTCGGATCGCACTAGGGCATTGGCGCATCAGTCGGGTGCGTACTATGTCATAGCTCCAACAGAGGGAACCGGCATGATACCTTAAGTTTCGATTCTGAATCGAGGAAAGTCCTATCCCATATTTCCTTTTCGGCCTCCCAGTTTACCAAGTAACCCTGTGATTGTTATTAGAATACAGTATTACGTGAGACAGAAAGTTCTCATCTAACCTTTTCAACGGGTCTTCGAAAAACCGCAGACCCAAAATCCCGGCAATTCTCAAGCTGGTGGCCAATCAGAACTCGCTTGTCTCTTGTCCGCGCTATGCAGTTCGGAATGGTGATGCATGTTTCGCCGGCAGCGAATCCAGCTTTGATGGTATAAGAACCGTTATCCACCACAAGGGTAGCGGAAGGCATCTGTGAGAATAGGAGTGGTGAAAATAGGTGGCTCGGCTTGCGCTGGAAACCCAAGCAAACCGGGAATACGCTTGGCAACAGAATCATGTCAGCAAGTGCACGGTCCAGTTGCGCCAAGACATCGATCGGAGCCCAATGAGAAAGAATGGTGACGGGTGGCACCAATCCAATTTGTGGGTGACTGGCTGATCTCTGTGCATTGCCTGCGCCCTACAACCATAAAAGGGACGCACCCCCCTCCCCGTACCGTAACTTATACATCCGCTCTGATGCTCCCCCCCATTCTGTCACCCACTTTGAGAACGCAGTCTAACTCCCTTCCTCTTGCGGCCCACTACAGCATCCTACCTTCTATCGACCGCCCTTCTACTACCTTCCCTTCGCACACCATCCCTTAACGCTAACACCCAGCTATCGCTATGTCAGACCGTGAGTTCGGAGGGGGAGGTACCTCATCCTTTCCCACTTGAAGTGCAAAGAGTACTAACATCTCCGATAGCCGACGATCTCTCCCTTCCAAAAGGTTTTTCTCCTTACATATCCGTCTGACCTCCCTTATCGTATGAACACGCTGACATTCGGCTAGCTACCGTACAAAAGATCATTTCCGAAATCCTTCCAAACGATCTTGCATTCGCTAAAGAAACGCGCGATCTGCTCATAGACTGCTGCGTTGAATTCATCACTTTAGTTTCCTCCGAGGCCAACGACATCGCCGAACGTGAAGCCAAGAAGACTATCGCTGCGGAGCATGTTGTCAAGGCGTTGAAGGACCTCGGATTCGAGGAGTATATTGAGCAGATCCAGGAGGTTGCCCAGGAGCACAAGGAACACCAGAGGGTATCTTGCCCATTGCCTGTGCGACTTGAGCTGGAAAATGCTGACTTGAGAAGTTCCAGTCGCGCGAAAAGAAGCAGACCAAGTTGGAGCAATCGGGTCTCTCTCAGGAGGAGCTGCTGAGACAACAGGAAGAATTGTTCGGTAACGCTAGAGCTAAATTCAACCAGCAGGGCTCAGTTCCGGAATAGAATAAAACAAACATAGGAGTTTGGTGGGTCCGATTGCTAGGGAGGCACAAAATACATTCCAGAGAGTTTTTTTTTTCTTTTTTTTTTACTTTACGGTATTGCGAGAACCACTTGTATCAATATCACAATTACGGTTGCGCTCTTCTCTTTTCTTCTAGGGGTTCACGTAAAGACCACCCGGCGTATTTTCAATTTGATTGGTTTTTTTATTTTATTTTCTTCTCTTTCATCTGAGGTCTGATTTATTCTGCGGCACAGTTGTTGGGTTTGGCACACTTTTAGGGATGGTGGCGGCTTGTACTCATGTATCTTTTGTGCTTATTCTTCCCGCACAGCAGATATCACGAACCTCTCACTTGCAGCAAACTGCCATCAAGCCGTTGCAGACACCCGGCTGAAAATAAGGGCAGGCCTTGGGTGTATTTATAGGAGGTTGTAGTAAACTCCTGGGCGGAACCACATTTATACTTGATCCGCAGAGCAAGTATAAACACAGCATCACCGGTGTATAACAATTCTGGTCTGGAGAGATGGTGCGGGGAAAACACCACTCCGGCTGCGCCGTTGTGGCATTGTACCATCCCGGAATCATAGGTCTCACATTTTTACTGTTTATGACCCCATCCTGGGCCTACCGGTACGAGTAGACCAAACAACGCGACCCGCGTCTAACCCGCCCAATCCGAAAAATCGACTTTTACCCGCGTTCACCCTTGACATAAGGTGATCTTGGCGGGTAAATCACGTGGCAACTCAACCTCATTTCAAGTTACGATCCTAACTTCACCACTCCGCCACTCTGCGACAACAATCGCACCAAGAAAAAACAATGATGGACCCTGAGGAAGGCCAACCCGAAGATCTCTCATCACTAGGCTTCACCTCCTTCGGCTCTAAAAATAAACGTCCGAAACATCACCACCCCAATAGAAGCAGCAGCAACTCAATCCCCATCCCGCCCCCACCTGGGGCAGCGCAGGTAACTACCTTTGCGGGAACTGTGGGGGGAGTCGGATCTCTGCCGAAAAAGCCAGAGTTTACGCCTTACATCGCGCCAGCGTTCACGCCGCGTGTTCCACCGAAGTTTGCGGGTGGTGGGGGGAATATCGGAGGAAGGGCGAAGGGCGGTGGTGGGGATGAGGTATGTTTTCACGTCGTCTATTACCTACCTATAGGGAGGGAAGGGGAGGGAATCGATGGTTGATTCGACCCGGGATGGGGTGTGGGGGGGTAGTTGTATAGTCCTCGGTTCGTGGAAAATCCTTGGAGGGCGTTGGAAGCGAAGTTTGGGATTCGCGCGGAGTGGGTTGATATGGAGAAAGTTGAGGATGGTGAAGAAGGGGTGGAAGCTCAAGGCGGAGGGGGGGGCGAGGTGGGAGAGAGGATGACTGGTTCGGGAGAGGGGGTCGAAGTTCACATGCAGGAGGAAGCTGATGGGTTGGACGAGCGTGGGCAGAGTTGATGCGTGCTCGGGTTTGATATGATTAAACACATGTCCGGAAGTCACCTTGGCATAATTTTATGGATTTTTTTTTCCCCCTCCTTTTTGCGGAATATACGGGGTGTGTATCCAGTGGCTAATGCCATCGGACGACAATACAATACATTTTCGCCAGATGTGCTCTACTGGGCTTACGTAGCTCTCAAGGTCGCAGCATTTCGCTAAAGGGAGATACAGGTATCGGGTATCACAGAATAAAAGCTAGACCAAATCTTCCCCAATCATTGCTGTTCTCTGGCATCGCCGTGTCTACCACATTTCCAAGTCCGGAGCCTGTGTAAGCTCCCTAACCGCCCGTGTCATCAAGCCGGTGCTACTGCGGCCTGCTGCCGAATATATGAGCGGGATACTCTTCTAGCGGCGAGTAGCTTTTAGATTATCCAAAGCATCGCGTAGCCTTTAGAGAACCAAGTCCGTATCACTATCAACTCCTAGCTCTGTAATATCTACAGGGGACACCGAATAGTCTCCCTGATTCCTCTAATCCAAACCACTCATCCTGTCCCTCACCGAGCTTACATAGGGGCACCAATGTCTGGGTTGGGGTATGACGGGACGCCTTAGTCCGTGTTTGACGCGAGTGCATGCTGAGATGTGAGCGCAAATGGGAATATGGAAATATGGAAAAATAGAAATAGGTGTTGTCCCAGAAAACTGGTATCAACTTTCGTGACAATTGGAAGGTCTGATTCCGGAACCTGCAATGGGGCTAGGTCCGTGTGGGCCGGGTCACCCGAACGATGGGCTTTGCCTCACGGGCTACGGACAAACGGTGAAGATGCACAAACTCCCCTGTCTCGGACGGCAGTTGAAGCGAAGAACACTTCCAACCCAGGAAAGTAACTTTCGACTATGCGAGTGATCATCCATGACTCTGAGAACGATCCACCCTGATAGCTCAAGGGTCGGGAGGGACGACTGATTAGGTATACCCACTAGTCTGTGCCTGTGAATGTATTTTCTGGGTATAGTAGAGTACTGCGGGGGGGTGGGAGTCGTGTTTGGTGGGGTATGGGGTGGGTCGCGCGTCACTTTTTATGCTTTGGGGACGCGAGAGGGAGCGCCAGCGACCCTGACTAGCGCTTGGCGCGAGCTGAGTGGGCTCCAATCGCGTGATCTTACCGCCTCCTGAACCGAGCCAAGTCAAGCTTATCCGGGGTACAGACTACTCGTACTGTAGTATCTTATCGCCTAATGTTCCCCGCTAATTACTAATTTTTCCTCACCACTATCTTCATCCTTGAGCTCCACCTTGATTTCTCATCTCTTCTATGTTCGTCTCACAGCTTCGCTACCATACCTTATTCAATTGCGGTGTGCCACTTCCCTATCGCTGACATTCCTTGTCTAAGGGAGTTATTATGTATTTTCTCTCATTCTGAGGGGTTTTCAAGGGTTTACTTTCCTCCGAGGCTCTCGGATCATTATGCCGTCCTCGGCTTTCATCTAATCTCTCCTCTGTGTTTTTTTTAGTTTTTTTTAGTTTGAGGATGTAAACCCACATATACTCATCTAATAGAAAAAAATGAGGCTTCTTTTCTGTCTTTCTCGGTCATACGAATTCACACTTTTTCGATATGTTCTGATATGAGGCCAGGGCAAGAATGGGAATAGGAAACCCTCCCAGGAATAGGCAATGTTGGGTGTAAAAACAAATAAAAAAGTTGAGATGGAGAAGTGGTTCGTGTGGGGCTATCTGCTTGGCACTGGTTTCTTTTTTTTTTGCATCGCTTTTGTTTGAGCATGTCAGGACTGTACGTAGCGATCCAGCTCGCGGTGATATGATATTCGGAGCTATTTGAGGATCTCACTGTGTGGCTTTGCATTTGCAATTCCTATCTGAAACCTCAATAAATAATACGTTCTCAAAGAGAAGGGCTAGGGGTGGAGCGCCGTCTGTTCTAGGGTACCATTTAGCGGGGGGGCTGGTCATAGGTGTGTTCCCAAAAAGTCGTGGAAGCTTCACGGTTTTTTTCGTGTCCTTTTATTGCTAAATGTATGAGGCATACCCACCCCAATGTCCCATGCTGATTGCCCTATGTTTGGTCATTTTGTTAAGGTTGGCTCTGGACTGGAAGGACTAGTTTTGTGTCTTGGCACATGTACAGTAGCTTGGATAGAGAATGTATTTCCCTTGTCCTTCCGTTCTTCCCCATTCAATATCTTTTCCATTAGTGACGACGCAAACTCTTCCTATTTGGCCCTTTCCTTCCACGCTTATTCGCTTGCTCTGTATCTTCCTCCTCGTATTTAAAAACTCTAGCCAGCAGCGGAAGGCCCGACCAGTAGCGACTACAGGAAAGTGAGCCTTCATGATAAGAGTGACCGCCCACGACTAAGGTAGGGCTGCTGCCTGCTCAAATTTCGTCCGTGGTCCTAAAACTGCTCGAGTGCACTACTTTATGGACAGAGGCGGTTTGATCCTCTCGGTTCCTAGGGTATTGGAAGGCGGTGGCCCCTGGAACCCCGGCAGAGGGCTAAACGGGACATTCTGACCTGGCGATTCTCGGTAATAAAATAAAAAATAAAATACCAATTAAGAACAAGGAGAGTCACTATTTACTCTTTTTTGTGTGAGCAGTAGTGGCCCTTGCGAAATATCCTTTCTATTCTGTTGAACGGTACTTCTGCTGGCTAGCGGAGGTGTGTGACCGAATGACTATTTGTGACTTGGAATGTGACTTTATATGCTATACAGACATCTATTGGGGGGATGCTCAACCACCCGTCCCCATCAGCCTATTAACGGTACTCCATGGGCAGGGATACCTACAAGTCGTAGTCGTCCGCTGGAGCATCCTTTTGTAGCATCCTATCCACTCCGCCTCCCCCTCGCTAAGGGGAGAAATCGGACTGCTGTGCCGACTGAGAGGAAGGCACGGAAAAATCTACAGTACTGAGAATACGGTAGCTCAGGATGCCCCCTTGATAGCTGGTGGTAGAATTGCAGGAGGAAATTAGAAATGCCAGTAATCCTCGAGTAATTCTCAATTTTATTTTTATCCTTTTCAGTCCCTTCATCATACCCGATGCTCAAACCGGTGATTGGCGGGGTCAATTCAAGCATTGCCGGTTTATGGAATTTTTTTTTTTTTTGTCAACCATGGTAGTGATGGGTTGACGCCAAAGGAAATTTTTTTTTTGCTCCAGTGGGCTCAATATCTGGCGGCCGCAAGTGGCCCCGGGCCCAGTCTACCGTACTAGTATAATTTGAGGCTAGGCATGTCACCGGTGGTTACACTACTGTACTCGAGTACCGTACATCGAATGTGACTGGGCGGGCATTATGTCATGGCGGGTAGTGGTACCCCAGGCGCTCAAATTCGCGGTTGCTGGGTCGGCTCCCCGTGTGAGAGGAAGGGCGTTGATGATGTTCTGCAGGGAGTGGCAGCAGGGATTGGGTGGTGTGCTTGTAGAATACCCGTTTAGGTCAGATCTGTCTCTGGACGTCTGAGTTTTCTATTCTATTCTGATGGAGAGAGTGGATAAAAATATGATACAGTACAGTACCGGCTGCCGGGCACTTGGCGTGAACCATAGGCTAACGCGATACCGGTAAATATTGTAAACTTCCGGGTACTGCACAACCGCGTTTAGGAGGTATAGTTCGATAGAAGTACTCAGGAGGGTACTAATCTCTGGTTCTGCATTCCTGATTTTCAATAGGGAGGGTTGTTCGTGGGGACAAATCTTTTTTCAGTCACGCGTCCAGGGTCCTTTTCAGGATCAATTTGGCCAAGGCCTGCTGTTTTGTAGGGTATCATATGTAGGTTACTGTGCGAGTAGATGGGTTGCAAATGAGAGTTGATTCCTAGGGCCCCGTGCGAAAGGAGAAAAATAGAATAATGGTAATAGGTTGCTGAGCGAGAAAACTGGGCGTTACAGGACAAATATCTCGTCGCTGGGGTAATGGCCTATGTGACAACTCGCTCGGTTCGAGGAGGAAGGATAGCAAATAGATCGGGGTTACTGATACTTCCTTCTAATTGGTGCTATCCTCCGTCATCATGCACCCATCATGCACTATTGAACAACTCAGCGGCGAGGCGTTGATTTCCTATTGTAGAGTACAGTACAGTATTGCCAAAAAAAAAGCCTCTTTAATTCAGCTTACCGGTAATGCTGAGGTAGCCTTTGATGCTTTAACCAAAAACGCGACCCCATCAGCAGATGTCTGCCCCTTTGCTTTTAAAACCTGCCTTCCCCATCTGACCTTCGACTCTTTCGACTCCTCGGCAAGTGTTGCATCGCATTATGCAGCCAAGGCCCCTGAACATGCGCAAGCCAATCGGGCTCGGACAGTCCTTGAGTCCTGTTCTCGGGAACACTCGTGAACACTCCTGCCTCCCCCTGCTACCAGGCTGAGGTTATGCAGAATGAAGAGAGAGAGTTGCTGCAGCACGGTACAATTACTCGAGTACTTGTGTGACCGGATGCCTGGTGGACTTTTTCGTGAGCAAAGCAAGTTGCGCTAGACCGTTGTGGCTCATCACCAACCGATTAACACTTCCAGAAGACAATTCTAGCGCCGCACAACAAACAATATCCGGTTCACTTTGGATTTCGTATACCCTAACCCCCAAGTGGTCCCCACGCTGGATAATTTTGTGAGCTTATGATGATCATATCCTTTTTCTATTTATCTATTTTATACTACCGTACAGATAGAGTGAAGTAATTTTCTGGGGGGATACGGAAATCTCAACCGCTTTCAACAAGGCAGTCCGGAGGTCGTAGCTCTAAAAATGCCGATTTTTCCCCCGAACTTGGTGTGGATACACTTGCCGAGTAGGACGTTTTAGTTGGCTATTATACTTTTTTACGGGAGGCCCCTCACCATATCTCTAAACCTAAAGCCCAGATTACCACAAAAAGCCGGAATCTGAGCTTGGGGTGAGTTAATCATCTTCACCCTAGTATCATAGGCGTTGTGTTGGATTCTGGGAGATTGCTAAAATGAAAGTGGCGAGAAGCGTGGCTTCACCTTAGGAAGGGCTAGAAATCAAGAGATTCAGCGCTAAAGAGATTGTATAAAGCGATAAACCATATAACTATACATGTAACATGGGAAAGTTCGACAGGACAGCTTTTAATAACAGGACAGAGAGCACTCCGCACCCACTCAGGACCTCCCATCTCGTTGTCTCCTAAAGCGGTGCACCGGAGCGTTAGCATCAGGAGGCTAAACTCTAACTGTAGTATATCCTACCTTCTGTAAGACGAGAAATAGCCTCTGCAGGTCCTTGAAGACTGTCATGTTGATTGAGAATCTACCGGCATCTCCGACACACGGGGAGCTGGGGGGGCTTGGGGGTTCATAGGTGCTTCTGGTATCGGCTGGCTAGTGACGGGGGGTGCTGGTGTTGGTTCGGGGGAGGTTCGAACCTGGTCTCTTGGGAAGCAGTTACAGCAATAGAACTTGAGGTTGTGTACAGCGATCATGGTGGATCACAGACACTAGAGAGTCCGATAGCAATTTGAAGTGCGTAGTTTTTGAACAGATGGGCTTAGGGAATTGAATGGGAGTGGTTGAGAAAGTTCTGGGGCGAGAGAGGGTTTTATATCAGGTTGTGTAGAGAAGTTCCAATTGACACCGCAAAGGCAATTGTTTTCGCAGGTTGATTCGGCCATTTCTATGGGGCACGATTCCGCCAAAGTTAAGACTGGTTGGTCAGTTCCTGTCTTGAACAGGGATACGCAGCACATTCGCTTCTAAAGGTCCCATCATCCCTGTCCATATTTCTCAATTCAACGGTTCGAATCATTCTTGCTCTGGGATAGGAGCTCAAATCTTTCCCCCCACCCAAGCCGATAGGTAGGGATGACTTTTTCGAAGAAGAAGAAGAAGTCAGCGCAAGGGTTGAACCATCAGGGGCGATAGGCCCTACAGATAATACCGGTACGATTCGGTGGATTGTTCCGACGCTCTTACTCTACCTTTCTCATCCATCTGCTTGTGGGCTTGGTTTTTTTTTTCTTGCCCCGAAAGAGGCTCTGGGTAGCCCAGAGATCAACCACGGCTGCGGCAACATCAGGGCCAGAAAACAACCCCGGAGACCTGCCGACACATCAATAGGTGATATTCCTCCTAGGACTCGATGGGTGAGTGGTTTTGAGAGAGGGTGCATGACGCTCTAGATAAGAATATCCGTGCCGACTAGGTTCTAGCTTAGGGTTCGTGTCATGGGGAGGCGGTTTTATCCTTTACTAAGCGAGATCTGACGAGCGCAGCCTTGCGAGAACCAGAAACGAATCCCACAGCGTTTTCTTGGGCGGGGGAAGGTTGGCGCCACCTACTGCTCTAGCCACAGCAGCTTTTCAGTGTTCGGCTCTTTTGTTAGCTAATAGACTTGGAAGGTGGTCAGGACAGGTTCGCCACACTTACCCTCAATCAAGATCCTAGGCACTAGGCGCACGAGAGAGACACGACGAGCCCGGGTATTTGAGGGCAAATCAGTGTGGCCTCATATGTACACACTGAAAATACGCCATAAGAAAATTTGCCCCCGGCGCCCGGGCTCATTATGCCTGGTAGATGTGCGAGTACTATCAGTTTTTGCACGGTGTCCGAGATGCGATAACAGATCTCTCTTCGCAAGTTGGATGGCTGTGTAGTGACAGCAGTATTTCCGGATACGGACTGCCGGGCACGTGCGTACCGGTATGTATATCATACAATTTTGAGGGTTCGCCGACTCCACTATTCCTTGTCCTCGGGCTCCGCAGTCTGCGAATAGATTGCGGTACTCATTTCCTGCTGCGGGCACGTTTGATCGACGATCTGCACTGGATTCCATCCGGGTAGTCAGCCAATGACCCTCATCTCATCGATTCTTCGCTTAACGCTTCACCGCCGTAAAGACTTTTCAAACATTGTCTTTTGGGGAATTAAGGACCTTTCAAGATTTGATAACATCCTTGGAAAAGACATTGCCCACAAGACAGCAGCTGAATAGCAAGACTCCCCCAAGCCTTGAGATAGCAAGAGAATGAAGGGAGGAGGATGTGGTAATCAGGACCGGGCACGTTTTGAGCTTCTTTATGTGGTCGAAAACCCCGATTTTTGACATGCTAGCATGCTCGAAAAAATTGATGGTATTTTAACGGCTTTAATTATACGTACTTCTAGGTATGATGTCATACTTCTAGAACACCCCCCTTCCTTCTGCCCAGTCACCTCCTTGCGGGCGCGGACACTAGAAGAACACTGTCAAGGGAATTTTGGGTATTTGGGAGGCCCTATGCCTTTTTGAGAATACGAGTGTGCCGGAAATCCCCTCTGAAGCTTATCGAATGCTTTATATATCGGAGAACTGGGGTGATGTCCACTAGAATAAAGGCAGGGGCCCTATTTGATATGATGTCGGTTGGCAGGGATAGGTTTTTTTTCAAAAAAAAGGAGTCAGAAAATCGGAGCAATATAGGGCAACTTCCTCCACCTATAGATCAGCATCTCGCCGCAGGAAAGAGGCCTTGTCGTTTCTCTGCTAGCGCATTGATAAATCATATCGTATGTCAATTTTTATAGCACAGGTCCTAGACTTTTTTAGGCACTGCAAAATATGTCTTACCTTATTGTTGAAGTGCTCATAGTAAGCCTCCTTGGCGATCACGTATGAGCTAGCGGGGTATCAATTGAATCATTTGTGAATATGGTAATCAGATCACATCAGGGGGCCCGTGGCGCAGGGCCCGGGATTTGTGGCTAGCCCCCGAGTTTCGTTCAAAATTAGCCTCAAGAGGGCCGCTCAAGTGCGGCTTTGTCATGCCTTTAAGTTGATTGGTAGTGGTCCCGATTCCGGGGGCCTCCCGGTGTTGGGATGCTCTACTCGTTTGTTTATACAACGGGCAGGATGACTTGAGGCGGGCAATTGCTACTGCGCTTGTTGCTCTTCCAGTTAAGTCAATTCTTTCGGGTGACGGCATGTGCCTCAAGACATTGTGGTAAATCCGAGGCCAAGAATGATTGGATAAAGCGCCACCCTATTGGGGGGGGTGGGCCGAGCATTCTGGGGGCCTAGCTGGCCATGCTGGGCCGAATAGGCGTTGGTAATGCCCCCCTCTAACCCATGCTCTCGCCCGGCAAGAGATACAACCCCGGAAAGTGATGAGATACCGTACCCGTGCCTCTAAGAGCCCGGCAAGTCCGCTAAGTCTTGATCGTCACGTCGATCTGGTGTTCAGGAACGCTGTGCACAAAAGAGCTCTTTCGGCCCAATTTTGATCAGAGCTCTTACTGCAAATCCCTGTTTTGGACACACGGTGGATATATCTATTGGGTCGCCGCACTCCTGCCCAATCATTTATATAAACTGGATAATGAAGGCACCGCCCAATGGCATACTTCAATAGAGATATGGAACAAGTGCGAGAACTGCGAAGGAAGGTTTAGGCCAATTTAACTAGGCGTATAGCTGAAGGGCGGGTTCTCAGGGCTAGGGGGAATGGAATTAGGAGAATAGATGAGAGTCTACTTATTCTCCCAAATATCCCACAAGATTTCCCTTGCTATTTTTGTCACAACACCATTACCAGTCTATTCTTTGCGATCAATTGGCACCACAAACTATCACTCGCTCACTTAAGGACTGTAATTGTTGTGATTTGGGTCGAGTTTCTTGTGAGATTCCTATGTACCCGAGAGGAACAGAACGAAAAGAAAGTAATAGGCAAAAGGCCACAGAGAAGCTAACTATCGGTGACGCAGCATGGCAATGGCTATCACATCGTGATGTCACAACACTCCCTTCTCTTGCTGCAAGCTGTAAGCTCAATCAGGCAGCAGCAGTAAGAAAAAATAAATCAAGTAAGGAAAGGTAAAAATAACCAAAATATATCAAGCAACTTAAGTCCAGATCCTCGTCAGCCTCATTAAAACCTTTTCCGGAGCAAAAAACCCAGTGGGAAAAAAGTAGTCTCGGAATAAGGAAAAAGAGTACTGACTCCTAAGAGAGATACAATTTCAAATAGGATAAACAAAATAATCTTGACAGTTTATATTAAAAGGGGAAGAAAATTAAAAGAGAAGTAAATAAAGAAATCCACGATGCTTGTCAACAGAAAGAGCTTTTGTAAGAAGATCGGCGATATTTTGTGAAGTGTGAATATAGGCAAAGTGTAGAATGCCACTAGTGTGGAGGCTGCGAGAGTTGTGGTAGCGGATGTCGAGATGTTTTGTGCGAGTCTTTATTCCGCCGGATTCAATCGTTTTAAGGGCTCCCTGATTGTCACAATAGATCGTTGGCTGAATGGTCTGACCTGTGACATCCTTATGTAGTTGAATCAACCAGCGGGCTTCATGTGTTGCTTCTGAACAAGCAATGTACTCAGCTTCAAGAGTTGACAGGGCAACAAGTTCCTGCTTGCGTGACCGCCATGAAATGCATCCTCCATACTGATATACATAACCACCCTGTGATTTCCGATCTGCAGAGTCCCCAGCGAAGTCTGAGTCTGTAAATCCTATAAGCGTTGAGGTCGTGGCGGGAAAGAATAATCGAAGGTTTTTCGTTCCAGCCAGATAGCGTAGGACACGTTTCGCAGCTGTTAGGTGTACCATGCTGGGATTACTGATATAGCGGCTTAGAGCAGCAACCGCAAAGGCAATATCAGGCCTAGTTGATACCGCAGCATACATGAGGGAACCGATGATTGCCTGGTAGTCAGCAAAAGAGGAGGATTGATGGGTGGTATCAGTGTTTGCCAATGAATCTGTGATATCAAGGCGAACATTTGGATCAAGAGGTGTAGAGGCAGCATGACAGCTCTCCATGCCAAAGCGTCGCAGAACTTTGTTGATATAGCTGGTTTGACCAAGACAAAGGCCTGATCTGGTTGTTGATAGGGAATTCGTAATCTCTAAACCAAGAAACTGTCTTGCTTCTCCAAGATCAGTCATTCGGTAGCGGGACTTTAGTATTGCCTGAGCTGCATGAGCCTCCTGAGGATCTTCTGGATTATAGAAGACTAGAATATCATCAACATAGAGAAGCAGAAATGCATTTCCATGGCCAATGAATAGATTCGGATCGGCATTAGACTCTTGAAATCCAGATTCTAATAGGACTCTACTGATTTCGTGGTACCAAAGTCTTGGGGCCTGTCGTAGTCCATAAAGTGCTTTATTAAGCTTAAAGCACTTGCCCTGCAGACTAGGAGGATCATGTTCCATTGCATTAACTCGTACCGAACTTGTCCTTTGAGTTTGAGATTTTATAAGAAGCCATTCGATTCCATCCGGAAGCTCCATATAGATATCGGTATCTATCTTAGGATGAAGAAAGGCGGTAACAACATCAAATTGGTTTATCTTCCATCCCTTTTGTGCTGTGAGACTGAGCATATAACGAAGTGTGGTTAGCCGACTGACAGGAGTGTATGTTTCATCGAAGTCGATTCCCGGAACCTGTTCGAAGCCTTTTATAACTAGTCGTGCTTTATATCGTATCGGAGGTATGGTATGGGAGGATCGTTTTATTCGATAAACCCATTTGCAGCTAATAGGCTTGGAAACTGAGGATGGAGTATCAATTAGTGTAAATGTCTTGTTTAGCTCTAATGAATCAAATTCATCCTGCATCGCACATCTCCACAATTGAGCAGAAGGAGAGTTAAGAGCTTCTTCATAGGTCATCGGATCATGGTCAGCATCTTGAGAGACTTGAGTAACCTTCAAGGCAAAGCAGAGAAGTGACTGTGAGCTTTGAAGATCCAAACGTCTCTGTGTGCTGCGTGTCACAGGACCAGTAAATGCCTTTGATATAGGCTTATCAGTTATCTCAGAACTGTTCTGATGTAAAACCTTTGGCTCAACAATAGTAGGAGCACCAGCATCTCTTAAGATACGAGAACTTGTCTCACGTAAACTTGGCTCTAATGCTCTCATCTCTGCTCCCTTCTCGCTAGAGGTATCTTCACACTGTACCTCGTCAGGTACAGGGGTAAACATGGCGGAGCTAGAGGAATTAATGGCACCACCACTAATAGTATCAGGTGAGCTCTGTATGCCAGTAATGTGGGCAGTGACAGGAGAGGGCTCAGTGGAGCAGCGACTATCAGCTAAAGTACCAACAGTATTCTTTATCAACTCTTGATACTGTGGCTCAAGTTCTGGAAGCCCTAGAGGATCTTGCTCATTTGTCGGACATGAGGCATATGCATTCCATTCCTCATTGAAGATAACATCAGAACATTGAGTAACTTTTCCAAACTCAGGATCCCAGATCCGCCACAGCTTCGTTGTCTCATGAACATATCCAACCATCATACAGGGCTTAGAGCGAGTACCCATTTTCGTATCAATCTGCTGCTCTTTGGGAATTCTTTTACTGGCATACCACCCAAATCTTCGTAGATGATGTAGCGGAGGAGAGCTTCCAAAGAGCAATTCATATGGGCTGTGGCTGTCAAGGGCGCTATTAGGTGTTCTCCGATGTAAGTAACAAGCCGTTCGAACAGCTTCTCCCCAGAATACCATAGGAGCCTGTGAGTCAATCATCATAGCTCGTGCCTTTTCAGTTAAGACTCCGATCATCCTCTCGGCAATCCCATTTTTGTGCTGTGTGTAGGGAGGCGCAGGCTCAAAGTTGATTCCCTGGGCAGCAAGGATTCCGCGAAATAAGCAGTTGTCATATTCCCCACGGCCGTTATCGCATCGGAACCGCCGTAGTGAGAATTCCGTATTATCTAATTTTGCTTGGAATTGTTGAAAGGCAGAGACGCAGGTTTCAGCTTTTCGGTTGGGAAGGAAATAGACTGTACAATACCGCGTAAAATCGTCTATAAAAACAATAAAATACTGTGCACCACCTTGGGATATGGTACGCAGAGGACCACATACATCCGAGTGTACAAGCTCATAGGACTTAGTGGTACGTTGAACTGGAATGCGAATAATCTTTCGTTCGTGCTTGGCCTGAACACAGACTTCACAGAATTCAGAACCATGTGTATATCCAGGAATTAAATCTCGAAGAGTGTTTGGAGAGAGGTGTGCCAATCGCCTGTGCCACAGGTGACACTCTGCATCCGACAGCTTTAGACTTTGGGTAGAAGACTCGGACCTGCTGAGAAGAGCAGTCTTGACCGGTAGATTGGCAGCTAGATCAACGGTATAGAGATCTCCATTCCGAATACCGCGCAGAATGGGTACCTGTCCAGTTATTCCAATTAAGCAGATATCATCCTGAAATGAGGAGGTGTAACCAGCGGTAGCTAAAGTACTAACTGAGAGAAGAGAAAAACGAAAGGTAGGAATAAACAAAGCAACTAGTGAGTAGTTGCAGAGAGTAACAGTAACATAATGAGAAACCCGAATAACAGAATCATTACCAAGAGAAATCAAAACAGGATTAGGAAGGGCAAACAGGCATCCGGTTTGAATATTTGTCATATGGGTAGATGCTCCAGAATCAATAATCCATGTTGTTGATGAAACCTCGGTAGAGAGTGAATAATGGTCGGCTAGTCAAAAGTTTTCTGGATTGGCAATTAGAGCGGTTCCATGGGATTCCGTAGAACCTTGACTCCGTCCATGTTTTTTGGCTTCTCGGGCTGCCTGTCCTCTTCTCTTGCGCTTACAATTGCGCTCCACATGACCAGCTTCACCACAGTGGAAGCATTGGACTAGACTCGGGCCGCTACTGTTCATTTGCCTTCGGTTCCTGAACCTAGAGGAAGCACTAGAATTGTGTTTTAGTGGTACGGAGGGATGACGAGGCTGGTATGGGTTGAATCTGTTGGGAATGCGGCGAGCATGATGACATATCGCATCCTGCGATACTGGTTTCTGGAAGCGTTGGGATCTTTGATTCCCCTGTGCATACATCGCACTGCCAGAGGTTAGAGCTGTATTCGAGTTTCCAACTTGTATGCCAGAAGCCTCCCGAGCTGCATAGTGTGTCTCTTCACTATCACGCAGAGCAGTAACCATCTGTTCAACAGTTATTTCAACCGGTGAGCATTGAAGAACTTCAACTGTAGTGGCGAATTCGTTCGATATAGTTGTATAGACATGAGTCTTAAACATCTTGTCGGTTATTGCTTCAGCTGATCCAAAAAGCTGAGTGCGATAGGCCTGAAGTCGGGCAAGGTACTGGACAATGGAATCCTTCTCGGCTGGCCTCGATGTCTGAAACTTTCTGAGGATAGCTGCACGGCCGATATAGGATGCAGTAGAGTCAAGAGACTCCCGAAGCTTATTCCACATCACTTTAGGATCCCGGACTCCCTCAATATAGATCCTGATCTCAGCAGAGCAAGAGAGGTAAATGTAGAGGGCAGCCTTTGCGGATCGTTCCTTAAAGTCTTTTGGTAACTTCACGGCAGCTGGTGCCGGCTCGTCTCCAAGGACTGGTGGAACCTCGATACCGGAAACTATTTCTAAGGCGTTAATCGTTTCTAGAACTAACTCTAGAGTTGACTTCCATGTCTTATAGTTTTTGTGAGTAAGTTTCTCAATACTTCCATATGTTGACTTAAAGGATGTAGTAGAGTTTTCACTATTGCTCACAGAGCTTGAGGTACCTAGAGATTCGGACATGACAGATTGCCGGAAACTTGAATATGAGGTATAGAGGAAGGAATATGGGCTATAGGCAAGTAGTGTATTGTAGAGATAGAAAGAAGATAGATGGGCTTGTAAGAATTGATGAGGTAGAAGCAAAATCACGCCGGGCTCATAACCTGTTGTGATTTGGGTCGAGTTTCTTGTGAGATTCCTATGTACCCGAGAGGAACAGAACGAAAAGAAAGTAATAGGCAAAAGGCCACAGAGAAGCTAACTATCGGTGACGCAGCATGGCAATGGCTATCACATCGTGATGTCACAACAGTAATTGCAAGTCACTTTTTTTTTTAAGTGCGATGCAATCTGATGAGATAAAAAAAAGAAGCGCAGAGGATCGCAGCCAGTTGGCTAGCTGCCGATTTAGTTGGCCGGGCTCGGTTTAGTTTTCTAGAGAAGAATTGGTCGATTGACTAGACCCCTGGTCGTGTAGTTTCTCACATCTGAGGTTCCGGCAGTAGGGTAGTAGGGATACGATAAGACACAATACCATTCGGAAGAGGATACAAGTGATCTGACGTCCCCTAAACTTGCCAGACTCCATTAGACAGTGGGAGCGGTTACGGATTAATCTGAGTGATGGAAGAACATTGGAAGAGACAAGTTTAGATAGGGGATAAAAGGTTGGCGGATGGAGCAAGTCCAGGCCAGCTCGTTCAAAGACCGAATGGGGATCCTGGCAGTATATCCAAGGCCAAAATAAATCGTTACGGGACGCAAATGATAGGGGTAGGGGGAGATGAAGGGCATATCCTTGGTGCACGGAAAGGAGGTCACATACGTTTTTAACCAGATATCAAGCGGGTTGATCCCCCCTGGGAAAATAAAATAAAATAAGGGGTTGTTTGGCGCACTGTCATTTGAGCTGTCTGTCTTCTCAAAATGCGTTTTGTGTCCAAATCGTGTTTTGGGATGAGGGTGGTGTTTGGCACATCATCATTTCGAAAACATGTATGGATGAGATTGCAAAATGGGGTTTGGATTGGTGGCTGTTACTTTACTCACATGTTGAAGTATATAATAATGGCTTCTAACATGTGAGAAATAAGGAATATTAAGTTGAACACTGGGCATTTTTAGATTTTTCCTGAACGCCTTCAGCTGAACGGATTCTAAGATGACCATCATCTCAAATGATGGTATGCCAAACAGTCCCTAAATACTTGCTACTTACCGCAGAGCAAGAGTTTCGCGTCCCTGGTATACTAGGTTCTTCTTCCGAGGTTACATTCCCCCATTGGTCCTGGGGGAGAGGTCTAAGTGCGCTGAGATCAAGTCACAGCCGTCAGGGCACCGGGTGTGTTTTGTCAGGGAAACTTATTGCCATGTCCGATGGTAAAAATGTTTTGGGATTCAAGGAATTAATTGAGCTGCTCGGTTGGGAATAAGCTGTTGATGAGTTATTCCGATAGATTCCGGATCGGGGGTCTGGGAAGCGATAGAGGTAGGGGTTCTGGGGGGGATAGTTACCCCAAGAGCTGTCACGCTCTCCTAACTGACTGAGTAGATGGCTTGTCTCTGCCTGCAGTCTGTAGATTATTCAAGGAGTTCCTCGCAAAGGCGTGACTTTATATCTGGGCTAGAGGGCATTAGTCGTGGTGCACCATATGACGTGTATGTAGGTCGCTTCAAGTATCCAGCTTTCTGCCGATCTATTTCCACTGGAGGGCTGATGGAAGGCCATAACACAACACTGGCCATCAGAAGCCCTAAAGCGAAGCGAACTAATCATGTCGATATGATACAAGAACGGAGCTCCGAATCCTATTCCCCGTGCTTTCAAACTCTCTAATGGGACTCCCCTGCATGTGGCCTGAGCTACACCGGAATTCACGACCAATTATCATTTACAATAAGACAATAAAACTTAACCCCCCAATGCACTAACTACTACACATAGAGGTAAAACAGGAACCTTTAATACAACACCGCACGAGCACCAGCTGCTCTAGTATCACAAGTGCACCTCAAAAGGAAAATCCAAGAAACTCCCCCATTCTGCTACTCCTATCTCATGCAGAAACTCACAATTCTCTATCTCCACTCAACTGGTCCGGATTCACCGACCAATGACTAGAGTCAAAATAACTCGCAATAGCAAAAAGCTTATAGTTATCCGCATTATCCCTAGCTTTCACGGCGTTTTCACGCGCCAGCAAGAGTGCATTTCTATGACTGTAGGCCTTTTCCACTCCTCTAGTAGCCGGGTTAGTGACAGTGTGGTCATCCGCTATAATACAAATTAGTACTTAATTCCCCCTGGGGAAGGGGGATACTCTCTACTTACTAACGAACCAAGCATGCGTGAGCTCATGCAGTAGCTGTGCCCCAACGGATATGTACTGGTCCAATGGACGGAAGCGGGAGGGTTGTTTGGAAGGGGACATTTTCCGGAGAAGCCCGTCCCTGCGGGTGTGCCAGTATGAGTTGCAGATGTAGATGTTTGGACCGCCCTTGTCTGCTGCGACGATGCTGGAGGATGTTAGCTCCCGAACTCTTGTGCTCTACTAGGATTTCATTATATGAGGTGGGGAGTACTGGTTGGCGGGCCTGCAGGCCGGAATCGAGGCGGTATTGCAGCGGATGTTTATGCTCTTCCTGGGCTTCGATTTGAAGTTTGAAATAGCAGTGTAGCGTTCTGTCTTGGTTAGCCATTTCTTCCATATCCCGGAGTCAAGGGGATTTGATACTCTTTATTGTAGAGTCCTTGATATTTGCCCGCGGAGGTTCTTCCCCGAAGAATGCTTTGAAGAGCCCGTTGTTGCTATCGGCGTGCTCTGCAGCTTTTCTCGCTAGAGCTTGCATTTCTTCAAAGTCCGCTTCTAGGAAGGCTTTCTCCCAAGTACAGTCTCTATAGGTTATTGTCTCTGCGTCCTGGCGACGGTCGAGGTCTACTTGCGGGATCACGGCTGCAGCAGCCAGGGTGACCAGGGCGGCAAAGTATATGCAGGGTATATGCATGATCGGTGATTGGTAGTGGGTTTAAAGGGATATAGATGGTTTGAGCTGCCCGCCGAGTGTGCAGAATTGTTAAAATATGAAGGAAAGTAGAGGTCTTTATGTACAGCTGAATTTTTCCCAGGATGTCGTGCTCCCTCAATCAAGGCCTTTTAGCCATACGGAGTGATCACTATCATTATCTAACTAAGCCCACTTTCCCTAATGCTATTCCAGCGTCAGAGTTGCTTAAACACAGATCATCACATAGCATTAATTCTGATAACAAACCACTCCCCCTAAGCCACCGAGATATCCCATAAACTATACCTAGTGAATTAAAGCGCTGCTGACGGTCCCCCATATGGTATGGACGGATGGAAGTAATCATAACGTTTCATTAAGATGGTATAATCACGAATCCCTTTCAGCACTGCCCAGCCAGTCAGACGTTAAAATTAAAGTCACCGTTAAACATCCCGGGTAAGGGCTACACTGTTGGCGCGCTTACTGTGCTACACTGTGCTCTAACGTATTAGTGGGGTTGACTACCGGTAACCTGCAACGCCGGTCACGCCGCGACTCACGGAAAAATCGTCCTGTAATAGAATTGCTTTTTTGCGTTGCCATTTTCTGAAGCGCCCGGCGCAACGCTTACCCGGACGGGTTCTAGAGCACTGTAACCTCCGTAGGAATCATTGGAAGAATGGTCTTGATTTTTTTTACTACTCGTTATTATTATTATCGTTGTAGTAATATTGAGTACAGCGGTCTGGAAGAGTAATCGATGTCGTGTTTTGAGCATACTCTCCTGTAATTAATGGGCTAGGGTTTGCTCAGCCTTCGGAGAGCTAACCAAGATTCTAGTGGCTGTGGTGATTAGGTTGGCTTTTTGTTGAGTTGTATAAAGACCATCGAGACCATCTCATGAGAAAACTCAAGAAGCTCCTCCAGCACTACCATTTTCAAACTCCCATACAGTCTCCCACCCTTATCATAATTCACACACGATATCAAAATGTTTGTCAGCAGCCGAATCATCGCGGGTGCGTTTGCACTCTTTGCTGCCACTGCTCTCGCAGCGGACTGCTCTGGCGATAAAGGAGAACACCCAGAAGTTGGTAAGTTATCAGCATTTTTTCCGGTATATGTCTAAGCTAACCTAGAGGACTAGACTGGGCAAGGGAAATCCAGGAATCGTTGTGCGGTACCGGTTGTGCGCGCAACGATCAAGAAGTTGGCAATAGTGAATGCAGTCTCGTCACTATCATCAAAAATGGCACCGCGGTGCTAGGATATAGATCTGATCCCACTGGTCAATACGGAAATTGGTACCTACAATCTCTGAGATCTTACTTTGCTGAGCGTATACCATACTAACCCGAGGGGCAGCAAGGGGGCTCTAGACGACGCCATAACTCAATGCTTCCTTGATAAATCCGAGGCCTATACAGGAACCAACAAGAAGACCCAAGGAAACTGGAAACTCGGAAATGAATCTTATTGGATTGCAATTGAGACGGCGGACGACTACCTCTACGATCCCTTAGAAGAGCTTTCGGTTAGCGTCAATGTCGATGATGACCCAAACACTCCTGCAGGAAAGTGAGTGACTCATCCCCCAACACTTGAAGTGTAAGTTCTTTGCTGATTTGCCGCAGTATTATGCGGGGGCCCGATAAATTCTGTGCTGGGCTTAGTCACGGTGGGGGAGAGACCTGCACTGACATTCCTGATGGGTGCTTGATTATCGTTCCTGAGTCTAATGTGATTCCTCAAGTCATATGCCCGGACGAAGGATTGTGAGCTTGAGATATTGGAAAACATCAATAGCTAGGGGGAGTGACCAGAAATATTCCAACCTTCGGGGGGAGCTGTGTAATGTTGTACGATAAGTGTTGCATGGAACTTTTATTTTATTTTTTTATCTAAAATTCTGTAAACCCTAGCCTGGACAGACTTGGTATTACCGAAAAATGGGAAATGGGAAAAATAAATATGTTTATATCCGATGAATTTTACATGGCGCGGGGCGAAACTGCGTGGTGTCACGCATTTTCCTAGCCTTATCAGGAGCTATCCTATAAGAGATTGTTGTAGTCACAATTAAATCACCTACAGATACTCCCCATTAAAGATTTTTGTGTTTGGTAACCCCTTTGCGGTCATGGACCCTCACCAAGCCAAGGTCTTTCCCCCTGTTCCGTCCCCTTTTCACTTCACTCCTCTGACCGCTCCTCCCCATCTCGATACTCCCACCTTTTCCTTTCCTTCTATCTTCCATAGATACTCCCAGGGCTCCAATCCCCGGTATGGCCCAGGCCGTGCCTCTTTCACGGATTGAACATACGACACTCCCTGGTGCTCGCTGTTATAATCGCCTGCTCGAGTAGAAGACTTTCCCCGAGAATCATGCTGCGTCCGAGGGCATGGTCTGAGTTATGTGTGGCACGCATCCAATAGCTGGTTTGTATAGCGTGACACTTTTACAGCACTTGCACTTTGAAATCCGGGTGTTGTTGCTCACTCGCACCTTAATCGATCACCGGTACGGTACAGTACATCATGACAACATTCGCTTAGCTAGCTGACTTACAGTCGTAGCATACTATGCCAGATCCTGACACCTGGACACTACGCTGGTGGCATGGACCTCTGCGAGATGGGCGGGATCAGAGTGGAGTGGCTTTCCTCTTGGACATAATTCTGCAACAACCATACACGGTACCGGGTGTTCTACTAGTGGGTTATGAATAAACCTAATTGGATGTGGGTCCCAAGTCTCCTCGCACCAGATCACCCGCTTCCCCAGACAGATTAGATCTTGAATGTCCGGGACAGCGGGTCACGGTTCTATCACACTTGAAGGGTTGTTTCGGAGCTCGGCCCTTCAATCGGCTTTTGTCCCCACATAGCCATGGAAGTACTAACCGCTTTCAAAAGTATTCTGATGGCTTGGCATCTTTTCCCTGTCTTGGCGCCAAGGCATCCGGATACTTTTGAAAACGGCTAGTACAACAGCACAGCCACACCCTAATTCGGCAGGTAAGACGTCTGCATGCATCAGCCATAACCAAAGTACTTTGAGTCAACCTCTTTTCAAACCGTATTGATCGTGAAGCCACCAGCGGCTTCATCTTAGCCAACGCCATGGATCCATTCAGCATCGCGTCAGGTACGATGGGGATTCTTGGTGTTTCTGCCCAGATCCTGAAGCTTTGTTACTCGATCTACGATTATTACGGGGGTGTGAAAAATGCCCCGCAAGCCATGAGAGCTCTCATGAAAGAGCTCGAAGCACTCGATCCAGTTCTCTACCAGTTACGAGTTCTTGCGCTAAGGTCGCAGACTATCCCGTTACTCCAGGAATTCTCGAAGCAGGGGGGTGTCATCGAGATGTGTCAGGGCGAGCTTCAAGCACTGGCAGATGAACTACAAAAGAGGATTGAAGCGAGAGGGTTCCACGGGAAGATTGGAAGGCTTACATGGCCCTTGTCTGAGGCTGAGACAACCAAACACCTCCTTGGAATCCAGAGGATGAAGAGTACAATTTTATTGGGTCTTCAGGCTGATAGCTTGTAAGTCGACGGAAATGCCAATGCTCTTCAGCAGAAATATCTTGTGCGGATGGGCACCGGCGCATCCTTGGCAAGGGCTGCATCAATGCGGTTTCGCTCCATACCGGTTCGTGCCAAATGATTTAGAAACACTTTCTAACACGCTGTTAAAGGAGTGCATCACACGAAATTCTTCAATTGGCGCAGAACATAGATTCCAACCTTTCACAATTATCCAATACTACCGAAGAAATAACCGATTCGCTGGAATTCCGTAGAGCTGGTAAGAGGGTACTGATCTGTCATGGCAAAATTGCAGCTAACTAATCATGACGGCTCAGAAAAAAAGCGTCGGGAGGTCCTTAAATGGGTTCACTCGGACGACTTCAAGGAAAAACACCAACTAATACAAGAAAACAGACAAGAGGGGACAGGAGAATGGCTATTGAGAAGTGAAGAGTTTATTAACTGGCAAAAGGGTGCACCTTCCCGGATACTTCTCGGATTAGGAATAGGTAAGATAAGCTGTCACCGGGATCATTCATTTTAACTGACAAAGCGCCTTGTAACAATTAGCCGGAGCCGGAAAAACTTTCTTAAGGTCCTCCCGGTATCCCCAGGTTTCGGTGTTCTATAGCTAATGAATTCCCTAAAAGTTCACGGGTGGTTGACCATCTAGAAGATGTTACCGAAAGTGGCGTAGCCTACATATATTTTAACTATCAAGACCAACAAAGTCCTGCTCGTATAATGGCCAGCATAGCAAAACAACTCATGTGCAAGTTGCCGTCAACGACTCCCTTGCCCGAAATTGCCAATGACCTACACAGCAAGCTCGCTCCTGATAAGAAAGCTTCTTTAGAACAACTACGCAGCGTGCTGAGTGGTGTGGTCAGTCTTTTCCCCAGCATCTTCCTCGTTTTCGATGCTGTAGACGAATGTGAGGAAGACCTTCGAACACAGATTCTCTCTTTGCTCCTATGGATAGAAACCCTGAGCGAGAAAGTGTTCTTGTTCATTACAAGTCGGCCGCTGGCGGATCTCAAAAATATACTGATAGACGCTGTTGAAGTGAAACTCTCAGCTCATCCGGAGGACATAAGCACATATCTCGAGGCAAGAATTGAACAAACCAGACCGCTAAGGCCAACAAAACAAATCCCACTAATGGTGCGATACAAAGACAAGATAATTCCCGAAATTAGAAATAGTGCGGGAGAAATGTGTGCAGATTCTCCAACCCTTCTGTCCGATGCACTTTGTTGACTGCCACGTTCAGGTTTCTACTTGCCAAGTTCCATTTCGACTTCCTCAGCCAGAAGATCAATGCGAGAAAACTCCTGGACGCCATAGAGACCTTGAAAAATCCCTCAAGTAGGGTTAATGCCCTGGAGCAATGCTACAAAAGAGTCGTGGACGGTATCAGAGCGCGAGACGAGAACGGCGGCCTTGCCTTGGACGTGCTCGCCCTGCTCTCCCGCGCCACAACTCCCCTTCGTATCAACGAGCTGCAGGATGCCCTGGCAGTGATTCCTGGGGAACTAGAGCTCGATCCCCTGAACGTTACGAGCGCGGAAACGCTGGTCGATATATGCGGGGGCCTGGTCGAGATCGATCACCACAGCAACACAATTGGACTAGCGCACTACACGATCAAGCAATACCTCGTCGACGAGAAAGCATCACCCATTCTGAAAGAGGCGAATATGAGAGCTGCCATCTTTTGTCTCGCGTATTTATCACTTTCCCACATCCCGGGCGATACGTGGAAGCTGAAAAGTTCGGTTTGGCTTCGCAAGCCTTTCGCCTTTCTGCGCTACGCTGTGTCCAATGTTTCGTACCATTTGCGCTGCAACGCGCCGGACGAGCAACTGACCACGATGACTCTCCAATTCCTAAAGAGCCGGAAGTCTTTGGCGATGTACGTTGAAGTCATATCATGGATTACCACCGGCCATGGGATTCCGGGAGGAATCACTCCACTATGCGTGGGGTCAATGATTGGATATCTACCAGTTGTGGAAGCTTTACTCAATGAAAGAGATGGAGAACTATCAGAAGAGGATAAGATGCACTCTACTGAAGTGCATTGGGCGGCTTATGGAGGAAGATCGGAGGTAGTTCAGTTGTTGCTAGACCGTGGAGCATATCATTCTTCAATGGATTTCTTAGGACGAACTCCGGGATCCATTGCGGCCCGTGCCGGACATGTGAAGGTATTACGTTGTCTACTGGACAATGGAGCAACTCTATTAGAGCGGGACAAAAAAGGCAAGATTCCGTTGCACTTCGCTGCGGAAAGTGGGCATTCGGATGCGGTCGAATTACTACTTGAAAGAGGGATGGACCTTGGGCTCGCGGACCACCGTGGATTGACAGCGATGAATTACGCGGTTTCTTCCAGAAACGCAACCGTTGTCAGAATGCTCCTTGACAGAGGTGCGAGGAGCAGTGGAATCGTTGAGGATAATGAGAGCGATCTTGGGTTCCACAAGTTACTCCCTTTGTTCTTAGTTAGAGAGGAATACAGTACCGGAGTGATAACTAGCGGAATGGAAACGGCACTTCATCTAGCAGCAAAACATAATTACCCAGAACTCGGCCATCAATTTCTCCAAGCAGGGCAAGATCCCTCTATCACCGACATAAATGGGGCAACTCCCCTGCACTGGGCAGCCCTGCACCGGAGTAGAGAGTTGGCGGAAGCCCTACTTCTCAAAGGAGCCGATGTATCTGCCGCTGATAAGTGTGGAGAAACTCCATTACATTGGGCTATCACAAAACGGTCAAGTCGTGGATACAACAACTTTTCTTCTCTCCTCCGGATAATCGAGCTGCCAGGACAAGATCCTGCAGCCATTATTTCTTTGCTACTCGAGAGCGGGGCACATATTTCCTCTCGAGATACCCAGGGAATGACACCCATGCACAAAGCAGCCTTCAGAGGAGACACCGACATTGTCCGCATTTTGGTGCGTGAAGGCGCAGACCTGACCACGGGGGACAAGGAAGGGCGAACACCACTACATACGGCAATTCGTCAACACAATCTCCCAACCTCCCGCATCCTAATCGATGCAGGAGCAGACCTCTCCATCCCTGATGCTGATGGGCTAACGCCTCTGCACGTCGCACTCTGCAAGGGGAAAATCGAAATAAGCCGAGCCCTGATCCAGAAAGGGGCGAGTATTTCCGGTCATGTGCGGGACAACAAGGGCCGCACACCACTGCTTATGGCTGCCCGGTGGAACTGCCCCGATATTATTCATTTTCTGATCGACGGGGGATGCGACGTTTCCGCCCCAGACAATCTGGGGAACACGCCGCTGCACGTCACCACCGATGCGCGAATTGCCGGGATCCTGATGGACAGGGGAGCCGGGGTTTCTACGTTAAATAATATGCGGCAGATGCCTCTGCATACGGCGCTTGATAGGAAAGACACTGTTGTCGCTAAATTCCTGATTGAGAGGGGCGAGGCAGGTATTTTTGTTCAGGACAACATGGGACAGACACCTCTACATGTTGCAGTCAAGAGAGACCTCTCAGAGGTTGCCTACACCCTGATTAAGAAAGGAGCAGACACCTTTGTACTGGACGCCGAAGGCAGAACAGCACTACACCTCGCGGTGAATGCGGAGAATACCGAGATCGCCCGCGCTCTTATCAGCAACGGATCCGGTGTCTCCGCCCAGGACAAGATAGGCCAAACACCACTGCATTTGGCCATCGATAGAAGGTGCCGTGAAATCGCCCACCTGCTCCTGGAGAAATGCACCGACATCACAATCCAAGACAACATGGGCCGCTCACCACTGCACTTGGCGGCCGGGCGGGAAATGGCCGATATATTTCACGCCCTAGTAGAAAAGGGTGCAGACTTCTCGCTCCAAAATAACAAGGGCCAAACACCCCTCCACATGGCCGTTAGAAGTGATAACATTGAGATCGCTCGCACTCTCATCGATAAGGGATCGGACATCACCCACCGAGACACAGACGGGCGAACACCACTCCAGGTCGCAGTCTGGTGGAATAATATTGAGTCTGCGCGCTTGTTGATCGAAAAGGGCGCCGACGTTTGCACACGTAATAATGCAGGACGGACACCGCTTCACCACCTGGTGGACATGAGCGGGCCTACAAGTGAATTTGAGCTGGATGGGTCAACGGAAGAGACACTCGTACTCCTAATAAAAAGCGGCGCAGATGTATCCGCCGCTGACAATCTAGGTTGGACGCCATTGCATGTTGCGGCTGGTGGAGGCAGGAAGCATGACGTCGAGTTGCTACTGCGGCTGGGGGCAGATGTGTCGAGCCTTGATAACGATCGGCAGACTCCGCTAAATGTGGCTAGAAAGGGGAGTGCCGAGAGCGTGGGGTTTGATAGACACAAGTATATTGTGAAGATTTTGGAGGACGAGCTATGGAGGAGGAGGAGGAAAGGGGAGGCGTAAGGATTGTGTGGGCAATGTTGGTGGGGAGGTGAAGACTGCCGCATAGTGCAAGGGAGGCGTAAGGAGCTCTTCCGCTGGTGGCTACAGGTTATGGTGAATTGTAGTTTTGGTTAACCAGAGAACCCTACGATTACTAGCAGCAGATGAATATATCCTCCTATTATCTTGCTCATAGAACTAAAAAAGACTCCATGACTGACCACCTTCCGGGAAAATACCCCGAGAAAATGAGCTACGGGCAGCGGATCGGCTGTCAGTCTTTTTAAGGGGGTTGAATGGCGGATGAACAATAAATTTACTGTGGGGGTAGGGCTGGAGGGATCGCGCTGTACTTCGACCAAAATCTGTTATCATACCGGCAGTCCGCCAGAAGGGCATCTCGAAGGCTGCGGATACCAATACCGCTAATCTGCCAGGGGGAAGAAGAAAAAAAACCTGGACCGCCAACCACCCTCCACCCCCCCACCCCGGCCCTGCAAACTAAATTTTAGCTTTCGTTGCGGCAAAAATTCCTCCACCGGGTGATTATTTGTGAAGCCCTCACGTGACTCTCGATCCCCTGCCCACAAAACCGTGGAGAACACTCTCGAGACGGAATCGGGGTAAACTCCATCGACCCTAACTCCCGACTGCCCAGTGCTGCCCCCCTAACTTCTCCAGCCACTACTATTAATTTTCCACTGAAAAAAAAAAAGTTCCATTCACAGGAACCACAGCCTAACTTTCTACCGCAGTAAAATCAACCTCGAACAAGCACCGTAACCCGGAACGCACGCTGCATAGACCCCCAAACTCCATTCTCCCTACCTTCCACCCACACCACACCCACGCCCTCTTTATCAAAGCAGCAGCCCGCAGATCGCAATAAATATCGAGTGACATACCGTGACAAGTAGCTATCCGAATTCCCCGCGTACTCACTCAAAATGACAAGTACCGGTAAGGCGAGTGAGAAAAGGGAAAAAGAAAAAAGGTTTCACCCTGGTAATACAGCTCAACAAAGTGCAAGTTCTTTCTTGGCCGAACGCAGGAAAAGTGAAACGAAACAGAATTTGGGCGGAAAGTAACGGGTCAGGGGAGGGTCGGAAGTGATGTATCATATCATTTGCTAGGAAAATGACACTTTTTTTGTCTTTTTCTTCCCTCTTGCATGTCCGCTAGCGAAGGTATAGCATAGTGCTTGTATGATAACTAGGCTCACGTTCAGGTGAATGAACGGACGGCTCGGTGACCTGCGTTGTCTGGGTTTCTCGGTTCCCAACTAAGTCCGATGGTTCGGAGCTTTGAGCGCGGGCCGGTAGTTGAGCTAGATAGGGAGAGGGGACTATATTTAGGTCAATGGATATTCGCTTCGCGTCCTTTGGAGGACCATCTATTGGAGAGGTCTGAGAACTGGAACAGCGTGTGACAAATTCTGATCCGGGGTTAAGGTATTTTGCACGAGTACCGTACTTATACGAGTACAAGCCCTGAAGTGTGCCATCCCGTCCCGCGTAAGGCGTTTGTGCTCCTGTGTTTAGGTTGTTGGAGGGGATGGGGGGGGGGGGGGGGGGGGGTGGCGAGGGTAGATCATGAATTCATAGCATAGAGCAGGGGTAATCATCCTCCTTTGTGAAGGCAATTTTGGAACAGAAAAAGTATGTGTTCCGACCAATCGTACAACTGACTCCGGAATGAGTGATGAGAAAGGCGAAAGGGGAAAATCGATAACCAGTAACAGTTAGCTATGATCCTGGTACGTTTGAATCTTTAAATCTTGCTTCGTGGGGTTCAGTTGCCCTGTTTTGGAGAAAGTTATAGTACTCAGCTCACAATCGCTATACCATTGCTATCTAACCCCCCATCCCTGCCGCGTACCATGAATTCATGATCTACCCTTGTATTCGAGTATATCAAGAATGCAACACGCCTTGAGAGGGTATGATAACATGGGATATTAAGCGTTCCTGCAGGAGTCCGTAAGTTAAATTAACTCTCCGAGAGGTTGGATTTTCAATAGGGGAAAGAAAAAAAGCCTCAGGTTAATCACCTACCATCGATGGATCATCAGGCTGAAGATACCGACCAATATTAGATTCTGTCCGCCTTGTGATTCAGAACGCTAAAATGTCCAGAGAAGTCGACGGCATATTTTGCAGTCAGAATCTAGCGCTACAGCGCCCCACCTACTTTACATGTGACGGCTAGATTCTCAGAGATTTGTAATATTAATTACTTGTATACTTGAGATATCCGTAGACTGCATGACCGATTACTCGAAGAGGGGCGAGGGCCTAAGGGCCTGCACCAGTTCCTGGCTCTCCAGCCAATGAAAGGACTGCTCGAGTGATACGTTATGATGAGTTCTCGGTGCCGGAATTCGACTTGTGGACGCAATTCCTGGGGTAGTCGTAGCAGGTAAGAAGTATCCAAAACAGGTGTCGTGGATTTGTATGGGCGCTCAGATGGGCACGGATTTTTTTGCCATATATTTCGCGAATCCCTGTTCTCGGGTACTTCTTTCATGCCATGAGTACGATCTGCCGCGCATTTTTATTTTTATTTTTTTCCGAGGCGGTGCACAGCTGTCAACGGTGCACAGCAGTCACCGGCCCTCCGCACCTCACCGAGTCCCAAATAAGCTTTACGGCTTCATGAGTATAAATTCCTTCAGCTCCCCCCGCCCTTTTCCATGGTGGGATGGGTTCGATGGGTTCGATGGGTTCGAATTTCTCACCGCCAGACAGCTAGCTCGTGGCACAGCCCTGCATTACCCCTCGTGGTCCCACCACCCCACAGCTCTACCAACTGAACCGATTACAGAGAGTGAAAATTTCGGCGGGAGGTTTACAGGGCCAACAAGCTGAATTCGTGCCCGACACCATGCGGCCTTTTCCTCAACGGTGAAGTTCCGCCATTACCCCACAATACTCGACCATGGGACAGATCCGTATCGCTCCCCTGGAATCCTTGCCGTGAACTCTCTCCGATAGCGAGCCAACGGGAACCCTCCACTATCGGAATTAATTCTTTTCGTTTACGGAAGAGGCCTAATGCCAATATGGGAGCGTCTTCGAGGGGTCGCTATCGGAGATGCGTTTTCGGTTGAGGTTTTCGGTGGAGTGATACGAGTTTGGCTCCAAGGACTCAGATATTGGCGGGAGGGGAATTCGGAAGAACAGAAGGACGAAAAGGATCGACAATTTCCGAATATGGCTGGTAAGGTGACAGGGATAAAATATATCTGGGGTAGGGGTGTTGACTGATATTATGAACTTTGATCGGGTGCCCACAACAGCCTCCTGTCTTTCATACATTAGCACCACAGCCTTGCAGGATATAAAGGTCTTATGTCCTGAGTTAGGACTTATGCTAGTGTCCAAGGGCACTGGTTATTGCCTCGCTGTGGGTTTCAGAGCGAGCATGATTTAGCCCAGAGGGGTCAGCTACTCGAGTACTTGCGCGTTTAGATTAGCGGGCATATCCACAACAGTCTAGGAACTCTATTGGCAGCGACCTCAGATCTCTGTGTCTTTCAAATGCTTCAGCAATCGGAATCCACTTTGTACGACACAGGGTCTATGGTGCCGGCAGTGGGCGCGACACCCGTACACAAGAGAAGTGGGAATACCGCAGTGAAGGGTTTCCGAAAGGAGGGCGATTGGGATGGTCGCTTTGAAGGTGATCTTCTCACGCTGTACCCAAAACCCAGAGGAGCATCTCCGTGCTTACCCTCAAATCTCATCGCCCGAGAGAGAAATGTCCCCTTGAGCCGAGGCCAGGAAGTAGTCAGCAGACCCATGAAACCGTTCACCGTCCCTTCCTACATCGAATTTGTGTTTCTCCCGGACGCTCGATGGAAGGTTTGCTGCGGAACACCTTCCCAAGCACGGGAGACAACCGATGCTCCCGGCGAAAAAACCCGTCGGCAAGAGAGCACAGCTGCGCCAAACAATACTCATATCTGCCGTGTTGAAGTCAAATTTAACGTTGCACATCAGCCGTGATCAGTGACATGCTTCCCAGCAGCATACTCCCCAGCCGGTGCAAGCTCAATGGAAACGCGTTATTGGCCGCGTGGAAAAGCGCGGACGCTAGATAAGGAGAAGTCCCATTTGCCTAATACCCCGTCAGCAGAATGATTAAAAAAGGATTCAAGTCTACCCAAGGGCACATTGCAAGTACGGATCACCTCGGCATTGCATTAACTGGGCCCGCGTGAACAGAATAATTGGCCTCGGTAGACAGCCCGGCCTTAATAACGATGCACTTTGGATGCCGAGTACCCCATAACCCCTCCGATAATCCAGGGTGAAGGAAGAGGAGACAGAAACTCGAGAACTAAGGGCTCTCTCGGGAAGCCAGCCGTGCCTGGAGCAAAAGCTTGGGTTAAAAACTCCTATCATATCAGTCCATGACTCCATGTTGTCAGCTACTTCCGGGCCTTCCCCCTCTCACTAACCCCCATTCGGGCAACAAGGGACTTGTCACCGGTATCAACATAGCCGCCGAATGCCGCCTACCCGTGTGTTAGCAAGGCGAAACTAACTGATATTAGCATAGACTGGGACAAGATTGGCGTGAACGAGAAGCCCGCGCTAATGATCCGGGGTGTCGGAGGTGGAGGAGCGTTCAACTTTGAGGATGAGGGGTTGTTGTGTGGTTTTAGGCACACGTTTGCTGGATGTGAAGTCAGATAAAGGACGCCAACCGGATTGATGGATGGACGCAGTACGGCCCGTTAGCGTCTTTCAGCCAACCGGTAAATTGGCCGGTAACGCAGTGGTGTCGAGCTCGGGCTTCTCCACGGTCTGAGCTTCATGGCTGCATTCTTGAGCGACCAATGATCGCAGGTGGCAGAGGGGCTCCGGAAAAAGTGGATGAAGGATTCGCTTCTGTGGACGGTGAGTGATACCAGCATCATAAGCACTCGTATCAGGGACCCGGCAGTTTATGGTTGTTGTGATATCCCTTTCTTGGTATGCCAAATTTCACACCGGAATCTTAGCTCGAAAACCGGACGAACACTTGGCCTGAAGGGGCATGTATGGCTGTGCTCTTCTGATGCTGGCCCAGCCAATAGCCGTTCCTGACCCTGTGGATCTGCGGATAATTTACTCGAATGGGCGGCGTTATCCTCCCCCCGGGAAGGGGTCGGTCTGGACCGCTGTTCCGTCGATACGGACAAAGGGACCGGCTACCGTAATTTTCATTGCTTTAACTCCTAGTGGTTTGCCGCAATGTGAGCCGCGCACCATTCTGACTGCCCATATTATGCCAGCACGAGTACCGGTACACTGCCATACCGGTATTGCACAGACAGCCGTATCACCACTCTTGCATCGGAAGCACGCCGGGGAAAGAAGGAGAGAAAAAGAGGGGAAACAACTAAACTATTGAGATAGACTAATGGGGGGGCAGGGTTTGCCTGAACGGTATTCTCGTCAGGGCCGATTATACCAGACTTCCGTACCATATCAAAAGTAAAAAATATTAACGCAGAGCACCTTACTGGAGCCCTCCGCATTCTCCCTGTGGGTCAAGTGCTCCGCCATATTGATCCATCGATCCCACAAAGATCAGTTCCGCCCAGGTGAATATAAAAGCCCTACTACAGGAACGAGCGAAACAATTATCGTCAGAGGATCCCTCGATCAGGAATTGACCCGAGAAGCCCCCCCTTGATAGCATGTCTGCAAGCCAGATCACACACCCTTGGCATGCAAGAACCTTTCACAAGTGAGTACTGTATCCAAACCATCTCCCCCCACAATGTCTGGTGTTTCAATTAACCTTCAGATCCAGGCCAGAAGCCAGACCAGTCCACACCTTTGATAACCTCGATAACAGCACACGAGTGATCCGGCAACAAGAACGTTCCATCGTGCTCGTCCCTCTCTGCCAAGATTTGGTGCCCCGTTTACCCTAGGGCATGCCGGAAGAGCGCCTACTCCTGACCTGCACCGGGGGGAATTGCCGGCTCGAAAGACCTCCTGCTGGACCCCCCCCCCCCCCAAGTTTTAAAGCTTTGGTATGGATGGAGTCGAGATTTTGTTACATTGATCACAAAGGCAAAAAAAAGACCTTTTTAGAAACCTCCGGACATTCCGAAGCCAAGGCACCCCCACATCCTTCAAGAATGGAAAAGATCCCAAGCCAACTAACCGCCCCTACTGCAAAGATTTTGATTCGGTACTTTACTTCCTTACAAAGGACAGGGATGTAAAAATCTTGGCGGAGGGGCAGGAGTACCGGTACTGTACGAGTGGAGTAGCAGACGCAGTCATGAATTAGCAGCATGGAGGGAAGCTACATGCCGCTCGGACAGATGCTGGCCGGTTGATTTTCCATGAGGAAGTCACCCGCTGGCCTCCTCGGCTGCAATATAGGTGCAGAAGAAGCAACAAGCCACTCGGATACCCTCCTCAAAGACCGTGGTAGAGACTTTACTGTATCATTTTGGGTTTGGGATTGCACATGTTCTGGCCGACCCCTCCACCTGCGTTACGAAGCGCGCAGGCGGTACTCTCCAGATGTACCGTGCCGTCTCGCAGCATGCCGGTAGGCAGGGTTTCCAGCTGACCTACCGGTACTACCGTACAGTACCTCTCCGTAAGGCTGCAAGGTCAACGCCGGGTCGGCCGTGCCTTTTCCAGTTAAAGTACCATAGCCGGGTTGGACACTGAACCCCTCACTCGGACGTCCAAGCTCGAGCGGGACAGCTTCCTACGTTAAACAACCAATCACCACAGGAAACTTAACTATCTATCAAAGTTTATTATGGTCATCTGAACGAGGAGTATTTCCGAACTGAATCTCCCGAAAGAAAAACTGCAACCCAGGATTTCCATTCCCAGCGCTCCTCGAAAGCAGATTTTAGCTCAACTCGGGTGGAGATCCCTCTGGGTAAAAGGGGGAAAAAGAGCACCCCAAAAATCACACCCGTAGAAGCCGAAAACAAGGATATGAAACCAAATCCCATTTCACACCGGTACCCAACTTCAATCCCACGGCTACCAAGATCCAATCTAAAACCCATTCACCTCCAGCGGTCCCCAAGCAACTCCGAAGAGACAGCAATCAAGTCAGTACTGTATCAGCGAGCGCCAGACCAGTACCATATCAATTCCTATATAGCAAAGCAAAGTGCCGCTGGCCAATCCTAAAAGAAAAAGAAAGAAAAAGAAAAAGAAAAAGAAAAAGAAAAGAAAAGAAAAGAAAAGAAAACCACCAGTTTCTCACCACCATTTTCTACGGTTCTTTAACGTAGATCGTGATATGCCCGAGCTCTCCGGCGTACTAGGCCACCATACCATCAACACCACACGGTACTTAAACGGACCCTATCCCCGTGCGGTTCCCACCCCAACACTCTGAACCTCGCACAATGCAGTACGGTACTATCAGCACAGCCAGAGATCAACTGTGCGCGGCGGGACCAGATATGATATGGGATGGGATGGGATGGGATGGGGAAAATAGTGGGCTTTGAAACAACCGCCGGACTTGTACTGGTACTGCCGGTAGACTATGTAAGTTGAGCTCTCTCTCTGGGATTCCCGCTGCAATCTACGAGTACTGTACCTGGTTACCGTACCCTTTAACCCTAAACTCATTTTCAGGCAATGGGTTCAGCCCACCTCCCAACTTCAGAAGGTATAGATATGATATGAACGGCAGTTCCATCGTCAACTAGGGGAAGGCTAGGTCAGCGTTCTGTGGGTGAGCCCATTCTTTTGACGGGTGATGTTTGAGCTGATCGTGGTGATAAGTCCTGTCCATCGCGGCTCTAAAAGTGAAGTGAGCGAAATTCGGCACTGGCGAAGGGGCCGCGGCTGGAGTTTTGGTGCGCGTGTGAGAATGATAGAATTGGTATCACGACTGTAGCGAGTGGCTCTTTCGGATTGATGGTCTGTAGGGGGTCTAAGTGAAGTCTGGGTGGATTAGTGTTCAAACTCCTAGGTGCTAATAACTCTGTGGATTATCACGGGTTTGAGAGATGTACTCGAGTAGAGGTGTGTATTCTTCCTCGTGGAACAGAGAGTGGGGTGTTGGGCGGTTCTCCGCACCGGGATAGTGGATGTCAAACTCGGAGACTACGACACGACATACCATTACTGGTACCGCAAGCTCTCTGAGCAACTGAAGACAAAACACAACTCCATTCGATATTATTCATTGCAGTCATTACCTTCCAGTGCCGTACCCTAGTATCTCGGATATTTAAATATCCAAACATAGCTCACGCGTCCCACCCCAAACGAAAACAATATCCTACAACCGACCCGCAGGCCCCATCCATCCACCCACCCACCACCGCATGCCGTAGGAAAAAAGAATCGTAGGAACCGCGAATAAAAGCCGTAGATAAACACTAAGCGCCTGGCAAGGCCTCATACCTCTCCCCAGCCGTCCTATCCCTGTCTCTCCACTTCTACACTCCCCCCGCCAATTAGCCCTCCCGCCCTCGCCGCCATCAAGCAAAGGACCCACAAACCTTGATAACTTCCCCCACCCACCCCCTCAGCCCAGCATACCCCAACAATCCCACCGTAGCCACAATGAAAATAAATACCACCGCCTGATCCTTTGCGGAATCTCTCTCTGGAAACATCCTCATTAGCACCCTCCCCCCCCCCTTGCCTGCTCGCGTGCCCGTCCAGAGGACGTGCATGACGGTTCACACTGTACTTACGGAAGCAGGTAGTAAAGATGTCATCATCTCCCACATCACGGCAGATCGGCAAGTGCTGCTTCAGGCAGAACTGGCGATTACATTCCGAGCAGCTGGGCGGGGAGGTGATTGGGATTAGGGTCGAGTTGTAGCCGCAGGCGCATTTGCAAAATATGCTAGTCGGGGCGTACGCCGCTGTTAGGCTTATGAGCAGGGAGAGCAGGGGAAGGAGCGGAAGGGGGAGGTGTGGGAGGTGCATTGTTGTTATGATATGACGGTGGGAGAAGGAAGTTGTGGTGGTTTGGAAGAGCGTGGGTAAGAGTTAAGCTGGATTGCGTGGGAGGCTCAAAAAAAAGAAGTTTGCCAAGACTGGTTTAGATCTGTGGTGCCGTGGCTTGATCCCTTGCTTTTCCCCGCTTTTTTCCCTTTTTCCCTTTTTCAGAGAGTTAATAATAATGATACAGTACGGATAATGGGAATCTCTTCCTCCCGTATTTCTTTGGTTAGCTTGAGAGGCTGTGGGGAGGGATCGTTCGCGGAAAAGAAAAAAAACATGGGTTCATGGCGGGAAATGTGATGGATATAATGATGATGGGTTGAGCTGAACGCCAGGTTTTCTCTGCCTAGCATGAAGGAATTGAGGGTTCCGCAGGCTATGAAACTCGGCAATGGTGCTGTGAGATTGTGCTTTAGAATGCGGTGCGAGTAGCAAGACTTGTGAACAGATATCGGGAGGAACATGCTCGATACGCAATGTAGGTTTCAATCCGTGCGGAGAGAGATCGACCTGTTTGATATAGCACACCCTTATCTGCCGTACATATCTACCGTATGCATTATCTGTCTCTCTCACGAAACCACAAAAAAAAAAAAAGAAACCGAGAAATAAGTAATTTATACTGATATCGCAGTCAACGGAAGAAAGTAAAGCAATAGTAAAACAATAACTGAAGAAGCATAGCCAAGAGGAGAGATATTTACACCACGTCCATAAAAACAGGCACCCGTCTCGATAGAATAGCTATACAAAAACGCCCACACCCATTATAATCAATTGTTCATGAGAGCCCTCCGCCGGGCGATCGTTTCGTTCTGGAAATTTCTCCCACCCACACCGGCTCTATAGCTTGCCCCCGCATGAGACTTGACGAAGGTGTTTGCCGGTCGGGTTTGCCGGAGCATGGCATAATGAGACAGTGCAGCGGAGGTCAAGAAGGCGTTCGAGGCGGTGGAAGAAGCACCACGTGGAGCAGGTGAAGCTTTGCACCACTCACACTCAATTTCGTCCGCTCCTTCATTGCTATTTGCATAATTAGTGCGATGTTGGAGATTCGATATCAGAGGAGGGGGGAATTACTGTGTGGTGCAGTACCCGCTTTTGCAACTTTGACAGAAAAGGGTAGCTGTCGCGATGCATTCCCCACACTGGAACCCACACTCGAGACATGGCCGAGTAACGCGTTTCTATGATCAGTGAGTTTTACTTTTCTTGAAAAGCGGGGTTATGGGGGTTAGTCACCTTATCTGCAGCGCAACTCTCACACCACCACTTCCCGCACCCTTCGCACCACCGCTCACGAACACACATTTCGCAGCGAAGTGCGTCCGCGATGGGTTTTCCGTCCGCGCCGCTACATGCCACCTTGATAGTCGATGAGTGCAAAGGGGCTGGAGCGACAAGTACATTTGGTAGTCCCTCACTGGTTGGATAAATTCCGCAACCGGAACATCTGCCCTCTAGCTTGATCTCGGAGATGCGGGGCTCGATGGAACCGACCTCATCGATCTGATGCTTCGATCCTCGACAGAGCCTCGTATCGAAGCAGATATCCTTATAGTTGGAAATCACCAAGGCCCATTCGTTGGGCAATTTTGTTACAGACTTCTGCACGAAGCGGCTGGTTGTCGGGGTGGGGTCGGTGAAGTAGTAGATCCCCTTCAGTTTGGTGCCGTGTTCGGGCGACAGGTGGGCCATGAGTGCGCGTTCATCGATCCCCCTACATCCCCGGATGGAGAGAAGGGTAATGTTCGATGAATGGATGATTGGCTCCAGTTCGTGGGCTGTCACGAGGGTGAAGTCGAGGACCAGCGTTCGTGTGGCCGATAGGATCGTCGGGCTAACCAACTCTTGGACATTCCAGAACTTTTTCTTCTCTGACGAAAGGTCTATATGTCTGTATACCCCCTGGGCACTACCGAGTAAACAGTTGATAAGTCTGTTGGTGCGGGATAGCGCAGATATATCTTTGGGGTGTAAATAGGGCGCGATAGAGAGGAGGAGGTCGTTGGAGAGGATCGTGGAGATGGTCGAGGGCGTATTGGCCATAGAATTGTCTATGTGTATACGGATTGATGGGTGTATTATGAATGACCGACTCGGGAGGGGGGGGGGAGTATAGCATCTTAAATATCACGGCTAGCGTGCAACTGCCAGGGTTGCTAGTCTACCAATTGAAAAAAAAGTGAGAGAGCAAAATTGTTGAAAACAAGAAGTTTGATATTTAGGTTTCGTAAACATGTCCTTATCTCCTTTACGGCCTTGCCTCCCCCCCACCAAGACCCAACCATGCAGCGAACACGACCCAGCACCACCACCCACCCACCCAGCCCAACCATCTGTCATATCCACGCATCCATCGCACCGGCGGCCGAACACAATACCGTATCTATCCTTCGGGGATTTCACCCGGGAAAAGCAAATAGGCATAACCCCGCCGGATTGCTAAAGTTTATGTACTCTCCCGGCGTCGGGGTACTCGCTGGTCGGTCTGGCCACTCGTAGCAACGCTCCGGGTCCGCATATCCGAGTATGATATGACACAGTGCCAGTACTCGAGTGCAGGAACCTACACGCCCTAACCCCGAAAGCCTTCTCGCCTCTAAATGACAGGTGGTAAAATCATATGATACGGGTGTTTCGCACAGGGCCTGGCGAGGTTATGGAATAGTTATTTAAGGTTAAACAGCCAAATGTATCCCTGTCTGTTCGGCTTGATAGATTCCCACTCTTGTATCACCGTGCGGGGTTGTAAGCTCCATCTCAAGGCGAAAGGTCCCTGCAAAGCCCAGGCCAGAAGGAAGAAGGGCCAACTTTCGTTAACCTACGATCAGTTTCCTGATCCAGGTGATGAAAAACCGTGTCCAAGGCACCCACCACCGAGTCCGACGAGTTACGGTAATAACTGTATGGTAGGACGAAACAAGGAGGGCATGAGACCGTACGGTAATTGTGTGCCACAACACTCGTGAAGAGTGCAGAGAAAGTGGGGAGGCCAATACCCGAATCTCATGGGCCGACCGGTTGGAGGGCCGGTTCTGTGGGGATCGCAGATCGGTAACCCCCGCCGCCCCAGAGCCTCCTCCCCCTCCCCCTTCCATCTTTTTTTGTTGAAAGGAAAAAATCCATCAAATCATCATGCGGCTTCAACCCACGCTCGCCTCATTTTTTTCGCTTATCTATGCAGAAGCGGTCGGACCGCCCCGCATGGAATGCTCGTACAGGTACTATTTTGTAAGTGCTAGTGATCTGCCGAAGGCTTGTTGTTTCCGCCAAGGAAATTGTAGCTATATTCGAGCTGTTCATCGGGATGACGGAGGCACGATGAGTGCCGGGGTTGTTCCATGGTGGTTGGGTTGTATCCGTTCACTTTCTGCCGGAGATAGATTAATCCACCGGTATCTCGAGGAAAGTTTTCAACGACCAATTCAGCATTCACTGATGGGCCTCGATCGTGTGCAGTAGGTATGATGCTGTAAGGACAGAGGAAGTGCTCTTGGCTGTCATATTCGATCACTGCGCAAAAGGAAAAAGAAAGGAAAAAAGTTTGTTGAATAAAAGGCTGACGAGGTGGGTGTGGTGGAGATTTTTGTTACCGGTACCGGTATCGCAACTTTCACACATTCTGCCAATTGGGTTCGCTGTGCTTGGGTATGCCGGAACTGGAATCATGAAATCTGTGGTGTGGTGGTCACGGGGTGGGGAATTACCTGCGGATGGATCATTTCCGACTCGTGGGATGGTCGTGCTAGCGTTTGTTGAGGACGATCATGTGTCGGCACTTGTCCCTGTATGATGCAAAGCGTGACAAATGTAGATCAAGGCCGTTGCATCCTGTAACCCCTCTAAATTATCAGGGTAGAGGGTTACAAATTCTGAAAATAGATTTTATAGGGTCTATGTTCAATTCATCCTGCTGTCTAAGATTTTCTAATATTTTCTCCAGCATGATAGTGGCATTGATTGAGCAAAAATTTGTATCTGTAATTAAAGGATGATGACATGATCTTATTTTCTACATGTAATATCATACAAAGATACAGGTTCTATGTGCAAAACCGAAGGATTAAATTTGAAACCAGTAAAAGAAAAGTCATCTAGAACAACGGATCGAACCTCTGCATTACAGATAAAATTTTATATTTACAAACCCTCTACCCTGATAACTTGGAGGCGTTCCAGGATGTAATGGCCTTGGTCTATGATACATTTGTTACGATTTGCATCATACCGTATTTACTCGTTAAATCTACCCTCTGGGATCGGAGTCGGATCCTTCCGATCAGTGACGTGACATCCCGAGAAGGAATAGTATTATCCAGATACAATAGCTTGGGGAGGCTAAGCTGGCTGGATCTCATTAACTGGTATTCGTCACCTCGCTAACCTACACAGCTAGGCCTATTGTGGTTTAGACCATAATTTCTGTTGAGATCCCCGATGGTGGATTTGACGAGTACTCGGGTACTCGAGTACATATGGTAGTAAAGGTTACGGTATTGGGGTCGGAGGCTTGTCTTACTGTCGGACGCGGAGGGTGGAGGATGGGATGCTGAAACATATCACTACGAGCAGTTGGGCAAGCCGCCTTGCAATACTACTGTACCAAATGGGAAGTGAAGGTGAAGGATGGTCTACCTTACCGTTATCATAGCCGACTGGAGAAACAGCCCTCGGCTTTGGGTGACTCATTCGTGCCGTCAATATTCGTAAACAGCGACTTCCCCTTCCGCTGCCAGTACCCAGGACTCTCAGGCCGGAAGGGTACTCGGTACTCGAGTACAGCATTAGAGAATTTGGGTTGGGACAGCGTCATTCAGATGGCAAATAGGGATCTTTGCAGGCGGTGGCGTATTTGCCATACCGGTATTTCCTATGTGTTCTGTTTTGGTGGCTCGCAACGACCATCGCGATCCATCCTACCGTCAAAACTTATGGGGTGTCAACCTCAACTGTTGCTCGAGAACAATCGACCCCCACACAGCGGGTATCTGGTCAATCCAAGGGATGGGGCGGTCCGGGGATATGGGGGTGCTTTGTGCCACGGATTTGTGAATGCTATGAATGTTTCAAAAGACAGATCAGTGCGTGCCCTCCTGGCGGAATTGTAGCGTCTGGTTACTCTGAGTAGTTTGGTAAATGGGGAATTGAAGTATCGTACCTAAGGGGCTCGCCATTCGCCAGGCATAACTTATCCTGAGTGGATGGCAAGAATTACGAGAAACTCCGGCCTGTTCCAGCATCTCTATCGAGAACACTGGCATAATGGAGCCACTGAAAATACACCTCTTTCAAAACAGGAAACCCGGGGAAGAAGAAACTCCTTGGGCCTCCAAAGAAACAAGACAAGGCCCTTACCTACCGGTATATAAGTACAGTACCGGATCGTTGACGGGCTCTTTGATCGTAAGGCTCTCAGAATGCCTTCTCAAATAATGACAGTGGTCTAGCATGCCCCACATGGCCGGGGACCATCTTCAACGTGTTTGTGTGAGTGCTTTAGCACAGCATAGCGACCTTCCCATCACATACCATGGTAGCAGAGTTGAAGTTGCGCACCTATACACAGTAGTTGGTCCGTAGGCTAATCGCGTGAAAGGATACTGAATCTCTTTGCTATGCGGTTGGCCGGCAGTTGACTAAGGCAGATGCAGCGCGCGACTTTGACTCGGCCGCTAGAGCGCTCTGGTGGAGTAATATCACTGCGCTCCATATACAGTACCAGTACGTACTGGTGGTCTGTCCCAGGATTTGACTAGTGCCAAAGCGACAGATATGTACATCGCATCCAGCCGAAAGGAAATGCCTTTAGTTGTCATTGTCTCACAGGTGGATGTTTTCGGATACTAGTGTGCCCCCAGGGATATTGCAAACATTTATCACAGCTTCTCTAGTTCTAAATAATGGAACGAAGGGCTCCGGAGTTTTTTTCCAAGGGTTAGTACCATCGCGCTCGGAAGGGTATTGGATCTTTGTGACTGCGACTGCACTATGGAAATTATACTGTATGATAGCCATACAGGGCATATTAGATCCTGGTCCCCACAAGTGCTCAGGAAGGGCATTTTGAGAGTCTTCAGTTCCTGTATAAAAGGCCACCTCCTATGCTCCTTCTCTTCTCCCATCCACCACTACTGCAACCACTCATGGCCATCCATGCTGATGAGAATCACGGAGAGCAACAACAGCAATGGCCTAAATTCTGCCAAAATTAAAGCTGAGGAATTCTAAGATCACTAAATCAATACACCTTCTGGATAATTCTTTGGTCTGAGTCGGTATCTACAAATCAGATACCCCAGTTTAGTTTCTACTTCACCACTCATATCACCTCCTCATGTACAGCTCTATTTCTAAACAATTACTTGCTGTAAGTTTTATAACCATCCAATTTAGACATTTATCTTACAAAGTCTCTTTTATGAACTACTGCTTATCAGGATTGCCATGGAACTAAGGCACTCCAGCTACTAGTACAGCTAAGACCCTTTGGTAGGAGACAATTTGTCTATTTTTGTAAGACCCTCTCCACTATACTAGTACTAGTAGTTGTACTAGTTTTTTTTTAAAAAAAAAAATCATAAAACTAATTTTAGAATATTTTTATTTTCAAACATGGCAGATGGTCTATGCTATTCAGGTTCTTGGTAGTTTCTCTGTACTAACTCTTTATCAGAAAAAGTAATCTCTAACAATTGTAATATCAGTATAGGAGTTACTACTTCAATTACCAATTCTATACCTTACCTTAAAAAACACTACAGATTTTAAGTTTATTGTAAGTTTCATTTTTTTAAACTCAGTTAGGATTAAAAATTAACTAATTTGAATAAATATTATTCTAGCTTTAATATTTAGGATATTAAATCTCAATAGTACTTGATGTAATTCCTCTATATTGGCTTCTTATTACATCTCAATAGTATTATATATAACTGATATGGAGCCAGTATAGAGGATACTATCAAAACTACTAGTAGTATTAACTTAAGAGTATTTATATTTAATACCTAACTTGGGATTAGAGGACTAGGAATGAAAGCCACAATACATTTCAAATTAATTGTAAGTTTTACATTTTTGTAGCCAGTTAGGATACAAAATTGACTAATTTGAATAACTACTTTTTTAGGTTTAACATTTATAATAAAATTTTCAATACTTGATATAATTCCTCTACACTGACCTCTTGTCATATCTCAATAGCATTATGCATGACCAATTTGGAGTTGGTGTAAAGGATACTATCAAAACTAGTATTAACTTAAAAGCATTTATACCTAATACCTAACTTAGAATTAGGGAACTAGGAACGAAAGCCATAATACATTTCAAATTAAATGTAAGTTTGACATTATTGCAGTCAGTTAGGATGCAAAATTGGCTAATTTGAATGACTACTTCTCTAGCTTTAATATTTATAATATAAATCATAATACTTGATATAATTTCTCTATACTAGTCTCTTATCATATCTCAATAGCATTATGTATAACCAATTTGGAGTTGGTATAAAGGATACTATCAAAATTAGTATCAACTTAAAGACATTTATGTCTAATACTTAACTTAAAATTAGAACTGGAGGACTAGGAATGAAAGCCACAATACATTTCAAATTAATTGTAAATTTTATATTTTTATAGCTAGTTAGGATGTAAAATTAACTAATTTGAATGACTACTTTTCTCGCTTTAATATTTACAATATAAATCACAATACTTAATATAATTCCTCTATACTGGCCTCTTATTATATCTTAATAGTATTATATATGACCAATTTGGAGTTGGTATAAAGAATACTATCAAAACTGATACTAACTTGAAGATATTTGTTTCTAATACCTAACTTAAAATTAGAAGGCTAGGAATAAAAGCCACAATACAATTCAAATTAATTGTAAGTTTTATATTTTTATACCAGTTAGGATTTAAAATTGACTAATTTGAATGGGTACTTTTTTTACTCTAATATTTATAATATTAAATCTTAATACTTGATATGGTTTCTCTATACTAGTTCCTTATCATATTTCAATAACATTACATATAAATAATACAGAATCAGTATAGAAAATTACCCCAAAACTAATATCAACTTAAAGATATTTGTATCTAATACTTAACTTAGAATTAAAAAGCTAGGAACAAATGCTATAATATATTTCAAATTGATTGTAAGTTTTATATTTTATACTTAGTTAGGATTTAAAACTAACTAATTTGAATGAGTATTTTTTTAGCTTTAAGATTTATAATATTAAATCTTAATACTTGATATCATTTCACTATACTAGTTTCTTATCATATTTCAATAGCATTATATATAACTAATAAAAGGTTAGTGTAGAATATAGTATCAAAACTAATATTAACTTGAGAACATTTTTATCTAATATTTAACTTGGAATTAGAAGGCTAGGAACAAATGCCACAATGCATTTCAAATTAATTATAAGTTTTATATTTTATAGTCAATTAGGATTTAAAACTAACTAATTTGAATAAGTATTTTTTTAGCTTTAAGATTTATAATATTAAATCTCTACATTGGATATAGTTACTACTAGTAGCTATTCTCAAAAGTATTCAGATACCTTGGCTCCAAGACAGGTATAAAAAATGTCAAGCCATCTAAATACTTTTAAAAACTGCTAGTATAGTTACTCTATACTAACTTCATATTAGTGTTAGGAACAAATCTGCCAGTGATACCCCATCTGTCTCTGATACCTGTTTCAAAATTAGAGAATCAAGGGGTTAGAAATGAAAAAAGCACTATATATTTCAAGTTTATAGTAAGTTTTATTTTTTATATACTTACCAGTAACTGAAATTAGGATTCAAGTTCAAAGTTAACTAATTTGGATAAGTGATTTTCTAGCTTTAACATTTAGGATATTAAACTGCAATACTGGATATGGTTCTTCTCTACTAGCCTCTGTCAAATTTTGACAGCATAATGCATAAAAATTCTCAGGTCAGTAGAGATAGTACTATTATAACTGCTGTCAAGGTATTTATATCTAATACCTGACTTGGGGTTAGACAGTTAAGAGTAAAAGTCATTGTACATTTCAATTTGATTGTAAGTTTGATTTTTTTCTGTAATTTGAGTCAGTTAGAATTGAAAATTAATTAATTTGAATAGGTATTTATTTATTTTTTCTAGTTTTAACATTTATAATATAAACGCGTTTTTATTAGAACCTACACTTGGGCACTCAACACCAAACAATTTTTTTTGGCCTAGCAAGCTTCATAGACATGTAGAGTATATATTCATCAGTTCAAAAAATATTCATGAGCCTTATATACTGTAATTTGCAGCTTCTGAACCAAAAAATGTGAAAAATACCAAAATGCATTTTTTGCACTAAAAATATCTTGCACTTCCTGAGCATTAGTAGCACCAAAATCCCATCTCAATTGGACAACTGCTTCTTGTGGTATTTTG